GTTGAATGCTGGCTCAGTGAATCAGAGGTTAAGCGCTCACGCGCGAGACTAGTAGGTTCTGGGTTTGGATCTCGCGAAGCAGGGTCGTGTATGCGCACTGCTCAAAAGTCCCACAGTAGGACGAAATAGCCGTCCAGTGCTTCCAGGTTTTTCATGATGGTCTAAATTCAATTGACTTATGATCTCAACTATTAAAATAAATATGAGTTCAACTAGTAAAATTACAATATACACAAACCTCCAATCTGCAAAAAAATGATCTAATCCATTACGTTCTGATTTATATTTAATTTGTTGAGTTGTATTTATTTCATAAATACTTTAGTGTTTACTCGTATATATTTTTAAGTACTTCTACTTAAGTTTAGATTAAGGTATGTACAAATAGTTTATTTTGCATCTTTTTTAACTATTCTATTTTTTTTACAGTCTACATTCCAAATTGTCTTTTTCTTTTGCATCATTTTAGACAAACTAATTACTAGTAAGTCTCAATCCGGTTAATAGTAGTTGTTTTTCTCCAAAAGTATATTTTTGTGTGTGATTTGTTAACACTGCAATTTCGAAAAACTAGTAATATTGATAGTTGAATACATGAGTCTATCTAAGCTAGACCACTATTAAAAACTTGGGAGCACTGGACGGCCGTTTTGTCCTAGTGTGAGACTTTTTGGCAGTGCGCATTCACGATTGAAGTTAGATATTAACATCATTGGATGCCGGCTCAGTGGTCTAGAGGTTAAGCATTCGCGCACGAGAACGAAGGTTCTGCGTTGGATTTTCGCGTGCGAGGTCGTGGATGTGCATTGCTGAGGAGTCCCACACTAGGACAGAACGGCTGTCCATTGCTTCCAGGTTCTCGATGGTGGTATGTCTTAAATCGACTCATGAATTCAAATATTGAAATTACTACAATCTCCACAAACCACCATTTTGAAAATTAGTAGTGGACTGTTTCGTTACTTCAGAGTGATAATTATTTCCAATTATCGGCAACAACCAATCAAATTATCAGTCAATAGGATAGGCTTTAAGTCAGGGAATTTTGGAGAAATTCTAATACATCAATTCTTTTTGAAATGTATTTTTAGGACGATAATGACAGCTCTCCCATTAGGCCATACAACATAAGGGACAATATTAACGTAGAGACTGGCATATATGTATTTCGCCACACGATATTGGTAAAAGGACGAAAGTATCAAGATGATTATTAAGGTAATAGAAGTGTCAGTTAGGCTGATTACACTTTATTTTCACAGTTCATTCCCAACCCATTAATTGGCCTTGAGTAATGTAATTCAAGCAACTTGGTCGATGTGAATTGTATTCAGTTCTAAAGGTTCTTTAGAAGATCCTTAGATAAAGAAACATTGTAACTCCGAGCACATCACAACATACAACTATTTCTTGCTGACATCAGCTTATATCTATTCGCGGTGGTAACACTCAACGGTAGCTGTTATTTTGATGAAGTGGTTAGGGTTAGATTTTGTGAGAACACAATCGAGGTATATTTGCTGGGACGTTTGTTAATTTTGGTTTTCTTATGCCAGAAAGCTCTATCAGAAAGAATGGTCTAGAAAAAGTTGAGTATACAAATAACACATCTTATCTCAACCCATAAATCTCCAGCATCTACAATAAGATCATCGAAGTTACTTCCAGCTTAATTTATTTTTCAGGTGCTTTGAGAAAAAGTATCTTTCTACGTTGTAGGCAACTAGAAAGTGATAGCTTCCTACACACCTCTAACAACACCTGAGATGGTGATATTTAACTTCAAAATGAGTGATTTACATAAATTTCTTATTGAAATAATGATCATTTGGTCAGTGATGAATTCCTGGAATTCTAGTGAAAAATCGTTACGGAAGGAGTCTAATTATGTCAAGGAGTAAGACAATCACTCAGCACTATGTTATTGGTCAATATCCTCTCTACATCATGTATTGACAAGTTAGTCATGAATTGTTGCAATGCAAATCTGTGATGGTATAATTTATGATAAGATATATCATTCCGATTAGTAGCAAAAAGTATGTATTTTCTAGTGTACATCACGAACTGACCTTAAATAACATTGAAAATCATGAAGTACTAGACAGCTATTCCGTCTTAGTGTGAAACTCTTTAATAGTGCTTATCGATGACTCCACCTGTGATCCGATTCATCACCTCCAGGTCTTATAACGAGCACTCGTTCTTTAGACCACTGAGTCCATATTTATTTGTTTTCCATTCCTAATTTTAATCTGTTCACGATACAAACTACAAAATCTAATCATTTCCACAAAGCCCCCTGCACTAAAAAATACATAGAAAAAATAACACTACAATATGAAATCAATCTTATTGCGTTAATTATATTTTGTTCGTTTCTTACTACTACTAATACCTAAGTCTATATATATAACTTTGACTACTTCTGTATGTATCCTGTTATATTTTGTCTCATTAGACCTAGTGGAAGCTTGTGGCAAAGGTGATGATGAGTCAGTTGAACAGTTATTAACATCGTCGTCATCAGGAAATTTACGTATTCGTTGTACAATAAGGAGGTTTGCTAGTAGACAATTTCATTTAGCGATAAATTCGCCAAATTCCTCTCATAATTCATCTACCAATTACGTTGTTAATAGTGTTAAATCTATTCATCAACCATTAACTAGTCTAATATCGAATCGTTTGAGAAGTTTAAAATTCAATAGACGTCTATTATGGAGTACAGGATGTAATCGAGACAATGAGAAAATGGAGAAGACAGAGAAGGAAGAAGGACAGCAACATATAGACCAACCTCAAAGTATATTAGAATTATTGTCATTGGAAGAAATTCCAAGCTGGAGTTCTGATGAAAATTCTGAATCATATAATTTACGATCTATGAATAATGATCTATGGGAATGGGCAAGGAGTCAAGTTAAATCTTTGTTGGTTATGTAAGTGAAGTGAAGAGTTGTTTTTTCGGCAAATTCTCATGGTAGTTGTTTTGAGAAGTTCTACTCGCTGCTTTCTCATGGTGGGTTGTTGTATGCGAAACTGAGAGAGAGGGAGAAAAGCGAATGATCGGTGCTTTAACCAGGTTGCTGGGTACAGAAGAGCCACCTAGGAGGATTGGAAAACCACCATTCCAAACCAAGGGTGCACATTGGCTCCAGGATCCTGAGGACACAAATTGAGTATAAACCTATTGTTCGTCACTGGCTACCGTGGGACTTCATCTCCTGAGGTTGATCCACTGCCTTGTGGATTAAACCTCTAGATCAAGGGTTCGAGGAGTGGCTCCTTAAGAATATCACCTTTGGTTTGGGTGCCAGAACAGTATACCAGCCTTCACACAAATCAGTGGTAACTACTACTGGCCTCATTCTTATTGTGTGACGCATATGTATTTGGTGCCTCCTTGTACCAATTTTTATGTGTTCAAATAATAAATAAATAAATTAGTGAAAGTATTTTTTCGATGTGTTACATTGATACTAAGTTGTAGGTTGACGCGTCTGCAGTCGATGAAGCTGGTTATTTTGTTGGTTAATAAAATGCACTTGAATTAAAAGTATTAAATTATCATAAGTTTAAAATCTATATCATTTAGGTTTAGTTGATCAAGTTTTTTGGTACTAGCTCTCATACAAGCAGAATAATTCAAAGTCTTGAGTACATAAATCTGTATTTGATAAAGGAGTTACATACGGAAAAAGTATCGACATTCATTTTGGAATTATCGTATTTTTTCTGAATTGAATGATATAATCATCAAGCTTTGATCGTTTTTCTAGACAACATCATTAGTATATATTTGTGAGAACGAAAGTGAGCTAATAGAATTTTGTTATCACAGCCGATTAGTAGCTTGTTCTGATAACCTAGAATTTCATGGGTTATTTTTCTTACTTGTATGACTGTTGTTCATATTCTCGTTTTCATTGTTCTGTCCTGATCTCTGACCTTGTAGTTGTTTATTCTTTAACTGATGAGAAAGGAAAATATTCAGTCAGCACAGAGAATACAATTTCTTTAAAATCCTCACCGTAAGCTAAAAAATATTGTCCATCGTAAGGCGACCTGTTTGAATATCTGAGCTATTTGTTCCTGCCATCAGATATTACAACATGTTATATGCTTTTGTTTGTTTTAACATATTTTATGCTTACTAATCGCACGACCTATTCAGGAGCATTTATAAAAAGTTTGCGACCTTTCGTTGTACAAGTTACAAAAAAGTACAACCATCGGCATCGTGTTGGTTGGTAATATTCATTGAAAAGAATCGACATTATTCAAATGTCGATTCCTGAAATGCTAACCTTTAACTGGGAATTACTCAATATTTATCGACAGGATCGATCAAGAAATAAGAAAAGGAAAATTATTGAAATACTCTGTGCTGAATATTCCATATTGTACCAAAAATATAATATTGAGTAAATCCATTCATAGTAATAATCTCAAAATGTTTAGTCAATTCAAAATCCGTGTAAAAGTAGCAAAAGGTTTGAAGTCATTAAGATAGAGATTATTATTCAACTATTATCTATCACTTAATAAATCACGAGTTAACAATATTTCCTTTATCACACTTGTAATTTTTTCGGGTAATTAGTTTAAAGCATTCTAAACGCATCAGTCACTTATTATTCTATGAATCACCTTTGTTGGTAGATTCAGACTACTTGGTTGGAGTTTGCTCCATAACTCTTGATCAGTGGTTGAAGACGTTGGATAAACTTGGGATCAGTCACAATAACTCAAATAAATTCACTCTTTAGTCTAGATTTTGAGTCCCATTATTCTTTCATTCATACCTTCTACATTTTATCCTTTCAAATGTTTAATCTTTCTCATTATCAATGTCACCTCGTTATTTCTGTTCCCTTACTATTCGTCCTGTTATTTGCATGCCATGATGTTGATGTGGTGCGATATTTTTGCCCAACAAACATATCTACAAGTCTCTACATTCGTTATAACTAACTAACTGACTGATTAGATAGTATATAAAACTAATGGGACCGTTGAGTTTATCTATTAATTTATTTAGTTCTTTTATTTCCAAGTGAGTCACACTTTTCATGTTCATACTGATTCAATTATAGATGTGTACAAAATAATTACATACGATGTCTTAACAAATTATTACAAGTTGGTTTTGAAGTTATCCCAGTGAATTCTTCTTCTTTATCGTCAACCTTCTCAGCATCTGAAGAAAGTGTAGAGTTGTTAAATCACAACCAAAAAATCAATCACTATTCAAAGTCTAATAATGGATTGAGAATTTTCGTTGAAGATGATAGCTCTGTTGGAAAACAACAGTTATGGATTGAATCAGTTTGTTCCAATCAAGAAAGTGCTATTCATACTGCTGTACGATTAAATAGAGAAGAAGCAGTCAAGTCAATAATTCAGGTGATTTATGTCATTAAAGCAACAGTTTTGTAAAATTACATATTCTTTGGATAAAAATCAATATTATTAATATAGAGGAGTCTTGTGGAGATTGTTTGGTTTCAATTATTTGTATCATTGAACTGATCTTAGTTAAACAATAACTAAAAACCAAGAAGCATCAGACAAATATCTCGTTCTAGGATGGGACGCCTAAAGATCTGCATTGATGAGATTACTGAGTATCTAATAGAGGACCTGCAGAAATCGCGGAATTCAGAGTTTTATATTTCAAAATTTAATCAATTAAAAATATTGTTTAACCATTTTCCAAATGCCATTTTTGGTGGGTAATAGCAACACACCCTACATTGTCAGCATTTTACTAAGAAGCTGTGATTTACTAGAGTTGAACCATATCGGAGCTGAGATTGTTATCGACCAGTTGCATTGAAAGATGGCTGCGAAATATCGCGAATTAATTGTGGTTAGGCCTGTAAATCAGTAGGTGTTAGGTCTGTAGTGTAAAAGTTAAGCTGTCGCCGAAAGAAATGAATGTCTCAGGTTTGACTCTTGGTACAGCTATGACTGAACACTGCTGAGGACTTTTATAACAGGATGAAACAGTTATTTAGTGTTTCTTAGTCTGTAGTGGTTGTCCGGTTAAGTATGTGCCATAAACTATATGATTTAACATTTATATTCAGTTTTTTTATGAACAGTTTGTGAAGTTTAGTTAAAATTTGGTAATAGTCTGCACATCATCTAGAAACATTGTTTGTGAAATCAATTAATAAAAATTGGGAGCTGCTTCGTCTCGAGTTTAGCATTTTCTAGTAGTAGACTATTGAGCACCCTAGACGATTCCTTCGAGAACTTTTCAAAAGCCGGAAATATTTAGTAAAATCAGCTTTCTATAGAAATCTACCAGTTCTGAAGAAACAACGAACTACTCTTGCTTTCCAAACCTGAACCAACCTTAACAGTAAAGTTTCTTTCCGAGTTTCCCGACTTTTGCTGCCTTTTCAGTGCTTATATGCTGAAAATTTCTAAGTGTCTAGGAAGTCACTATCAAGAGTTCAGTTGCCAGTCATATTATAACCACTTATAATTTTAAAATGCAATCCCCAAATGTCGTGGTACGGCCGAAAGTAGATAGAGCCTGCTGTCTTCGAAATTCTCTCGCACGGCCACGCGTGTACAACTACTGCCAGGGAAGTCCTACTCACTGCATTCTCATGATGGGGGTGTTGTTTACGAAATTGATAGGACGAAAAGTGAATGTCCGGCACTTGAACCGATTTAGTGGACACGAAGGGTCCACCTAGGGCAGTTGGAAAACCCTAACTCCAAACCAATGGTGCACATGGGCTGCAGCCTCCTAAAGGAACAAATGGCGTGCGGACCAATTGTTGGTCACCGGCTACTTGCCCTAACCCGGGTAGTATCACAGCTCACGCGCAAATCGAGTGACTTTTGTGACTCATATGTATTCGGTGCCCTTTTTTTATACCAATATTTGTGTGTTCAAAAAAATAAATAAAACGGCCTGTATCATTAAATATTTCCTTTAAAAAAATGCTTTTTCAAACGATATTCCATCTAAAAATTTCGATTTAGTATCATTTAAGAATAGATAGGCAAACAGTAAGTTTATGACGATTGTATTTCTAGTTATTAGACTATTTTCCCAGGATAATCAGTCTCGTTTTTTTTTAAAATATTTATTTTCAATTGATAATCATGAATATGCAAATTCCATACGATCCGCTATCATAATTTTTCTCACCTCTTTGTTTTTTTCCTTTTAACCCTCCTAGTGGGAACCATATTCATTAGCTGTAACAATTCATGGTAACAATGAATTATCATTTGGTGTATTACCAATTCATATTGCTTGTGCTTTGAATCGTTTAAATTGTTTACAACTAATGTTAACAATGAATACATCTATATTCGATTCTAATAATCATTATTATAATACTAGAAGTATTGAATCAAATTATTCTAGTTTATTTTCTTGTCGAATAAACAAATCACCAGGTTTATATAAACATTATTATTGGTAAGTTAATCCATATTTGATTTCACTAGTTGAAATCATGAGTCAATTGAAGCTAGACCACCATGGAAAACCTGGAAGCATTGGATGGCCGTTTTGTCCTGGTATGGGACTCCTCAGCAGTGCGCATCCCATGCTAGGACGAAACGACCGCCCAGTGCTTCCAGGTTTTCCATGGTGGTCTAGCTACAATTGACTCATGATTTCATCTAGTGAAATTTCTAAAAATCTTCACAAAACCCGTTCTGATTATATTTGATTATTTGTTGTTATTTTATAAGTTTTTAACTCTTTCTTGCGTTTATTACATCATTGAGTTTTATTTCAACGATCTTCCGAATTCATAATCTTATTTTATCAACTGAACTTAATTCATTTTATTACTGTCAACGTTTTCTCATTTTATAATCACTTATTTCTGGCCGTTTACCGATTACCACGACACGCAATGCTGACTAGTGTTGGTGATGGTTGGAAGAAAGTTAGGAGCGGCCAAATAAAAACGTGTCATCAGTGCTTGAAGTCATTAACTTCTAGTCTTAGCCATGTTGGTAGATGTAGACTACTTTGTTGGGGTCCGCGAGAATAGTATTTTTATCTATTTATCTATTGGTACAAGGGGGCACCAGATTTATATGCGTCACACAAAACAATGAAAATGGGAAGAGAAAAAGAATGTAAGGTGCGTATAACAATAAAAAGAACAATAACGACCACAGATTAGTGTATAGTAATGTAATATTAATAATAATAATAGTGGGGAAAACGGAAAGGCACGACTTGAACAATTCTTTCAGTTAAGGAAGTTACAACCACTTTTTATGAAGAAAGTAAAGTTACAGCAGGATCGCTACTGGCTTCTATACTGAACCATATCCGATAACGTCTCTAGTCACCACTGTGTTGCACCATCTGTAGGACCCCAGCCAAGGAGTCGAGAAGGACCAACACAAGCCAGCCCTTTGCATATATGTGCCTAGTTCTACGTTGTAGCTGAATGATTGAATGTTTCTGGTTGTTTAAACTATTTTCACAATCAATGTTGTAGAATGTTCTTTCACATAAGTTATATATTTACAATATTCAGTCTATTCAATTTATTTACACCCTTGCTATATTATACTAATGTGTCTTTAATATAACTTCCAGTCAAACTCTTTCATGTAAGTGATTTAAACCCATTACGTAATTATGATTTTAAATGTCACAAGTTGTAAGCATCTGATGAGAACCAACGAAATAAAAATGAATTCATGCTATTCTGCTAGAATGTTTGTTCTTGCTCTTTTCAAAATGATAAAGGGAACTATGTGTATGAAATTTTATAAGGTATTAGAAATTTGTTTTGTAATATTTTAGGTAACATTCTCTTCTTTGTCATTTAATTAATTGGTACACGTTTTAGTTACAGCTATAATATATGAAAATTTTTTTATATTTTTTTGTACCAGTCAAGGTTTTTTGCTGCAAGTTATTGTTGGTATTCCTTCCACATTGCCATATTTTCATTCTACTTGGATCGCCTTGATATAGAGTGTTGTGTCACGAATATTCGGTATATTTAGAATGTTATTAGTAGTGGAATCTAGGTTGCGTTGAACTCATAAACTGGATATACCTTGAATCTTAATATCGATGTTTACTCTAAGATGAACTCAGTAAATTCTAGTGATCTTTTGGAGTAAAATCTAAGCATTTGAAGCAATATGTTCTGTGTATTAAGTAAAATACTGGTTATGAATTTACATTTTAATGCGGTACCACCAATACTTAATTGTAGTTAAGATGTATTCATCACAAGTTCTGAACTGTAAATTAGGTTTTCTATGTGTTTTAAGAATGTCAAAAAATAAATGTCACGCGGTACAACATATTTTGATTCATTAGGTAATTGAAAGTAGTTATCAGATAACTCTAGATCTATGTTTTGTGCTTTTTTAAACTTGTCAGCAATGCATACTTGGAACTTCTAAGGAAATGATACTCCCTGTTGGATTCTAACCTGCGTCATTCATTTTTTTAATAGGGTTTCATACTGACTACCTCCTACCATCTAACATCTTAACAAAGTACACACCATATCGAATCACTTAGATTAGTGGTTACATTGCAACTTGTTCGATGGAACTCACTTATGATATTAAAGGAATAAGTAAACATAGCATCAGTCACTTTCAAATGTTTTGATTCATACAGTTATAAAATGGCTTTAAACCAATTACGACTAGTTAATTTTTATTAGAGTATTTACGCTTATTGAACAATAAATCAATAGTTCTTTTTTGTTGTTAAATCTCATGTACATCACATTATTTTTGAGCTTAAATGTAAACCTTCTTTATTACCATTCCTGTTATGATTGATTTTCCAAATGTAGAATTCATATATAGATAGTATACCCTACTTTATTCATTGTACTTTTAGTTAACTTTTTATATACATTGTGTTTATATTTGTGTACGTGCACAATTTGATTCCTCAAATGTGTTGTTGTTTTGTATTTTTCTTTTTTTTTTTTATTATATTTTCAGTATTGATCAATTGGATAGTTATAATATGACTGGCTTTCTTTTAGCTGTAATACATGGTCATGTGGATATTGTATGTCAGTTGTTAAAATTTACAGTGAAAGCTAAAAGATTAATGAATTCTACGACAGAATTGAATAATTTCAATACTGACATCAATCTTGATAATCTTTATCAACATCATTCAACTATTCATGATAATAATACTAGTACTACTAATACTACTACTGATACTGATAAGTTTACTTACTTTAACCAACTAAATGTTTTAGGCAATCATAATTCGCCATTAACTGATAACTATATAGATCCTAATGTGTACTATGATGTATGTCCAATTGATATTTATCGAAAAATTTCAGCCTGCTGGTATTTCGTTACTTCAATTGATAATAATAATAATAATAATAATAATAATAATAATTCTGTTTCATTGGATTGTAACCAACGACCAGCGATTATTATTAATCCTCGATGTCATCAAAGTTTAGATGACCATGCAATTTGTGGATATTTTAATGCATTACAATTGTCTGTCATGACTGGGTAGGTTAAATTGTTTGCATTTATTAATACATTCACATTTGTTTCTCTTCATAATTTTAATTATGGAATGATTTTAGCTACACAACTATTGAAAACCAACAAACATTAACACAAATGTTTCTCCACAAATCTCCTATAGTACTAATAATCGTATACTCACTTGTGGCTATTTTCGGAAGATAACTCTCGAAGTTCTAGTAAAGAGCTGTCACTCACGGAGTTCAGCCGTGTCTGGTGTGGGACATTAATGTATTTATGGGTTTGCAATATATTTGCGCAGTTTTGTGAGCTAATTAAAGTTTGAATTGGTAACCATTGACTTCAGTCCAGTTGACTAAATTTTAAGTGCTGTCCTCGTGATCTTAAGGTCTTGGATTCGGTTCCTGTTTGGGTTGTGGATAGATACTGATCAGAAGCCCAATACTGATATGAAACAGCTGCTAAGTGCTTGTTTAAGTAAAATCAGTTCTTGATGAAGACTGTAAAATTCATTAATCTCTACAAACTTCGTTTACTAATAATCTTTTTTGTAAACCACTCTTCAGGTTTTTTAGTTTGTAACTATTTCTTACTCAAAATTTCCATATCAATACTAAAATGGATCTTACACTTTATTTTCACGGAATTAAATATGATGATTAGGCTCAGTACAATTTGGAGACTATCATCCATATTCGGAATGTTGGCTTTAAGCAGAACAGCCTTACAGTAACGTCTATCATTGTGATATTAAAATGCGTATCTTGTTTTCTGCTCTATGTTTATGGTTTCCAATCGTTGATCATGGTTATCAATAGCGCCTCAAAGTGTCAGTTTAAACCTATCAATAGGACCAATTCATACAGTCTATGGTTTCATAGATTGATGCCACTTATTCGTTGGATCTCTCTTATCTTTCTTTCGATCTACTGCTACACAAGTGAACATAGCGTGAGAAGGTAAGTTGTAGTTGGAGATACGTCATACATTTCCCAACCATCTCAATCATTGAAGATTCACTAACTTACCAACTGATTTACCATTTTTACCTAACTTCAAAATTGTTTATTCGGTGGTCCTAAGATACTACTGTAAAACATCTTTAATAAATGCTGTTAGCCTGTTCATGTCTTTTAGTCTCAAGACTTACGTTTCCTAGTCGCAACGTGAGATAGATTGAGTTACCAAGCCCTTTACCCATTTTTTGATAGATATACGTAGATATCACTCCTATCTCAGGTAGCATAAGTTATTGAAATTGAACCTATAAGACTGAATTGGTCGAATGAAGTTCTCATTTTATTTCAAATGAATATTTACAAAATATACATTTTAATGAATAATATTAACTAATTTTACTCAAATTAAATTAGTTTTAATCTATACTACATTTTATTTATTTTACAATTATATAAAAGAAATATTGATACAGTTTCAATTCTGGTAGATTATCTCAGTCGAGAAGTGAATACATTCTGTACATCTTGTATACATGGTCAATGTTATATTCCTCAAGATAATTCTGCATTATCCAACATGTCATCGTCGAACCCCATAGGTTACACTTCTCATTTAACTAATCAAATAGTATCATCTAATTTAAATTCTACAAATCTACAATCAATTATTACAACTCCACTTGGTTTAACATGTTGTCTAGCAGAAACTGATGAAAATGTATGTTCGTTTAAATTAATAGCTCATCATTTTGTATGTTTATTTTTTTCCTCCACATTTCTTTAAGTTATCGTATATGAAAAAAATAATGAATTTGCAGTTTAAAAAATAAATCAGTAATTTGTAAACTCTATTTGTCACTAATCAATCCTATTTTGTGTGTCATTTATATTAAGGATCACTCATTAGTTGTTTTTATCTTAAAATGGGATTGATTATCATTCCACATTCATGGAGATATCAAGTATGGAACACATGACTTTTAGGTCTTCCAACAAAAACTGAACTGTTAAAATCATTGAGTCGACGTTCAACAATACAATCGATTTACAATACAGCACGATGTTCATTCAATGCCATTAATGATAGTTATTTAACTTTCAATATATTTGAACGCTACCAGTCATCACTTCTCATTGTAATTTCAGAGACAACCCGAAGTCATTGAGACTCAGTGCTAAAGAGTCACGTACTAGGTCGAAACAGCTTTTCAGTGCTCCCCAGTTCTTAGCGATGCCTTAACTAATGTCTGTAGAAGATGGTCTCACAGTATCGTGGATTGATTATAGTTAGATATTGACACTGTTAGATGACGATTCAGTGATCTGAAGTTTAAGCGTTTGCATACGAGACTGAAAATTCTGGGTTCGATTCTCTTTAATGGTGGGTCGTGGATGCTCACTTCTGAGTAGTCCCACACTAGGACGAAACAACAGTCGGGTGGTTCGAGATTTTCAATGGCTGTTTATTATTTATTTATTTATTTGAACACATAGATGTTGGTACAAGGGGGCACCAGGTACATATGCGCCACACAAATCTTATTTGATTTGTGTGAGGGCTGTGATATTGCCCGGGTGCCCAAACCGAAGCGAGTGGTTTTCTTAGGGGGCCACACCCGGAGCCTTCAGCCTGAAGGTCTGATCCACAAGGCAGTGAACCAACGTCAGAAGATGCAGTCCCATAGTAACCGGTGACCAACGATTGGTTCATACGCCATTTGTTCCTTCACGATACTGGAGTCCATGTGCACCATTGGTTTGGAATCAGGGTTTTCCAACTCCCCTAGGTGGAATCTCCATGTTCACCAACCCGGTTAAAGTGCCGGACATTCGCTTTTTGTCCTCTCAGTTTCGTCAACAACACCGGTGCCACGAGAATGCAGTGACTCGGACTTCCCTGGCAGTGGTTGTATGCACGTGGCCATGTGAGAGCATTTCGAGAGGGAGAGCTGAATCTTCCTACTCTCGGTCGTAACAGGGCATTTGGAGGCGATTTAACTTAAGTCGATTTATGATTTCGATCAAATTAAACATTCATCTGTCATCGACTGGTTACTGGTTAAAATTTTCCACTCCTTTTTAATTTGGTTTAAGTGATTCAAATAGATGAATACATATTTGTTAAATGAGTAAGTGTGTTATTTGTTTGTATTTATTTTTTATTTGTATCATTTAGAAAGCTATTGAAATAGCTTCAATTCTATTGAATATTGGTGCAGTTGATTTTAATCATCAATTATTTGTATACACAATGAAAAAATCATTTTATAAATTTGCCGGTTTATTATTTATTCATGAGATATTACTTAAATCTATTGAAATGAATAAATCTGTTAATAATGATTTTACAATTATTATAAAACATTTGAATTTATCCAATATGAAATCTCTTCAATATTCAATCATATCAAATTCATTCTGGTTATTAAATTCTATGATACCACAATGGATTAAACTTTTGGATGATCTATCAAAATTCCATTATGTCAGCTCATTGAATTCGTCATCATCCTCATCATCGTCAATGTCAACAACATTCTCATCAACGTCAGTAAAACAAGAATCTACTGTGAATGAAAATAATAATAATAATCATTGTAATCGTGAATTATATAAATATATTAGTCAACTAATTTTATCACTTCCACGACCTACATTCACTATGAATATTTTCAATAATATATCTAATCAGTTAATTACACGTATTACAATGTCAAATTGTGGTTTACAAACACTTCCATGGTGTTTATTTAATTGTGTTAAAAATTTAAAGGTAACAGTTTTGAATTTTGGTACGTTAATAAAAATAATAGAATGAGTCTAGTTAACATCATTAATTGATTTTAATTAGATAATCAATAAAAATTAGAAATTATTGAATAACTGTTTTGTCATAATTTTGAAATATTCATCAGTTCTCATTCATTTAGATCTCGAGCCTGGGACTGCAAGCGCTACTGTGAACATAGTACCTTTAAAATACTATATCGAAGTTAGAGATACTATTTGGTCATTATTCAAAGTTATTTACTGATAAGCAATATAGAACCTTGTTGTTATAATTCTCTCTTATGGTTATAACCCAGCTATTCCTATTGCTTAGTATTCTCGGACACTGATTCACTCGACAAGTCCCCCAAATCAGAACGCGGTTGAACAGGGAAAGAGATTATATTCCATATAACAAGGTTAGATGGAAGTAAGAAGCAAGCAAGTAAGTACAATAGGGAAAACGTTAGTATATTTATAGTTTTTCACATGAGAATATTTCTTGTGTTCACTAAGTATTGGCTAACGCTGATTGGCTAATTCTTATCCAATCAGCGTGCAGCAAAGCAATCGTGCATTGAGCATGCTTTAATTCAGTCTATGTTTGGTATTTTAGAACTGGGATCTCTATAGTTAAAAACTCAACTTTTAATTAATTACTGGATTACATACTTGAAATCCTGATCCTTTAAATTTAATTTTGGGCAGTTGAATTAGTGAGCATCTTTAACACAACCCAAACAAATGATATGTCACTCGAAGCTGAATACAAATACCTCTATTTCATTATGGATTCATATTCAGTTAATTTAGAAATTATTATAAACGGTGTAACTGTTCTTTACTGACGACTTACGATGGCTCTTGAACTGATTTTTAGCAAGTAAAAATATGGTTGGTATACGTGAATAACATAATATATAAAAACTCATAAAAGATTAGGTCAGAAGCCAGGGTTAAAATCTTGTGGAGCTACTCGTTCAAATAAATGATGAAAGTTCTTATAAACCAATTCGAAATGCTTGTTTAAATAGTTATGCTATGTGTTAACATATACTATTATACTAGTTTTCGTACGTACACATTATGTTCCGATATTCCTTTATACATACCCTTCGATTGTCTTTTCTTACCACATTCTTGATTTTTTATTCTTTGACACTATCAATGCAACTACATTTCGATTCCATTTACTATTAACCGTGTTAATCTCTCGTCTTGCTCTTTTGGTATGACGAACTAAGCCAATGCAATTATGTACGCTAGGCTGTATGTTGATTTTGATTGACTGACCTATCTTGCTTCACTGACAGATATTCCGGTAAATTGAGTCAATGCTCTGCACATTTATGCCAGGTCTCGTACATTGGTTTCGACTGAATAATTGATTAAATTTAGTTTTTAAATCACGAACTGATCTTAGTTCGATCGCTATCGAAAACCTAAAAGCTCTGGTCAGTCATTTCGTTATAGTAGAGAACTATTCAGCAACACACATCCACGACTCTTTATACAGGAGTCGAACCTAAAACTTTCAGTCAAACACGTGGGGACGCTTGACCTCTAGATTACTGGACTGGAATTCGACGTTTTTTAATGGCAAACTTTAATCGATTCACAATATTGCGTGTTTATATTTTCGTTATTATTTTACGAAAGGTTTTTTCTCTTTCTCTTTCGTAAATGTTTTTTAAAGGAATTAGATTTAAGTAAAAATCATATTCGAAATTTACCTATACAACTACCGAATGTTCCAATGGCATATCGATCATGTCAATCCGTCTCTACTTGTTGGACATCTAGTTTAATTTATTTAGATTTATCAGAGAATTGTTTGGACTATTTGCCATCATGGTTATTTGTCAATATATATGAATATGAACAAGGCATCATATCGTTCTCCTGTAGAGGAAAACTAAACAATGATGATAATAATAATGACAATCTCAAAGAACAATATGCACATGTTCTTACTGAAAAGACTAAGCTCATTGATTCCCATCCTCTTCGTCGATGTTATTCAGAGACCTCAGTCAATACCACTACTTCTTCAATACACCATACAACAGTGATGCATGATTCATTTGCACCAAATCTTTTACATTTATTATTGTCAAAAAATCAATTACGTGTACTACCACCGGAAATATGGACAGGCTCATTATGGTGTAAATTAGAATTTCTTGATTTAAGTTGGAATGAAATTGCTTACTTACCAATGCCGAACTTATTAAAAGTACAATTTGAACATTCACGACAAATGTATAAACAATCATTATATATAAAAGTTAGTTATAATTGTTTCATAATGATGTATTTTTCAATTAAATTTTATAATTTAATAGCATTTTTCAAGATTTATTCGATATTTTGACTTTTACTTATCAACTAACTAGTCATCATTGCTTATAGCGGAAATCAGTAGAATAATGTACTTGATCACTATTTTGTTCTGGTTCGGTTTGTGAACAAGATGATTTCAAGTGTTCTTAAAGGTTTATCAGAGCCGGTTATTATTTCCTGGTTGTCCTTGGTGCTGCCAACAGAAATCCATGTGGTAAAATGAGCTGTACCGTCTTTGAGGTCGATCTTTCATAAACTCCCCTTTCGTCGTAGGAAATTGGGATCGTTACAAATGCTGCTTGTCTGAGGAAAACTTCAACAAGTTTTCCTGTATGTCTTGACCTTCTAAACTTAACTTTACTAATGTTAGTCTCATCCTTCTCCAACCGACCTACCCAGTATTACAGAACATAGAGGGACAAGTTTCCTGGTCTCAATTGGTTTATCATAATTCGGATTTGTCAACTTTACTGTGTACTGCGACCGTCATCTAATAATATCTATTGGATTTTATTCTGATTTTGCTGACTTTGCGGAAATATTGCTTTCCACCAGGAATTCGAACTATCCATGAGTGTTGAGCCCTTATTTGACTTCACTTCACCGGTGACTTTTTGGGAATATATATATATATATATATATATATATATATATATATATATATATATATATATATATATACGTGGATTCAAGATGAGGAACTGGGAATACCATTCGGTGCTTAGTACAGATAGGGAGAAAACGTTCATTTCAGTATGACCAAACAAATAAGTATGTCTGACTGACTGAATCAAAAATGATTGACAAGAAAATTGCACAATAAATGAACTGTTACTCATAAGTAATGTACTTGTAATACACAAATCTCACGATTTTTGAGCTGATATTCTGTTTTCATGCCACTTAACACATCAAATAACTTCAAAATGCTAAAAATGACATGAAATAAGCATGTATAATCTTGAAATATTTCCAGTTTAGCCGTTCTAGATTTTTCCGTGTTACTCTTTCGATGTTTTACTACCACTGTCAGTTGATCCTATTGATATGCTCTGATATTGACAGATAATTCCAATTTAGAACAATACATATAAGCGAACAATTGTTTTCAATTAGATCGTCATCAGGCTTTACTCTAATATACATGAATATTTATACGAAAATGTAAACCAACCAAGGCAATATGAGTCAATAATCACAATAAAATAGAATAAGTCTCTACACATAATAAACATTAAGAATTAAAACACAAAGTTCAGCGAAGGGATCTCTTTTCAACAAATTAATTATCAAGCTGTACAATCGTATATATATATATATATATATATATATATATATATATATATATATATATATATATATATATATATATATATATATATATATATATATATATATGAAAACTACTTCTATCCACATTCTTCTCTATGAAACGGTCTGAATAGCCATTTTCGGCCAGCGCTCGATTTCAACTCGGATATGGGAACACATCGCAGTTTGGTTCTACAAGAGTGAAAGGAAAGCAGTTAGAAGTTCGTCTGTAGTCATTCTATGGATCCACAGTTCGATTTTCAGGTTGTTTATATGATTCATTCAAATCTACCTAGATTTCTTCGTATTCAACTCTTAAAATTAGCCGAAGCTCTGTGCCATCCATGAGCTCAAACTAGAACTATGCATACAAAAGTAGTACATCCTATCGTTACCTTGACTTTAATTATTATTATTATTACTTCATTCCCCTTTACTTATGTCTTATATTCTAACTATTTTATTCCTAAATACACATCATATCACCTTATTTATTTTTACACCTCTATGACTTTTAATGACCTTTAATTATTGCAACAAGAACATTTTAATCATCTTATTATATTAACTAAATCTAATGTTGTTATATTGGTATTTTGTAATGTAGTATTATAATCTTCCTATTACGTCATCTTGGTTATTCGTGTTCACATTTCCTCACGGAATTGGTACTTTGACAAAATTTCTTATTATTAGAAGGGGATTTTGTGGAGATTTTAGTAATTTCAATTGTTGAGATCATGTGTCGATTGAAGCTAGACCAACATGGAAAACCTGGAAGCACAGGATGGCCATCTCGTCCTATTGTGGGACTCAGCAGTGCACATCCAGTACGCCTCGCGGGATTCGAACCGAGAACCTACTGGTCTCGCGCGCGAGCACTTAACTACTAGACCACTGAGCTAGCCGGCACCCAACAGTGTTAATGTCTATCTTCAACTAATCCATGAAATTGAGTGACACATCCACCATTGTCATCAGTGAGTTACTATCTCACAACAGACCCGGTTGAACTCCACTGGTCACTGCTTCTCACTAGAACTCCAGGATATACATCTTGAAGCCAGTCACTAGTGAGCATATGTTGATTATTATCAGAATTGGGTTTTGTGGAGATTTTAGTAAATTTAGTTATTGACTCATGATCTCAATAATTGAAAATTTTTCACATATATAAACGATTATACAGCTTGATAATAAGCTCTGATATTTTATTTGCTTTTAGTTATATCTTTTAACTGTATACTCAAAATAGACTAATTTTGTCTTATTGAATATTGACCTACTTATGTGGCGCATATCTATTCGGTACCTCTTTGTACTAATATTTATGTGTTCAAATAAATAAATAGATGAAAATTGAATAATGTAATCATTTGTTAAAATAGTACTTTCAATTTACTACATAATGGTGTACGTTATTATCCGGTAAATACATTCAGCTTTGTGCGCTACACTGTTTTATTTGTAGGTGTCCACATGATTATCGTAATCAATGGTTAGAGATACTTGATTACGTAACATCAAGTCAGTCACAATGACACTGATACATTCACTTTTCTCTTCTCCCAATTCTTGAGTTTTTAAACCATCGTACGTAGTTTGTTTTGCGAATTCATATTTGATTTGCCCATTGTTATTAGCTATTGATTCATGTGCTTGTTTCCAAAGTCATACTCTAAGTATTGAAGGTTAATGATACTACTGGGTTGCTGAAACCAATGTAGATGAAACAAAGTTCAAACATACAATTTAGTAATTCATTTTTATATTGTTTGTTTGAATTTTCCGATTGATGTTTAGTACTGCAATGGACCAGTCTCTTATTGGCACATGTGCATCCTGTACGGGTTACCTCGATATCACCTCAACAAATAATATAGGACGAAATGCACGTCCTGGATTCCACTGCTTATGCAGCTTTCTAAGTAAAAGTTGAACATCCATCGCTTCACAATTAATCTTGGTGAACAATACGTAGCAAATTTAAAATCCAGTTTAGGCAATCCTTTTTTTTGTTAATTGATTAGTATTACTAGCTTGTAACCATGTACATAAATTTTTACTTGTTAGAAATGATTTATACTAATGAATATAGTTTTTTAATTTATTCATTATTTATAATTAAGGAATCATTATAAAAATAATAAAACATAGAAGTTCACTTGATTATCAGTGTATTGATTTGTAGTTGTTCAATTGCATTGTATACAACTCTGTCATTTCATGCATAATATAAAATATTCAATCAAAGATGAATCAATATAGAATGTATTCTTTGAAGACATTGTATTTTGTAGTAATCTAGAAAGAAGAAAAACTCATCAAGGTCATATTATTATTTCACTTCATTGTCATTGACTTTTAAAATTTCATTTGTTTTACTGTTTCTACCTGGTTATACTATTATCATTATTATTATTATTATTATTATTATTATTATTATTATTATTATTATTATTATTATTATGTAATATATTTTTCTTAATTAATAGACACAATGCATAAAAGCAACTAATGAATTCAATTACAATATGCAATTACTAAATAATATTGAAGAATTTGCATTCAATTTTAATTCTGAAAGTATTTCATGTTTACCAACTGATCAATTGATTACTACAATAACAAATTATTATCAACCTATAGAAAATTATACTACTATGAATACGAAGAATTATAATGATAAATTATTGAAAAGAAAATCTGTTGAATGTTTTTATCAATATGGTATGTGGATACATTTGTTAATTGATTAGAATGTTAAAAAATTTTATGGAGTGTAAGGGGGGGTAAGAAGTAGGTTTTTCTTTTCGAGATTGAACTCTCCGAGTTGAAGAGGTTTTACTTTGAAACTTTCCATTATCTTTTCAGACAATATTATCAGTATATATATATGTCAGCTTACGTCTATCTAGTTTATATATAGAAAGACCATCAGAACTTAATGATTGAACTATATAGTTCAGAGAATCCAATTTCAACAAAATTATCTACCTAAGTTACAAATCTCTATCATGTTGAAACGAATTAGTATGACTGGCTTGAAAAAAGATTATTAGGGTTCCAATTTATGTACATTATAGTACGTCTCACAAACCCTGGTAACTGATAATTTCTCAACATAAGTTAAGAAAAACTTTCTTGATATTTGTAAACTTAATCCATATTTTTTGTCAGTGTGGTGTTTGTCTATCAAAGGTCGCATATTGTGTGCAGCGGCCTGTTGTTTACCACGTACGAAACATGATTTTTGTTACGAAAGTGCGAAAATTTCATTGTAGGTATTTTCGAAGCATTGATTTGTATATAGTGAAACCAATATAGTGAGCGTTGATAAGGTTAGGTGAAGATTGTTAGATAAAAGTGGTTAAAAGTTTGTGGAGATTGTTGAGCTTAATAGCTAAAATGATTCCATAATTCCTACACTATCTATAATCATGTACTTATTAGTGCTTAATTTCTAGAAACGAACCGTGGAGATCTAGGAAAAAGCCATGACTAGTGGAGTTAAACGATGTTTCAAGTGAGACAACTATCCATCAACGGAATCGGAAGGTGGTTACGCAAAGTTGCGAATTGATTGAAGTTAAACTTGTAAGCTGCTAGTTACGAACTTGTAAGGCTTGGAAATCCTGAGTTTGCTCCAGTGGGGTCGTTGGTGAGCTCCATTGAGATGCTTCATACTAAAATGGAACATTCCCTATTTAATAAGTCCTAACGGAAATATATTTGTTTCTGCCATTTGCAATCTCTAAAAATGAATATTACATTCACTCGAGGTTACAGTTTGTTAACAAGTGCAATCATATATGTAAAATGAAGATTTAGCACTTAAAATGATTCCTATTGTGAATAGTATTTTTGGTTATTAATTACTGACTTTCTGAATTCAGCACCTCAATAAATAATCCATAGGCATTTGAAGCAGACTTTTCTGGGTTATAGCCTTGATGATGTGGACATTGACATTGAGATGAAAATTCATCCAGCCGATAAGTCCTAAGTAGGACGAGAAACGCTTCCTAGATTTCATTGTTAGTTACAATATATTTATTCTAAACAACACATAATAAGTAATATCTAGTATTAGAGATAGGGGGAAAGTAAGCAGTTTTGTCTGGTGTGCCCACTTGGAATGGATCTGCCATCTGTCCTCCAAGCACCATTTTACAACATAGTTCATCGTATGAATTCTGTATGATGTCGATCTTTTCAGGTACACAAGGTAGTTCCATAAGGTTCTCCTATCCAGTATATCAAACGCTTTCTCATAGTTGTGACGAATTCCATCTGTAGCTCTTCTAGTGTTACTTCCGATCATAAACGCAGGTAGATGAGGGGAGTTGGTCATCGAGTAAGTAACCACATCTCATAGAAACACAACCTTGCTAAAAATACGCTAACCAAAATAATCAATTTTCATTGACTAATACGAGAAAATGGACCGTATTTATTGATTTATTCATTTGTTTATCTGTTTAATTTAATTACAGAACAACATACAAGTCATCTTACACATCTTTTGTTACATCATAATTGTCTTAAAACATTACAATTAACCAATTCAATAAACAGTTATTCAACTCGTATACATTCATCAAAATTATTACAAAAATTAAGTCTTGCTCAAATCTGTCCAAATCTTCTATATTTAGATGCTAGTTATAATTCTATTGAGGATTATTTCGATTTATTTTTATGTCCAGAATCTATGATTTATATTGATTTAAGTTATAATCATATGAAAATCCCTGATGATGATGATGATCATCATCATCATTATCATTATGATTCTCAATCATCCTCACCGTCAATAGTTTGTCAGTTCGAAACTCTTTTTAAATCATTTTCTGATAAGAATAAATCCAGGTAAGTATTTAATTATTTCATTGTTCTAAATGCAATTTCACTTGTATAACCTGAATGAATTAGCTGAAATAAGAATCATGAATTTGTAATTTAACAGACTATAAGGTAATACGGTCCTGTTGAGGAATTTGTGGGTCCTGGATTTATTGTGCTGATGGAGTGGGCGTTTAGTGTCATTGAGAGTAGGTTCCCTTAATGTAAGTAGGAAACCATTGCTCAATGTTGCATGATGTGCGATGGTTTTATTCAATTGATGTCAGTTCATGATGTGTTGGAATTCAGGACGCTGACCTCACACCATTTAAGACTCATTAGCTGCATGTATCTGTATTTCAATGTTAACATTTACGTTGGGTCTGGAATTACATGTATTTGGCTTCAAAAAATAATTGTGTTTTCTACTGAACTACTGATTTGTTCAACAGATTTCAATATCATTATTAGTGATGACTTGAATTATGCTATAATCTCAAATTGAACATAAATGCTGGGTTGCAAGCAAGTCTCAAATAGGACAAAAGGTGAATTCTTCACCTCACTCCTGCATCCATAATTGATCGATTCTATGAACAAAAACTTGTAACAAAATAGTTATACCGAAGCAGTCCACACACAGAATGTACATATCTCAACAATGACTAACCAGAATTCATTCTTCAATAATATCAACATCAGGTCGATTCCAATCCTTTTTAATGATGATATACACCATTTCTTATGTAATATTTCCATGTGTATTGCATACAAAATATCTTTTTTTTGTTCTAACTTCTTTCACTATACAAACATTATTATTATTGTTACTATTTTTCATATATTTAGCTCCACATCGTATTCGTTACGTAATTGGGATTTAAATAAATTCCCAACGTGTAATTATTACTCAAAATTGGAGCATCTCAATTTAAGAGGCAATCAATTTCACATATTCCCTTATTGTTGTTATACTAACACATTAATGGATAAACTTAATCAAACTAAGGTATTTTGCGATCAGTATTTCTTCTACTTTATTTGTTGGTAAAATATATTTTATTATTTTCAAAAAGATAGTTTTATTACTTTAAGAAAAAAACGGTGAGGCTATAATTTATGAACGACCTTCGAGCGACCCTAAATTGATCTTGAGAGTGTGTTCACCTTATAACTAGGACTAAAATGAGGGTTATAAACAGTGTGAGGAATTAGAATTATGATTTACAGTTGATGGTTAGTGTTATGAATTACATTGAGGGTTTTCATCACGAACTGATATAAGCTATAATGCCAAAACTTTATTTAGCTAAATAGATGGGAGAATTTCGCGCTAAAATCTGAGACCTGTTATCTTATACCTGATTGGTCCCCCCCCCAAAAAAAACTGTTCATTGTTTCAATAGAAATAAAAGTTGGAGTAGAACAAATTTGTACATAAATTACAATAAACATGACCCTGAGATACAATAGTCAAGACAATATGTTGAGTCTAAAAACAACCAATCAGATAATGATCAATGTCAATGGGGGGGGGAAATATTGAGAAGAAGTTACCACAGACTTCTTTATATATCAGAACTACCAAAGAATTACAAAAAATCAGATAATTTCAGGTTTGTCTAATGCTTAGGTCATTTGTTATTTATAATTAACTGATTAGTTGATATGATGTGTACACTCAACTGTATCCTTTATATTTTCAATAGTACTATCATAAACATCTTTAATATTATTAGTGTTATTATTAAATTGTATTCATTCCTTTAGATATTCAATGAATTTCAACTGATCAAATCACTTTCATTCGGTATACATCCATTACAAGAAATAAATCTGGGATCATCTTATTCAATGTCAACTAAAAATGAAATTATACTGTTATTTCCAAAATTGAAAACATTAGACTTAGGTGAAAATCCTTATTTAAAATGTATCTATCCTAGTCTATTACATTTAATTAATTTACAATACCTTTCATTGGATTGTTGTATAACATTGTGCGAGGTAAAGCTATTACTTGTTTTTTTGGTTTTTTATTATTATTATTATTGTTGTTGTGATTTGTACTTATTTGGCAGAATGCCAACTACTTTTATTCCCCTTGATCACTGTGATTATAAATCGTACTTTGTGTTTATAATCGAATGAAATTCATTTGTATTTGAAGATACTTCATAGTTATCTATCGACTATCTATCATAATACACCTCTGGATTAAGGGAAATAACGCCCCCCCCCCCCAAAAAATTTGAATACTTCACTTCTACCTGAAGTTTTTGCTGATGATATCGTTTAGAATAACGATGAAAGCTCCACAACCAAACCATCCAGCTCAGAGAACAAAAATCCACCAAAATCCCTCAAAATAGCTTCCGTTGCTTTTGATGGCTTCCTTATTTCTCTGTCCACATCAGGTATACTGATTACAGACCAGATACTTTAAACACGATACTTTAATAGAAAGTTATGATCACACTGTTGGTGATATTGAATTGTAATAGCTCTATGAAAGATTTTCATAGATGGTCATGATTTCTAAATGTTGTTGCGCTTAGATTTTCACTTGATTGAATGAAGTTGCTACACAGAAAATGTTCTAGGCGAGTCTGTAAATATACACTTGTTGAAATTAAAAATTTTATTCATTAAAATGTTTCTTCGAAAAAATTAATCAAACTTGTGGCTGCATATTTATATTCTACTAAAAATACTCCTTTAGTTCGTATCACATCTCTTTAGATAACATTTTTCAATACTAGCAGTCAAAAGTGTTGGTTTCGTACATACATACAGCTGGAACTGTTCAATACTTTGTAGACTAGAAATCAGTGTATGAATATACGTTTCTAACTCAGTGATCTGAATGTTAAGCAGTCAACTCTGAGCGTGATGGTTTTGGATCCTATCGTAATTGAGGTTTTGGACGTGCATTGCTGAAGAGTCCTACTTCAGGGTTATGAGATGTTTATCGATCAACGTCAAATCGGGATGTTGAATATCAAAGTTACAATGAATAGTTTTAGTGAAGCAGACACTCATAATAGTTCATAAATCGGTTTTGGGAATTACCAGTCCTTCAATTTTCATGCTGACATATCACCATGTGCTGATTTTTTTAAAGATCCATCATAACATTTGTTTTTTTAATTTTAGCTACCGGGTGATTTATTTCGTTTGCCAAATCTACAAAGTATTTTATTAAATAAAACACCATTTGTTAAACATTTAGCAACACTGATCGATCCTACCGTAAGACTAAACCAAGTTGTTGGAATACAAGGCAATAATAATAATGATAATGATGTTAATGATTATCCAAATTTAAATGAAAAAATCTACACACGACGTATACTTTCATGTTTGAAATCAGTAACAGATCAGTACGTTTCTATGTGTGTTTGTGCTAGTATTCTTTGTATTTTGTTGTTTCATTTTGGTCACTTCCCATATAAACTATGTTGTGATTTTCTATCTGATTAAGTTGTAATCTTAGTAATCTAGGTGTATTTGTGAAGATAAGTTTTGAATTTGACCATCGCGATTTCATACGATAAACAAAAATGAACTTGAAGTGGGAATACACGAACTGACAACAGATATAATTGTTACTCATATCTTTATTGTTTACTGAGCCACGAAGTATCAAAAAAGGAAACCTGATCTGTGATTGAAAAGAATAATTGTTCGGGGAGACCCAGGAAATTCCTTGAAGAAAGCCAAAAGAGGCCCTGAACACTCTGGGAGACATTTTTCTCCAATTAGCACTGAATGGAGGTTTCTCGGAAACATCCAGAAAGTGAAGAATCATGTGTCATATTTCTGATTACCTGTTCTGCTACTATGTTCTTTAGGGTTCAGATTGTCGAATAAGGTTGTTCCGACAGCCATGTAGAAACGTGAATGAAAGAGTTATGACTTGTAGCCTTGTGCCATATTAATATGTAACTTGATGATGCTGCCAATTAGAGAACAGTGACTTATGGACCGAACCAATGACACATAAACCCATACGAGCAGTCCAAAGTCCTCATCGCTCCTTCTTCCTGCCTAGCCCTGCCTGTTGAGTTCCGAACACCTATGTCAGCCTCCACAATATGAATCAAGTATTTCAAACATACTAGGTTTATATACAAGCCAATTAGACCATATCACACCATAAAGTAGGAAATAATATTTGTACAAAATCTAGCCAAAAGTGCCTATGGCTGTGGGGACTGTAATTAATAAACTGGGTATAACTTAAGAATAGTAAACCGTATAATAATCGTTTATAGGTCAAAATAAATTTATGATATGAGGAATATGATTACACATAGTTTAGTTACGTAACACTTATACAATAAAAAAATATACGAATAATATTAGTCCATAAATAGACACCAACAGTTACCATTAATCATTCTCATCGGGATATAATAGAAAGTCTGGATTAGAAAATGTTCCGTTCAATAGGCCATCACTGATCAAAAATATTGATTTCTTGTTCAGCCGCTTCTTTTCAGGTTTTATCTGAAATTGTTTTTTCTTTGAGTAATGGTTTGATGTTAGCTGAACATCGATTTGAAAAATTCAAGCATTACTAACCGAAAAGTAGCACACCCCACTTCGCCTTATTGATTTCCTTGTTCATCAGTAGAGGCTTACAAATTCGGATTTAATACATCATGAAGTACTCATAAACGGCCGTGTATGATCGGCCTCATGTAGATCTTGGGGTCTGCATTTATGCTTTCTGGTAGTCAAAAACATACTTAACTCAATTTCAGAGCCCTCGAGAAGTAGAGTCTGTTTGTATTATGAACAACTGGAAAGTGATAACTGCTCACACACTGTTAGCAACATGCTAGATCATCTCGTCTTAAGATACAAACTTGGAGTTAAATTTTATTCATTATACCGCTTGCTTAATTAGGTTTCTTCGTACGAATAATAGATCTCCTCATATACTACTTTACGATACTGAGTGAATCTGATATGTTTGAATTAAGGTAGTCTAATTACCAATAAAAATTATGTTCATAGTATACTAACAACTATACAGTCGTAGTTCGTTTGCTATTTCATTCGACTTTCAACTAATTAGTCATATGTCCGAATGTACTTCATTTGTTTCTATGCAAGCACCTGAGTAAATGCCACTTAGTGCCACATCAAGTATAATTTCGAGTACATAAATCTGTATTTGAGATAAATGAATCATTTATTAGTAATAATTTTAATGAGTAATTACATCATATACATTCTGAATAAAAAAAGCCGATAATAAATTATCCATTTCAGTAGTAAATTCGTCAGTTATATGGTCATAATTATTTATTTATTTATTATTTAAACACGTAAACATTGGTACAAGGAGGCATCAAATAGATATGCGCCACACAAATCATTCGATTCGTGTGAGGGCTGGGATACTACCCGGGTGCCCAAACCGAAGCAGGTGGTTTTCTTAGGGAGCCATACCCGGAGCCTTCGACCTAAAGGTCTGGTTCACATGGAAGTGGAGCAACGTCAGGAGATGCAGTTCCATGGTAGCCGGTGACCATACACCATTTGTTTCCTAAAGATCCTGCAGCCTATGTACACCAATGGTTTGGAACCAGGGTTTCCCAACTTCCCTTGGTGGATCCTTCATATCCGCCAAACCGGTTAAATCGCCAGACATTCGCTTTTCGTCTCCTCAATTTCGTAAACAACACCACCGCCTTGAGGAGGTAGTGAGTAGGACTTCCTTGTCAGTGGTTGTCTGCATATGGCCGTGTGAGAGCATTTGGAGAGGGAGAGCTGACTCTCCCCACTCTCGGCCATTTGGGGGCTATGGTAATAATAATAGTGTTCTATGATTTGGTTGAACTAAATGATTTTATTGTCACGAATTCTTAATAGTTTAATAACTAGTAATTCTATTGCACATTTGATCGATTTAATTTCGAAAAGATCCTATCCGTATACTCGATTTCGTGTAATGGTTGTCGGTCCAACAGGAGTGGGTAAAACTACATTAGTTCGTTTGTTACAAGCATCTGAAACTGGGAAATCTTCCTGTCAAAGTAATTTCAATGAAAATGTAAGTTCACATGTGATTTTGTTTTTGTTTTTTTCCTGGTTTTTTGCCACTATTGTACATATGTGGTCAACAGTGAATTCAGTTTTATGAAATCGATACTCGTCAACATGGTGTATCTGTAACCTGCAGAGAGCAGATGCTCCTTGTGGGATTGGAACCCCACGTCACTCAGCTTTACAATCTGAAATGCTGCCTATAAGTCATTTCAGTTCTCAACTGACCTTTCATCAAGCTAAGCTACTCACTTTGTTTAGTTTAATTATACCAGTATATGCTCGATTCCCATCGTATCACTGTACTAAGTAATGCTGCCTTTATACAATGACTGAATTCAAATTCATCACTTTCAAAATCTTGGTTCAATTCTTTTGTGATATCTGTTTTCTTTCTTGGTTAAACTCTCTAAAAGATTCTACATCAATAGAATAACTATTCTTGATGAAAACTTTCTAAAGTAGTTATAAATGCTTCTGGACTGTTTTTAGAGTCGAAATTCGAGTTTTTGTCAAGCGATGTGGTGAATTATAATGAAGCTTAAACTAGTCGGGAATAAATTTGAATTTGGTCGAATTTCGTGAAAATATATATGTATATATCAACTGTTTAGTCGGACGAAATTTTTGAAGAGTGGTTTATTTTGTATGTTCTAAGCGTTACAGATTGACCTTTTACTAAACTATACTACTTAGTTTACTAGTGACTTCCTTCAACATGCTCTGTGAATTCTAGTGAGGAGTCATGACTTGTTCAGTTCACTCATGTTGTGAGATAGTTCTTACGAGTAACATTTGATGATTGACGATCTTTATCGCAAATAGAATGAAGTTGAAATTGTTCAGTCGGTTAAACCTTTCATCGTAGACCTTAAGGTCCCTTTATATAATCTTCAGTTGTATTGTTAGCGTACATTGTTTACGAGTCCCATATTAAGATGAGATAGCTGTCCCGTGCCTTCAAGAATATCCAGTGGTACATAAACTACGATTATTATCTATGATAAGTACTATGTACATGTATGATTCGTAATTTCTATTCTACGGTGAAGAGATGGTTCAATAGTTCAAGTATATGACACTTCCAACTGTTGATTTGGCTTTTCAAATTACCGCCTTCATACTAAAACCTATAGATCACAGGCCGATAGTACGGTGTTGCTAACTTATATCTGATTCTTGATTGTTCTTGAATTTCAACTTAACTTGATCAACAAACATTTAAACTGATTTTGCTTATTTGTTGTAGCCATTTGAAACTGATTTGCATACATTATCATCGTCATCATCATCATCATTGCGATCTAATGAAACTGATAATATACCAGATCATCTCTTACCTTCAGTTCAAATTACAAATTTAACAATAAGTCGTCATAATAACAGTAAACCTAATGAATCTATTAACTCAGTAAGTACTAAGGAAAAAATGTTATGTGTTTTGACAAATTTCTTGTGTACTGCATTTATATATTCTATTTTAACTCTATAATTGAATGAATATTTATAGTCTTAGTGTTACTCTTTGAAGAGTTAAATCAATGTCTGTTTATGATAATTTGATATTGGCTAATAATGAAATCCATGACGTATATTTCGTTCTATTTAGAACTTGTCAGATGGATATACTAATCTCTTCCAGTATTGATTTTCACATTAAGACTAAAAACTCAGTAACTTTCATTTCAAACCTTCAGTGTATAATTCACTGAACTACCGGAGTTAAAATAACTACACTCTTGTACCGTATTTGTGTAGAAATTATTTTTTAGGATTTGTATTATTACATTGTTGATGTTATGTTCTGAATAAGAGGAGATACACGTCCTGGATACCCCTAGCTAGTCACTATCCAAATTTACTAATAACCTTGTAATTCATACCTAGGAAAGAGTTGGTTGGAGAATCCTAGGTGGCGGCTTATACTCTTCCACAAGGGGTAACAGGCGTAATTTATTTATATGCTTGATATGTTAATTTAGATCACACTTCCACATATTCCATTCATTCTCACGTCAGCACTAATCATAATTACAACATATATTTTAACTTGCTAATTAAATATTGGTTTATAAATTTGGATTTCGATTTATGTATTTATGTGTTTAGGAGCTGGTGATACATACACCCGGTTGTCCTAACCAATTAAATAGACATAGGATTCATTTAGTCAATGCCATTTCATACATGCCTCCATCTAAGTTACTCTAGGAGCATCTGAACACGAAGTAGTTGTCAACATAATTATTATTAAGTTTTAAGAATATAGATTGCCACGAATTCTTCGTCTTCTTTTTTCACACATTTTTGATCAAGCATTCAGGATTGTGCATTAATAATTAAATTGAACCAAATAACACAATAGCATTCTGGCAACGAAGATTACCAATTAAGTGCTATATCCAAAGCCAAAACACCAAAATCGATATCATCAAAAAATCCTAAATGGCTTTTACGAAATTAATATAAGATAATACAATTAAGAGAATAATTCAAATGATCAGTTAGAGCTTGTAGGTATCAATGTCAAGATTAGACTTGATAGCTTCAATTAAACTCAGCATTGGGTAGAACAAATGTCTTACATTAAATCAAAAAGCGTAAGAAATACAATTTTGTAAGATGGTGGAGTGGATTTGTAGCTCAGACGGATGATTTATGTGGAGTTATGTTCGTTGAGCTGGATGTTTTGGTTGTGAAGCTTTCATTGTTCTTCTGAGCAATATATATCTCTCTCTGAAGTTTATATTGAACGCCTACTGGTTAAAGTATTTTCAGCATTTACCCATCTTTTGAAGAATTCTTGAAGGCTACCAACATAGTCTAAAAAGGACAGTTTGATTATAGAGAGATATAAAAGAATTTAATATATGAAGTAGAAAATTATTCCTACGTCTTTGTGTACTCTTGACAATTTGTTTACAATCAAATGAAATCAGATTATTGTTGATTGCTTCATCAATCTAGAAATATATGACCGTACATCACAGTGGGTGATGATCACTTGATGTTGATTGGGTAGATCATATTTCTGAAAAGACTTTATCTTTAGTTCTAAAGTTTCAACTCTATACTCCATGAATTGTTTCTCCATAGACGTTGAGAGATCACTGCTACGATATACCTTCCTCCGTGCATATATATATATATATATCGTTTACGTCATTTTCCTTTCCATCTCTTTCTCTAATTCAACAGAATGTTTCAAGTGGAATTACTAATAATAATAATGATAATAATCGTAATTTCTGTGAGACATTATCATTCAGTATTTGGGATTTGGAAAAAAGGGTGAACACCACATCATCTTCTGTTAATACTACTACTAATAATAATGTCGGAAGTAGCATATCTGATATATCGTGTGAATTAACTTATCCATCAGAAGTAATAATTAATACTCAATTGGGTATACATTGTCAATTAACAATATATTTAGTTCTGTGGAATACAGTCGATGGTTTATTAGGATTAAATCGTATTACTCCATGGTTAATGAAAATCAAGGTAATATTTATTTTCAATTTTTAATTGATAATTAAATAATAATTTCTTATCTTAATACTTATCTTTAACGTTGTAACTGTGTATTTGTGTATGTGTATATATTTCGGTCTTCAAAATGTATCTTTTGTCTGAGTATTATTTCTGTTCTATATCTGTACACGATGCCCAAAAATTATGCCTTGCAGTTAATTAGGTTTTCATTGATTGGAGAATGAATGACCTACAAGTTAATTTCCTTCGATAGCCTATGAAATTTTATCACGTCTATTTTGTGACTATATTCTATTCATAAACATTCTATTCTGTCACAGCTCATTTATCTAGCGGTTTTGTTTTTGATGTGGAGGTTTAAGTCAATAATATAGTGTCATAAGTAGTCATCATTTGGCTACACTTCATATTATTACGCCCCCAAATGCCCTGGCACGGCCGAGAGTGGGGAGAGTCCGCTCTCCCTCTCGAAATACTCTCACACGGCCGCGCGTATATAGCCTCTGCCAGGGAAGTCCTACTCACTGCCTTCTCGTGGCGAGGGTGTTGTTTACGAAAATGAGAGGACAGAAAGCGAATGTCCGGCGCTTTAACCGGATTCCAAACCAATGGTGCACATGGGCTCCAGTATCCTGCGGGAACAAATGGCGAATGAACCAATTGTTGGTCACCGGCTTCTATGGGACTGCATCTCCTTACGATGCTCCACTGCCTTGTGGATCAGACCTTCAGGTCGAAGGCTCGGGGTGTGGCCCCCTAAGAAAACCACCTGCTTCGGTTTGGGCACCCGGGCAGTATCACAGCCCTCACACATATTGAATGAGATTTGTGTGGCGCATATGTATTTGATGCCTCTTTGTACCATTATCTATATGTTGAAATAAATAAATAAATAAATTACGTTCATCTGTTGTAAAACATTTTACGCATTGAGTTTAACAGTCGAAAATTCACTTATCGATCGTTAAAAAGCTGACTTCGCAACAATCCTTTTTATTACGTACCTCTATACTGTGTGATGATATTTTCGCATTGGGGTTTTAAAGCATAACTAAGACATAAGATTTCGTTTTTAGGATGTTACATCGACGATCATGCTAAGTTTAGAGTCTAAAATTAGGAAAAAGTAAGACTTTTGACAAAATGATTTTTTTCTTGGTGAAAACTTAACATTAATATAAGGAATACATCGGTAAGTAGTTTACTATTTTAACAATTAAATACTTACCACCAGATCTCATGGTCCCTGTTACATCCCTGATCTGTCTACCCACTTTCGTGCAGATGATAACTTGGCTAACCTGGATTAAGACCTTGACGCGATAGGTTGACCGGCTTAACCTTGAGGCTAGTATACGTGAGTTCGAAGTGAAATCAACCACGTGGGGTAGAGAGACGAAAACTATGCTATCACGTGATTGGTTGACAAGCCCGATTTATTCTCAATTCTTATATGGTTCCCGATTCTAGATCAGTGTAAAACGATACACGAATAAATAGATGAGTAACCAGATCACAACGCACAACAATTAGGAAAATACAATTGACGAAAACTGGAGATTAGCGTATAAAATAGAATAGAAAATATTACGTTTAAATTACAATAGCTTTGAAACAAAAAGGGCTATGGCTGTGAATCACATATGAAACGAAAGCTCATAATCTGTAGAATAGACTAGAGACAAAAATAAATGTCACTCTTTTACAAGGTTTTAATTAGATGAAATAACTTATCCCCCAAAATAGCTTCCATAGTTTGTCAACGCATCTTGTTTCTCTATAATAAATAAGATTTTTCGTCTAAATTTGATCGAATAGTTTCACAATATTTGGGCGCCGAGTTAATGTGAGATATTAAAGAGGAAGAATGTATTTGTAAAATTTCAGCGAAAGAATTTTAAGTAAATCCAACGTTTCCTTGAAAAAGCTTGGACCAAATTGTCAGGAGAAACTTCAAAATTCATTCGCTGAGATTTTACAAATACATTTTTCCTCTTTAATGTTTCTTGTTTCTTTGTTCACATCAGTCATGTACACTCGATTTCTGCTAAGGTCATCGATACTCACTGCTGACGAATTTGATTTTTTGTTGTTGAATGAAATACTGATCTAATACTTTGAAATATGATCTAACTAATATCAATCCATAATGTAGACTATAAAAAAAGGATTATAACAAGCATATATTTCTTTACATTGAATTGAATTACCTTAATTATTATTTCTTCCTCCTTGTTATCTTTTTTTTTAATAGTCAATTAGTCCAAATTGTCCAATCATATTAGTCGGTATCTATTCTGATTATCTTTTAAATTTAAACCAAACTATAACTACTGACAATTCATCTTCAATTAATATCAGTAGTATGAATAAATCAACAAACTCCAAGTATAACAATAATAATCTTAAATTTCATTTCAATCTAATGGATAATATTGTTCGTAGTAGATTTTTTACAAATTCCGATTTAAATGCATATGGATTACCATATTTGTACAATTATATGTTTATAAATTTATCCAATATGAATATGAATCATTCAGAAAGATTACAAAACAGTATTTATGAATTAGCTACATTAATTTATAATGCTGCTTATCATTTCAATATAACAAGTAAGTTTATATATATAATGAATTAATGATTTGTTATTTTATTATATTAGTGTAGAAGAATATTGTAGTTCACCAACGTAGATGATCTACATCGAAATGATTGGAGGCCTACTCGAGTTAGACGTGAATGGTGTGACAAACTAGCTAACGTCGAAGTCACACCTCGTGGTCAGCACCTTACATGGACTACCCCATTGACGTACCATAGATGCTTTGAAGACTGCACAACACAGAGGACGTTATTACAGAAATATATTAGTTAAGGTAGATACAAGCGAAAGTAAGACCATTGCCGCATGGACCAGTCCATGGCATACGATTGACTGATGCGCGTTGGTTGCCCCTGACCTTGACGAAAATCGATGATTTGCTCGATATTCAATGACCCAACTGCTGGATGATTTGGCTAGGGCTTAGTGACATTTCGCTGGCCCTACAATATATTTGTAAAATCTCAGCGGAAGAATTTGAAGTAAATCCAACGTTTCATCTGGCAATTTGGTATAAGCTTTTTCAAGTAGTTTCATTTCTTGAAAGGACACAACATCCAAGGTGTAAAATGACAACGACCAATCTTATTCATTATTAGTTGCCATGGGACAACCAGTTATTTTCTATCTCTCCTATTAATACTGTTTGGATTAACCCATATATGTAGGGCTTCGTCTGTTAGTCCTTTTTTATTCGATTCTATCTATATCGCATTAACTAATTAACAGATAATACATTCAACGATTCTAATCAATTATCTTATCTGAATATGTTAAACAATTGACTGGAACTTTGAAAATAACACAAACTTTCAATTACAAATACATTCTTCCTCTTTGAATTAATTCTTTTGTCTTGTTTATTTATCTTCATTTTATACATGCTGTGACATTTTTGATTCATTTCATATATAAAAATGATATGTTTTCTTAATATTCACCGACCGAAGACAATATATAATGAATGAAATTTCTACTTCTCATTTACGTATACACACAATCTGTTATCTTAACATTTTCCATTTTCACATTACATGTCTCTTACACACTAATGTAAATACCTACTTTATACATTGTTAACTTTGATTGGGTGACTTATTCAGTATACAGTAAACCAGAGAACTATGGTACCTATTTATATTCGATAATTTTGTTGCTTGATTATATTTTCCTTGAACAACCTTGAACCAGATTGCCAGGTGAAACGTTGGATTTACTTCAAATTCTTTCGCTGAGATTTTACAAATCTATTCTTCTTTAATATCTCACATTAACTCGTCGCCCAAATACTGTGAATCTATTCGATCAAATTTAGACAAAAGTTCTTATTTATTATATTATTGTGTTATAACAGTTGATTTTCCAACGTTTACACGTATGGGACATTAATCTACCTTAGACGAATATCTATACTAGCTTCCCTTCCAGTATGTCTATTCTTCAGGACTTCAACATAACTCAGATGATCAAGAACACGTGATTCGCTTGACTACAACGTAAATATATTTCCACATCAAAAACCCGACACAATCCAACAACAATGAACAATCAATAATAAGTAATAATTATAAGGGTAGGGAAATATATAACTCATCTAACACCAGTCAGACTATATACATATCTGACTAAGCAGACAACCGATGATTATCATTCTAGCCCACACATCAATTATACATTTCTATTTCTGCTTTATACTTTGTAGTGTTTCAAAATAAAAACTACAAACTGAATTAGAAATACTTATAGAAAGAAATTCAATACATATTGATATCTCTTTGCTAGATTAGTGACATTAACTAGTACCTTGGTAAGGCCGAGAGTGGGAAGAGTCAGCTCTACCTCTCGAGATGTTCTCATATGACCACGTGTGTAGAGCAACCGCCAGGGAATTTCTACTCACTGCCTTCTCATAGAGGGGGTGTTATTTACGAAATTGAGAGATGAGCGAATGTCTGGCTCTTTAACCAGGTTGGTGGGTAAAGAAAAGCCAACTAGGGGGTGGGGGTGGAAAACCACAATTCCAGGATCCTGAGGGCACAAATGGAGTATGAACCTATTGTTAACCACTGGCTACCATTGGACTGCACCTCCCTACGTCACTCCACGGCCTTGTGGATTAGACCTCTAGGTCAAGTTTTTGGGTGCCCGGACAGTATCCCAGCCCTCACACAAGTCGAATCATTTGCGTTGCGCACATGTATTTGGTGCCTTCTTGTACCAATGTGCTTCTGCTTTTTTTTAATAAATAGTAAGTTAGAAGAAACGAGGAAAGGCCAATGCGAAACGTGACTTCAGTCCATGAGGCTATTAACTACGTTGATAGATATAGACAACCTGGTTAAGTTTACGATATAACTACTATTGGTAGTTGTAGATGTTGGATGATATAACTCAGAATCGGATGAAAATGTTTTCATTTCTTTCTTTTCCAGCATCTCTGTAAATATATCTTCTCATCATGCTTTCTCTTACAAGCTTATTCCCACTACTTAGTCTTTCTCATTATCATTGCTAGTAGATTATTCCATCCTGTCATGCTAATGTGGTATGGTAACTTTGACTAACACATGTATATGCCATGCTCTACGTTACTTTGACGTGACAGACACTTCTAAATAATATCAGCTAGTGAACCATTGAATCACTATGAAACTAGTTTAACGGAATCGAAATAACATTCTCATTGCATGACCTGAAGCTGATTTTAACGAAAAATAAGTAATGTTGCGTATGCATAATACCAATATGTTCTAAATTAGGGTCATTACACAATGAAATTTATATTCAGTTCTTACAAAACACAATGCAAACTACTTTTAAAGTTCATAGTTGCACTGTGAACGTTCATCGATTGAGATGATAAGAACTTGCGAAACTTAGGCATGGTCAATCCCTACTTTACAGTTGATTTGTGTAGGAATAAATTGAAAGGAAAACAGAAACGGGTTAACTTAAACATGTCATCAATCCATGAATTCTTTCACTATTGATCTGTACGATGTTTGTAGGTGTTAATTACGACTGACTAATTCAATTCATTTTTCATAATATCATTTCTTTCTTTAATAAAATCAATAATAGATCGTACAGCTGATGTATTGTTGCCGAATATATCTATTGCTCCAAGTTTATCTCAATCATTTTTACAATTATCAATACCAAAATTATATCATTTAGCTGAAAGTATAACGCAACAATTAACTATTGAAATGTTGAATGCACAATTACCACCAATTATGGAAGTTAATAAATTTATGTAAGTTATTCTTTGAAAGAATAATACTTTTATTATTTGCAAAGATGGATAGTGGCTAGCAGTGAAAACTAGGACGCGCGTTTCGTCTAATTTGAGACTCGCCAGCTGAATGTACCTGTATTTAAGAGTTGATGTTCACTCTGGGACTCGAAACCAGTACCATTCGCTTCAAGCGCCATTGCGTTATCTACTAAGCTGCTGAGTCCTGACAGCCACTTGCTTGTGCGATGTGGTGACGTTTAAATCCACTTGGTTTTGTTCGGCTTGTATCTTCCCATTAAGGTTTAACACTGCAATTGATCAGTCTGTGATTGGCATATGTGCATACTGTGCGGATCGCCTCGATATAGATTTAAGTAACAAGCTTTCTTAAGCAAAGATGGATAGTGGCTAGCACTGAAAACTGGGACGCGCGTTTCATCCTGTTTGGGGCTCGTCAGCTGGATGTACTGCATCCGAGTTGATGTTCACTCCGGGAATCGAACCCAGTACCATTCGCTTCAAGCGCCATCGCGTTATCTACTTAGCTATTTAGTCCTGATAGCCACTTGCTTGTGCAATGGGCTGAAGTTTAAATTTACATGGTATTGTTCGTTTAAATCTTCCTATTGATGTTTAGATTTTGAGTTTGAGTTCCAGAGTGAACATCAACTCTGAGATGTAGGTACATCCAGCTGACGAATCCTAAATAAGATGAAACACGCTTCCTCGATTCCATTGCTAAGCGCTATCCATCTTTGCATATAATGCTTGTGAATTAAGGCTATATCGAGGCGATACACACAGTATGCACATATGCCAATAAGCAACTGATCAATTGCAGTTCTAAACATCAATGGGAAGATTCAAGTAAAACAATATCAAGTGAACTTTGTGTATTTGATTATTTATTGACTTAAACGTCTATTTCTTTAATGATTAAATTAGATATTTAATAATATAAATTTGTGTAAATTTGAATAAACAGTTTCATGGAAGTTCCACGTCAATCACTTTAGAAGTGAAAATCATTTTTTCAAAAAAAATTTCACTAATTGAAATTTAATTAATTATTATATTTTGCCTTTCAAAATTGATAATCTTCATTTCGATTATTTCCCTGAAAACGTTCAGACTGATTTACCCTATGTTGTTTTGTACTGTTTTAAATATGAAATCAATAACAAGAAATTCTTTTTCTGAACATGTTAGGTATATATTTGTCGTAGATTATGGTTTAAATGTGAAGAAAGGGATATTCATTTTTATAGCCTACACTACGGACTGAGCTTAGTTTTATAATAATTGAAAATCCGTATACGTTGAACTACTATTTTGTTCTAGATGATATCTTTCGAGTAGTACATATCTACAATTTCATCAGGAATCGAATCCAGGACCATCGAGTCTTTCTATGAGCACTTAACCTCTAGATCATTGAATCCGGAACTATTGTTTTACCTATTCAACCTCAGTCAGTAGACAATGCTCACACTCAGTATAATTGAAATCCACCGGTCATAGCTTCTCATTAGAACTTTGTGTACCATCTCTCGAAATCAATCCCTAGTACATACATGATTATTGATCAATCCAGGAGGCTTATGACAGTTTTCATATTTTATAATTTACACTGAGAAATGATCGCATAACCGTTTGATCCATCGTATATAGGATTATTTCATTGAAGTCTATTCATCTTACTCACTTATTTGTCTCTTTGTTCTCTTTTCTTTTTCATTTCAAAAAGTTGAAAATGTCTTTTTCTTTGCTTTTTTTTCTCCATTATTTTCATTAGATTCGAATTGAACAAATGTCTTTCTAATTTACTGCCTCATCCGATAAAAGTTTGTTTTTCATCGAGTAATGTTAATAATAATAATAATAACAATGGTAGTGCTCCGGTTGAGTTATTGTCCACATCGTCGTCGTCATCATCATCATCACCATCATCATCTTCATTATATGCAACTTCTTGTATACATGGATTTTATACTTATTCTGATATAAAAAGTATATTATTATTTCTAAATCATATTGGTACAATTCTTTATTTTAGTCATCATAAATTATTAAAAAATTATGTATTTTTATCACCTCAATGGTTATTGAATACTTTATTAAAATTAATGATTAATATACATAATAAACAATTATGCGGTGGTATGTTTAAAAATTATTGTACATTGAAAACACAATGGATGAATACTAACAACATCCAACATCAATATTGTAATGAATCAATAAAATCATCATCAGATATTAGTCGGTTACAGTATCAAGTTAACAATGATAATGATAATAAATCTAGTAAATATACTCCTAATATTCATTTGAAACATAATTCAGGTATGTTTATCGGAAACATTTTATTTTTGAAGTTTTTATGCATTAAAATATACTACTATATCCTATAATAAGTAGTGCACTAGCAATAATTAGCATGAAATCAACATCGTTAAATATAATTACATTTATTGAATACATTATTTCTGATCTATTCTTTACTGTATTAAAATTTTTCTTCATGTTGTACTAATATTAAATGTTATAACAGTAAATAATACATATTTACCTCAGGTCCTACGTTACTTATGATTGTCTGAACTCTTAATCTATTTCACTGGTTGAAATCATGAGTCAATTGAAGCTAGACCACCATAGAAAACCTGGAAGTACTGAACGGCTGTTTTGAGGGGTGGGATGGTGGATGCACACTGCCGAGAAGTCCCATACTAGGACAAAACGGCCGTCCAGTGCTTCCAGGTTTTCCATGGTGTTCTAACTTCAATTGACTCATGATTTCAACCAGTGAAATTTCTAAAAAAAATCTCCACAAAACCCATTCTGATAATCTCAATCTACTGTTTATTTTACTTTTAGAATCATTAAGAAACGAGTTTAGTTTAAGAATAGCTAATCTTTGTTATTAATCTGAAGATAAAATGTTTGTAATCTACCCAAATCAGCGTTGAAACTAGCAAGAATATATGTTAGCTCAAATTGTTATTTCATATTATCATGACAAGATGAAATTAATCTGATGAATAATAAAACAATTAAAATAATATACAAACAGTGATAATGAGAATAAGCATAGAATGAACAGAATGAAAAGGTATGTAAGAAAAAAAACTGAAACTAAGATGTAAAGAAAGTTAGATAGTGAACAGATCTGAATCATTATGATTGGTTCCTAACCATGTTACCTAACGTATCCATCTATTAATTGTATTTAATACCACTTGAACTCTAACTATCTACTAATTTTCTTCTGATTTACTTCTAAACCAACTAACCACTTGTTGATATAGGTTGTGATTAGATATAACCTGACATATACCTTAATTAACTCAGTCCATGAAGATATACAATCTGAGAAATCGATTTACCGTCTTTGTCTTATCTCAACATTGGTTTGTTTTGGTTATTCTACAATACTCAACACAGTGGTTAGATAATATCTACGATTACATATGGTTGTTTGAGTATATAAACTTGTATTAAATATGTTGTATAATAGTCGAAATTAGTTGGATATAATAAAATAGTTATTTTGTAGAATGTATCAGAAAAAGACCATTATCATCAGTAAGGAATCGGGTTTATGATCCATGTTGAAATGTATTATGATTTTTTTATGATCTAAATCATGAATAAAGCTTAATAAGTGTCTATTCAATTTGTCAAGACAGTTTGACTATTCAAGAACTATCTATTATGCTAACAGACTGATTTTGAGACATTAGATGTATATTACAAACCTCATGCAGTATAAAGTCCTTTCAGAAAATAATATGTACTCTCATAAGTTTCATATCTAAAACATTTTAAATTCATTTGGTATTATTTGTTTCAATCTTCCCATCGATGTTTAGGACTGCGATTGATCAGTCTCTTATTGGTTTATGTGCGGACTGCCTCGATGTTACTTTAATTCACATTCATTATAAGCAAAGATGGTTAGTTATTGGCTAGCAGTGGAATTCAGGACGTGCGTTTCGTCCTGTTAACATAAATAGACTCGTTAGTTGGGTGCACTTGCGTCTCAGAGTTGATGTTCATCTTAGTATGGAACTCAATAATTCACATCCATAATCCTCTCAAAGATCAAACCCAAAACCTTTAGATCTTACTGTGATGAATTAGACTTAGTGGCCTAAAGATTAAGCGCTCATCGCGATACCTGGAGATGTTAGACTCGACTCCTAGTGGAGTAGTTTATTGAGACTTCACTAAGGGGTTCTATGCTAGGATGGAATATCTGTCCAATCTCTCCTGGTTTTCAATTGTTATTCGTGTTGTGTTAATGAATTAATAAAGGAGATGTTTTATTATTCATTTAACTAACTTTACATAATAACGGGCTGTTTGACTCGAATAGTTTAATATCAGTGCTTTCACTTGTCCATCTATCATAGTGTCGGCCTCTAGAATAACAATGGAGAAGTTACAATGCAATTATCCTTCTTAATGGTTATAAAATAATGCAGTAAATAATATCATTCATTGAATCACTTTTGATATGATGGATTGTATTTTGCTCATTCTTAAATATCAGAAGGGGTTTTGTGGAGATTTTAGAAACTTCACAGATTGAAATCATGACTCAATTGAAGCTAGACCACCATGGAAAACCTGGAAGCACTGGACGGCCGTTTCGTCCTAGTATGGGACTCCTCGGCAGTGCGCATCCACGATCGCGTATTATTTATCTGGTCAACATGGATTATAACCAAACTATATTGTTGATAATATCTTAACTAAAATCCAATTATTCTATATTTTTTCTTTTACACTTCTCTTACATTTTCTATGTAGCTGTTATCAATTCGTCTTACTTAACAGATTTAATTAAATATTTCATGAGAACTATGAGGACAACCAATGATAATACTAGCCATGTCCATATGACCAACGTTCATGATGTACCATTGGAGGAAATTTTTCTAGGATTATTTAAACAGTTTGGTTTAATAGTATCCATTATTAGTAATGATGATTTAAAATGTCAAAAAGTTGATAACTTGAAAATGAGAAAAACTAGAAACCAATTGTTATTACTACCATCATTATTAGCTGCACGTTGTTTTCAACCAGGACGTTTACATTCTTATTTACAACCAGCAGTGATTAGATATCAGGTAAAGTTGTTTAATTTGATCCTTTTTTTTCAAAGATCAATTTCTATGGCTTATTTTATTTTAGTATACTGTGCTTTGTGAAAACTGAAAAAAATTTCATAGTTTGAATCATGAACTGATTTTAGCTAGAATATAGTTGGAAACATTGAAGCATTAGACAGTTGTTTCGTCCTCAGGAGTATGCATTCATCATGTCGCATCTGAGAATTGAAGCAAGGATCTTCGGTTTCGCGCGCAGATGCCGTCCATGTTTTTAATGGTGATCTAGCTAAAATCAGTTCGTGATTAGGATTATGTAACCTCTACAATGTACATAAATCTCCCCACACTAATAAGTATATGGTTATTGAATAACTTCAAGATACAACTAGAATTCTACTAAGAAGCCGTGACCACTGGTTAGTTCAATCCGTGTCAAGTGTGAGTGATGTATCGACTGCAGGTAGTCGTGCAATATCATAAGCCATTTGAAGTTCGTAATTGACAGTTCTATATGTAGGTTTATTGGTCTAGGTGTCAGGCGTTTGTGTGAAGAAATAAGAATCCTGGGTTCGATCCCCTGATGCAACATCCTGGGTAGAGACTACATAGGAGTCCACTTAAGTTGCCAACATTGAATAATAATCACTCTCAAGCTATTTTAACTGTTTCTTATATTACTTTTCAAGTGATTTTAGTACTTCAGATTTTCCCTCGCAAAAATATAAAATGTGTCATTATTACCATTGTTATGTGGAATGTTCTCTGTAAATAATCCTGTTTTTAAAATGATTCTTTTCATGGATTGATTTGGCGTAAAAACGTAATCTCAAACCACGAAGGACTGAAGGGATATTTTATCCTTGGATAGTAATCTTCAGCAGAGCCCACTTGTGATTCTACGTAGAACTGAACACAAGCTCTTCTTGTCTTTCGGGCCTCTGAGTTATGAAGTTCAAAGATACCTATTTTCGACATTTAATAATTCGCTACTCAGACTGACAAACATCTTGTTCTGTTAATTGATAACAGCTATGTTCTTGACACGTTACACATGTGCTAATAACAATTTATAACAAAAATTTGATAATCTATCTTTAAGTCAGTCACTAAAATGTACAGGATTATTTACTTCACTTTATGCATGTTAGATGAATCCTCAGATTGTTTTTTACTAATATGATCCTCAATTTTTATGAGATGAAAGCTTGTTTTTGGTTTCATACATTTGACTGTATCTTCTTTTTAGTTGATACCTTCTTTGAAAAAAAAATAGTAACTAGAGATGCACAACTTTGGGATGTTTACGACTGGCACCTGTTATAATGCTCATTGTATCATATTATCAAATAACTTATTTATATGGGAAAAAATATATCTTTGATTTCATTCAAAGTCTCTACATCACGTAATGCTATCTTTAATTGTACTATATAGATACACTACTTCATAAAATATAAAGTCGATTATATCTATACTTAACCGTAGAGGAGAACGGTCATTGTTATTTGAACACACTATATAGGCAGAAGATTTGTTCTTTTCGGTTGATTATGTCACAACCAATGCTAGTTAGTCAAAATTATAAATGTTTGCTAGTTTTAAAGTAACGTTTCATTTACGTTATAGAGTTTCTACCTATTGCATCTATCAAATGATGAAAACCTAGACATTAGCTAGAAATACAGAATATAAAACATTCTGCACTCAAACTTAACAAAACTGACACAAATTCCTGATCCATATTCACATTGTTTTCAAAGTATTTTTAGTTTAAGTATTTCTAGATAAATTTCTACACGAGGTTCTTTTAAAAGACAGAGAATTGAATAAAATATATTGTCTAATTACCGTTCTTCTGAAATTACCAAGAGAACTTCTTTAGTTTCCTCATTGTTTGTTCTTTGTTCCAAGTCTAATTTTATTAAGCTTCTGGTGGTTGGGAGGTAACTAGATATTAGTGTATGTTTAAGGGATTAAATAAAAAGCATATCAGTTATTTCTTAACTTTATTTTAAAAAACCCATCTTTTATTCCGTTACTATTATTATTATTATTATTGATTATTATTATCAGGAGAACTACCTATCTATGAAACAAGGTTCATGTCTTCGTTCTCAATCACTTGGTGTTTCAACTTATCGACCGAGGTATACTGTACACCTCAAGCAGTCGAAATTGCGACCTATAAATAATGTCAATACATTTGAAAGTGGTAATAATAATGATAGTAATAATAATAATACTGAAAAGACGAATCATCCTAGATTGTCGCAGTTTTTAAGTTGGCGTGTTCAAACTTCGGTCAATAAAGAAATTGTACGATTATATGCTGTTACCTATATACCATTTGGATTTTGGACAGAATTAAATACGAGGTTATTAAATGATTTAAGTCTACATGAAATTTGTGGGTACGTTGCTTATTTATTTAGCGATAATTAACTTTTATAGATATGAGATGAAGTCTTAATCAAAGTAATTTGTTTACTGCAGTGGTGATTATTTCATGTGTTGATCATTTGGATATCAACTATTGTACTGTTAATAATCATTATATTTTTTATTAAATCCCAATGTGTAAGAAATTGTATTTATGACGTTTCGTAACTTAAAGTTAGCCACTTCTTCGGTTATTTATCTACTCTGAAGAGTTAACTTACATTACGTCACAAAACGTCATAAATACAATTTTTCTACTCATTTGGATATAACAAAAAAAAGATTTGTATTATTTACTTCCTACTCAATACTCAATTTATTTGAAACTATCAAGACCAATCTTGGTATGGATACCTAGTGCTCTATTAGTTCGATATTTCATTCGTTCTGTGTATTAGTTTTCCTAATATATTCTTGAAATGAACATTTTTATATAGAAAGTATTTCTTTAAAAGAAATAATATACTTAAAGTTGTAGCTTTATATTCTCATAGAATTGTATGTCGAATTAATCTTGATTATCGTTTACATAATATGTTCTTGATTATACTCTGAATAAGATGTAATCTGTATTTACGTAATCTGTAGGTCAGTATAGAAGCAATGCTCACTTTCACAAATCAAGGCAACACTATCACGAAAACGTCAGTATATTTTACTATTAGTCGATTTTCTACAACAATGGACAAACTAATGTAACGTTTATAATAAAAGAATGTAAAACTATACAAGGTTCACAGTTTACTTGGTCACAGTAAACTGTTAATACGAGAAATCAAATATTAGTATCCGTTAACGTATATTCACTATAATATGAAACAGGGTATCAGTCATTGATCTATTCATTGCAGTTGAATACCAACTTACTTTAGATCTTTATTCAAGGCTTTACGACAATTGCCTTAAAATGATTTATAACACCAAATGACTTAGTCAAATAACCTTACCGCAATTCGATGAAGAGAACTCGATAGTAACGCTACAGGCTACGTATTACAATGTGATGGTTACTGTTTAGTGACAGGTTGTTAACATAAGCAACTAGACTTATTGATTATTTATTTTAATGAATTTAATCAATTTGAAATGCTATTAAAGTTTTATGCTTACCTTGTTAAGAGATACGTCTTCTTAGAATACCTGAAAAGGAAACTCTATTTATGGGTGTTCTTAAATGACCTGGATTTGTTACCTCAGTACATGAAGGACAAATGTTTGAGATCGGTTATATATTTGCTTCCTGTAGGTAGTTTTGGATTTATTAACTCTATCCCTGTGAGAACCTTGCACCGGTGATAGAAATATGTGGATCAAGTTGAGGTGTACTATTCTGGTACTTCTAATCTTATTATATTCCAGTTAACCTGTGTCGTATGGTACTAGTCCAAGAAAAAAGTTACCCAGGCATTATATTCCTCGACTCAGTCATCACGATATTCGAGCTGTACTACCACGTCAAGGTATAAGTTGTGTTATAAACGAAAAATCAGATTGGGAAGACCAATTTATTGTTTAGCGCCAATTTTCAGTGTCTTCCTAAATTATGAAAACCATACATTAAATCCTTCATTTCCGCATCTTTCATTTGTCCTGTACATACTTCTTCACCCTTCAAACTCGATTGTTATTCCAATTTCTTTCCATTTTCCTTTCTATCCTCTTCAATCCAATCTTCTCAATCTCCTTCTGGTAGGCATTCAACTTCTGATTGGCCTTACATACTACTTATATCTGTTCACATAAGTAGCATACATCATAGATGTAGTCAAAATTGAAGTAAATAATTATGATTCAGTTTATCTTTCAAGGATTGTATATAACGGTGACTTTTGTTAGATTTAAATGTATAATGTAATAAATTTCTCACAATTGATTGATCACTGGGTGATGCTCATTGTCATGTGTGTCAAGTCCTTATTAGTGCAGATCGTATCCTATCGAGCAAGTTGCAATGTAGGTGACATGGGACCGAATCAGGAAGCATCAGTTCCCTCAAGATTACAGGTACACCTTGCTGACGAGTGCCAAGTAGCACGAAACTCAGGTCCAGGGTTTCCTGTCGACTACCTCCAACCACCATCTAATGTAATAAATTTCTGTTATTCTTTACAATTTTTAAACTGACTTTTAGTTTGATGGATTTTTCTTCAGACGCATCTACAACTTATCAAAATTACCTTCTGAATTATTGCAACAATTATTATGCAATAATTTACAACAGAATGATAACTTCAAAAATTGTTGTCAATATATATGTTGCACCGGTAGTCATAATGATCATGGTAATATTGACAATTCTCATACATTTATGAATAATACATCATCACAATGTAATTTAAAGCCTGAATGGACAGTATGGAAACGTGGTATGCGTTTGTCACTTGGTCATGGTCAAATCGGTTTAGCACGTTTACAACAATTGACACGTGCCAATTGTGCATTGTTAAGAGTATGTTTAATATTGTGTTTATTTGAATATAATATAAGTTTATTTTCGAAGGTGGAATGTATGTATTCTTTTTGTCTACATGAAAGACTAAAATCAATTAATGATAAAATGAAGTGCTGGTCAGGTGTTTCATCTTAATATGAGACTCTTTTAGCAGTGGGTATCCATGACCCAAGTAAGTAATTTACCTAATAACGGCAATGGAATATAGTTACAAAGTATCGCGAATTTATTGAAATTAAGCGTGTCATGCACCGCGTGCTTACTCAATGGCCTAGTCTAGAGAAAATGGTTGCGCAATATCGTGAACTGGTTGAAGTTAGACATTGATACCGTTGGATCCTGGCTCAGTTGTTTAGAGCTTAACTTTTATTTATCATTTATTTATTGATGTAAATTCTAAAAATAAAGAATCTTTAATCGATGCTAACTAGTGATAGCAGAATCAATAGTCACTCAGTTTAGTTTTCATGTTTGTGTGCAATTTGTTTTACGATAGCTAATACTACAATTATGAGAGTTTAACCTACATCACTCAGTGTTGTAATTACATGAGTTCTTAACATATAACATCGAGGATGCAAGGGATCTTGTTGTGTAGATGTTTAAAATGATTAAAATGAATGAAATCTGATTGGAATGAATAATTGTTTAAGGATTGTTTGAAATTTCATTAAATGAAAACTATGGAAAAAGTTAGTATAAAGGGTATCAATCAAATTTTATTTTATAATGATCTTTAACTTCAATCGACTTTTTTTGAAGTTAAAATTAATCTTTCTGTGGATTTTATTGTATTTATGAAAGTGCTGAGATCTATACAAAGGAGGTTTTCTCTTTTTCGTCGTTTCTTCATAACATCATGACATCACGAACTGATTTCATCTAGAAAAAGCTATGAAAATTAGTATGGGAAGTATTTACATATACATAATTTCATTTCCTCATTTATTTCAGAATCAATCATTCAAACAATCATTTCTGAATCATACCAACAATCGACAATTATCATCTTTGCGTTCTTTGGTTTCCTCCTGTTCTCCTCGTTCTTCGTCTTTTTCTTCTACTACAAAAACAAATGAATTAATTTCAAAACTTCTTCCCCAGTCTTATTATTGTGAAGAATGGGATGAACCATGTGCTATAGTTGGTGAAGAAGTTATGAAACAAAATAAAAAATCAATAATCGTTAATCAAAATATTTCTAATACTGAGAACAACTTCATCTTGTCTAATTTACCACTAAATAATGATACTGTTTATCGTAGTGGTGTTGTAGAAACAATTAAACATTCCTATGAAGGACGTTGTTTACGGTTAATGCACTGGGTAGTGCAAGACGATCAAAAACATGAAGAATTTCAACCATATACTACGACCATGAAAACAACAACAGAATCATCACCGTTAAGAACAACAGCTTGTCAGGAACGTACTGTAAAGACTGCATCTGACTTTAAAATACAATGTAATCATGGTTACCTAACTGATCAAGAACACGGTACAATAATTTTTTTATGGTTTTTATAAACTCATTATCTTTCAAATAAGATTAATAATATTAAATTATGTCAGTCCCACCTAATTAAATTTGACCGTGATCGAATGTTCAGAAACGTATCTCTACGTTTCTTCGATTATATATATATAAAGTTGAAGATCATGGGTTCGCCCTTTGGCTGCGCCATATGTAGGCACTACTGAGTTTTTCCACACTAGGAAAAAATGGCCCTATGCAATGTCTGAGAGAAGTGATGGGGAAAATCAACTGTGAATCAATAGCAGTTCATGTACCGGGCGACTGTCAAGTACTTTTGGTTTGAAAAGTTCAACGGTGAGATTGTTTATTAGATCATAGCAGATCAGTCATATTTGTAATTAACTATCTCTAATTGTAGATATTTATTTTTTCAGAATTCAAAATAGAGGATATTGTTTAATAATGCACCATAGACGGACAATGAAATTAGTTGAAAACTTTATCTTATTCTTTCGATGTACTCACTTTTTGTATATGCCTTTACTATTCCATTTTCATGATCGTCATTGCGTACCAGTATTCTTTATACTCAATTCATTCACGATCATTTAAATGGTCAATCCATGTCTGGAAAGTTCAATAAAGTACATATTCCCCATATTTTCATCAATTTGTCTTGACTTTACACCATAATTACATTCATTTTAGTTCTCACTGCAACATTTAATTGGTTGGATGAAGAGTTTTTTTGAAACAATTTACCGCTTTATACAGCTTTTAAGATTTTATCAATTCTTTGAAATTATCGTAACTTTCTTTGAATCGAAAAAGTCAATTTTAGGTTGTGTATTTATTGGACAAATGATGGATTGATGGATAGTGGCTAGCAGTGGAATCCAGGACGCGCGTTTCGCCCTATTTGGGACTCGTCAGCTGGATGTACCTGCATCTCAGAGAGTTGATGTTCACTCTGGGACTCGAACCCAGTACCATTCGCTTCAAACTCCATCGCGTTATCCACTCAGCTACTGAGTCCTGATAGCCACTTGCTTGTAAAATGGGGTGAATTTGGATTCAATTGGTATTGTTTGGCTTGTATCTTGTATCTAGGACGAAACGCGCATCCTGGATTCCACTGCTAGCCACTATCCATCATTGCTTACAAATGGCTTGTGAATTAAGGTAATATCGAGGCATACGCATAGTATGCACATATGCCAATAACAGACTGATCAATTGCAGTCTTAAACCTCAATAGGAAGATACAAGCCAAACAATACCAAGATGATGGATTGTTTTTGTTCAGCCTATATTTCCAATAGATTTGAATAAAAAATTATATCTACCGTTTAATTTGGTTTCTATTGTGTCTGAATCGCTGTCAAAATATCACATGACATGATCTTCAATCAGAACACTGATTTATACGATCTTGGCACTTTGCTAAACCAATGACGCGTTAATCAGCATTAGCAGCCTAGAATAAAATCTGAGTCTTAATTAGTTCTTTTTTCCTTGCCCTGTCCGTTGAATTCAAAAAACACAATCTCAGCTTCTACTTTATGAATCGTTTATTTCAGATATACGTGGTTTATATACAAGCCAATCAAAATCGCATCATACCATAAAATGAAAAATAACAATTATACAAGATCAACCCAAAAAGTGGCTGTGATTTTGAGAGACTGTAACTGATAGATTGGGAAAAACGCAAGAATAGTAAAGCGTATAATAGTAACCAATAGGTCCAATGGAAACTTATAATAAGAGAAATACTGGTATATGTATAATCTAGTTACTCAACAGTTATACAATAAGAATATGTACATAATAACAGTTCATAAATAGATCATAGTAGTTATCATTTATTTAATCTTTGTTAAGATATAACAGTTTCCTATATCTATCTATTTGTAAATTATTTATAGATGCATTCCAAAACTCATGTCTTATTGAAATTTACTTACCAAATTTAAATATCCACTGGGAATATAAACAAACTGACAAATGTTCAACTGTCAATTCTAATCAAACACATAATCATTTAGAAGTTATTGATTTACTACGAAATCCTTCTCAACTTCGACAAAAAAATAGTTTAAGTCCAGATTCTCGGGCAGTTGCTGAACTATTAGCAAAAGTTAGTTCAGTGAATTAATTTATTTGTAACGATTTGTGTTTTATTTGTCGGTTAAATGCATATTTTTGATTGAGATCATGAACCAATTGATGTTAGACCATCACAATTGAAAACCTGGAAGCACTGGACGGCCGTTTCGTCCTGTTGTGGGACTCCTCAGCAGTGCGCATCCACGATCCCGCGAGCGGGATTCGAACCCAGGGCCTTCGGTCTCGCGCGCGAAAGCTTAACCAACTGGACCACTGATCACCATTGGATGCTGGCTCAGTGGTCCAGTTGGTTAAGCTTTCGCGCGCGAGACCGAAGGCCCTGGGTTCGAATCCCGCTCGCGGGATCGTGGACGCGCACTGCTGAGGAGTCCCACAACAGGACGAAACGGCCGTCCAGTGCTTCCAGGTTTTCAATTGTGGTGGTCTAACATCAATTGGTTCATGATCTCAATCTAAAACTTAATAATCTCCACAACTCCTATACTAGTAAATGCATATTGTTATCACCACTTTTCGAACAAGTCTTGAAATGTATATGGGTTTTCTTAGTAGCCATGATTTACCTAATATGTTTTAAACTATGTTACGTCCTTGATCTGTCTACCCAATTTCGTGTAAAGGATAACTTGTCTGATTTAGATTAAGACCTTGATGCGATAGGTTGACCGGCTTAACCTTGAGGCTAGTATGCCTGAGTTCGAAGTGAGATCAACTACTTGGAGCAGAGAGACGAAAACTATGCTATCACGTGATTGGTTGACAATCACTTGAGTAAGAGAAGACAAGTCAACTGGAACATTACACGATTTATTCTGAATTCCGATGTGGTTCCCGATTTCAGATCAGTGTAAAAAGATACATGAATAAATAGATGAGTAATCAGACCACAAAGCACAACAATTAGAAAAATACAATTGTCGAAAACTGGAGACTAACGTAGAAAATACATTGGAAAATATTACGTTTAAATTACAATAGCTATGAAACAAAAAGGGCTATGGCTGTGAATCATATATGAAACGAAAGCTTATAATCTGTAGAATAGACTAGAGACAAAAATAAATGTTACTCTTTTACAAGGTTTGAATTAGATGAAATAACTTATCCCCCCAAAATAGCTTCCATAGTTTGTCAACGTTTCTTATTTCTCTGTTCACATCAAACCAAAAATATCATAAATGAAATAAATGTAATGTGAATTAAATGGGTAATAATACGCATGTGGTGTATTCTACTTATGTTAATGGATATAAGTAGTATATAGTACCAATCAGAAGTTGAATGCATGCCTGTAGATGATCGGGAAGATTTAATTGAAGGAAGCAGAAAGTCATTCTAAGAAAAACAGAATTAAAGGATTTACGAAGCATTTAAATGACAACTGATGGAAGATGTGTAAATTATGTATTTAATGTATGGTTTTCATATTTTACGAAGGCACTCTGTAATTTTGCACTAAATCATAAATTGGCTTTCCCTACCTGATTTCTCGTTTACTAGTCATGGACCATCTATTTATCAATGAAATCTGTATATTTCTTCATGTTGTTGTTAATTAGTGATGAAATATATTACTTTTAAAAGTATATCCTGTTATTGTTCTTTATTGTTGTTGTTTGACTCTCTTAGTATCCTGGATTGAATTTTGACCATTCCATGTAATAGAATATCTAAACGCTGAAAACATACCTCAGTATATTACATTTACTGAAAAGTCTTTAATTTCTATCACTAGATTCTTTGACCCCACATTTCATCGTGTTTTATCACTCGTCAGTCTGGATATATCCTACACCCTAGTATTGATTTCTGCACACTGAGTCTCGGCCTCATTAGTTCCCTCGTATTAAGGCTCTGTTTGTCACAAATTTATATCAGTTAAGTTACTTTTGAGAACCAGCGAGCATTGAACTTCAGTTTCATTCCACTATAGCGCTCTTCAAAAATGCCCATCTACGATGCAGCGCAGTATATAAACTTAACAACTAAAATCCTTTCAAATTGTAGCCTTAATTTTTTGTTTACTTGCTTTCTTTTTACACTCCAGTTAGTCAGCCATATTGACACATTATTAGAAGATTGGTATCCAGATCTGGGAGCGAAATTAAATCAATCTAATGAAGGTGTTTATTTAGTTGAACGTATTATTCCATGTTGTGCCTGTCTTGCTACACCAAGCCGTCATCTCAATAACCTTTTAGGACAGCCTCTTAGTTTTTCCACTGATAACCATCTCCAAAATATGATGAAAAATTCCTCTTCTAATAGTATCATTAATCAGTTTAAGGAAATGGACAAAAACTGTAATGGAAACAAGTATTGGTATGTTGTATTTTTGTAACCTTTTCTTATTGTTCAAACTTGATATGTTCCTCAATTGTTCTATTCCGCTACAAGATATATGCGCTTCCTTTGCATGTTTGCCTAACTTGCTGTACGAGTTATAAGAGTAAGATCGACAAAGAAATTGTAATTGTCGAACCGAACAAACTGCATACAAATCACAGTTTTATGTGCGATTGTCACTCTGACCTAGACAATGGCTTGTAACCTGAGATACGTACTGAGTACATAGTCCGCTTCATTCAAAAGCGTATCAGGTTTATGATCTTTCACCTACTACCAGACCTGGGAATAACATGTGAGCGTGAACAGGTTGTATGTTTGGATCAAATTAATCTGTCGAAATGGTGTTTTACTGTTTAGTTTCATGTAGTTAATGTGTTATAAAGAGTGGAATGGTTATCCTAGATTTCACTGCTAACCACTGTTCACAGTGTTACCGACAATTGCAATTGTGCAGGCATTATCGATGTATCTGTTCAAAGAGCTCTGTATAGGCTGATAGTAACCGGCTCAAATGATCTTGAAGGATAACACCGGAAAAGTTTAAACCCTTATAAATGTTGATAAGTAATATATATTGGGTGTACATTGTTAACATTCATTTGATTGACCTTGAATAGGACCAAGTAAACATTAAGTATTCCACTACTTTAGCTACACCTTTCAAGATGTACTCGAGTGTAATTTTTGACTTCTTGAATTCATTCAATTAATAACAATTCGAACATTTTATACTAGCGTTTTGAGTTATAAATACATAAACTACTTACAAATTAAACTGACTGATAGCGCAAAGGATGTTTTACGAATATGCATGGAGTTCACCATCATGATTTACTGTAAATTTAATATGTAGTGAAATCTATTGTGTTGAATGACTTCAGAAGATTACTCAACATTACCTATCGTCATCTGCTGTTAAGTTGATTTATTAGATCATACACTTTTGGTAGGGCTTTTTATTATGAAGTTTAAATGTAATTTTCATTATGAACACTGATTTCTAGTGAAGAACCATCGAAAATCAAATAGGATCAAGCAATCAGTTTAAAAAAAAATCAATTCTGAATTATTTACCAGCGTCTTCGCATCCTAGTAAGTGGTTGGTATAGTGCTAACTGAAAGAGTTGTAAATATAACTTTTTTAGCTTTTTTTTAATGTACACTTCCTACGAGTCTCTAATCATGGTAAACGAATTCACTCAGTGATTACTAGTTTCTTACGTAACGTAACGTTGTAATGAAAACTACATTTAATTTGTTACGTAATCTTTAAAAAGTCCTATTTTTCTGAATAAAAAAAATCGTTCTTTTTAAATCTTTCCTTCAACTAGTTTGAATCAATTATCATTAAACAATAAGAAATTATCTAAATCTGTTCAATATTTAAATGATACTGATAATGAACTGAAATATTCTTATTTGAACTCGTCTGTATTATCTGTACCAAATAATTTATTCACTAATGAGGAATTATTAATGAAATATTCTTCGAATATCAAGAATTTCGATGATAATAATATGATCACAGAGAAATATTTAGCAAATCATAATATGTCCAAGTAAGTTTTATCTATCTTGTTTACTTATTCATTTATATCTGTTATGATTGAGTGTACTTTACAATTGATTGATCACTGGGTGGTAGTAATCAATGTTCATATATATCAGGTCTTCCTTAATACAGATTGAATCCTATCGACCAAGTTTCAGCGTGGGTGACACGTGATCGAATCCGTCAGGGAGCATCAGTTCCCTCAAGATTACAGGTACACCTTACTAACGAGTGCCAAGTAGCACGAAACCTAGGTCCAGGGTTTCCTGTTGACTCTCTCCAACCATCTTATTTTAACATAGTGTATTTCAATACAATAATCAAATTAGATTTGAATCGATCAAGCGCAAATTAATAATAAATATAATTACTACTCCTTTTCCATAACCGTATTTATATTTTAGTAAAACATTAAATATCAAAATACAAAGCTTGGCTGCAGCTTGTGATTAGACGGTGGATCACTATTTACGTGCATTTTTAAGCAATTTGAAATAACAATTGAAAAATGATTTGGTATACTGATCGGTTTAACAGTACATTGACCAATACGGTTCTTTGAAACACCACCTAGAAAGCAACATGTGTTGTAAACGTGGAGTAGAAGATTTTATACCACACTGGTTACCAATGGTTTAAAATATTGATTACTAATTCAGTCCTTATTAGTGGGATTTTCCTCTAAACATTCTTGTTACCGTATATTTCCATATTCATCATTGATGCAACAAGCCCAAGGACTATTTTTCACTTAGTTTATATATAAAGCGTTTCTTATATAGTGTCTCTTACTCTGTGTTTCTTTTTTCATTCATTCCAAAACAGTTCTCCGAAATGGTCGTGGCTTTTTAAACGGTAGGTAGATTTTTCTGTCCGTGTTCTGAAAATTCACTACCCAACTATTTGAATGGTGAATGAACTCCAGTGTGACTGAAATATTTACTTGTAAATAATCAGTGAATAGTAATCGTTGTTATGTTAGTTTAGTCCTCCTATGCTGATCAGGTTCTGTCGATCAAGGTACAATGTTTCCTCTATTCTAAATAACCCGGCGGCTCATGTACAATTTTCTTACGTTAAATAGTTTGATATTGTTCTTTCAAAAATTTAAGTTCACCTTGCTGACGAGTTCCAACTAATACGTAACCTAAGGCTGCTGTTCTCTTGATAACTATCTTCAACCACTTGACATCCTTATATATTTCTCGTGATGTTCAGTCACTTAGTCTTGTGGAAATATTGCAATTCGACTGACAGGCCTAAAGCAGCAATAACAAATAGATAAACATTACTCCTCAGTAATCAATCGTTCAGACAAATATATCTGTATATAGTAAAGTTCTAGATTGCTTGTTTACGGAATGTACATTTACATTACTGGATGATACGTTTTGGAGTTCTTTTGTTCTAATAAATTTGGATTGTGTGCAAATTTTCAGACTTAAAAATTATTAATTCTAGTACTGTCTTATAATCTTAATTTTTTGCAATTCACTGGTTTTTGTGATAAAAGGAATCGATATAAAAGAGCACATTCAGCAGATCCATTAAAAATAACTAACCGTAATAAAAATGAAAATGGTAATCAAAATAAATTAACCAATCCATCAACAGCCTATACATCGTTTGTTTATGGTATCAGTATTAGTGAATATATTCATTGGTATGTAATGAGAAATTCAAATAAAATATTACAGCCTGGAGAATTATATTGTCCTATACATTCATCTGTTCAGTTATGGGCTCCAGATTTAGTAAGTTCTATCGTATAAAGACATGTAATCCAATCTGATTTTTTCATTATTATATATTTACTTCGAAGTTTCTAACTACTGAAATGCTATTTAAGTAAAATGAAAATAATGTGGATAAGATTTTTAAATAAGGAAGAAAGATTAGTTCAGCGAAGAGTTCTCTTTTCGGCGAATTCTTTTCAAAGCTGTACAATCGCAAATATATATACTCATTTTTACAGGGTGATAATAATACTGATAATAAACTTATGTTATACATGGTGACAGTGAGGTTAAATAAACAAAGGTATTAGAAAAAATTTTTAAAACAAGGAAAGTTTGATAGTTAATGGCTTAGATATTCATCGGGTAAGGGTAGCTCAGCATGATAAAATAACATAAAATGTTGAAACAGCGATGAGATGTAATCGGAATGATCGTGGAAACAAAAACAAACCGGTTGGGGGTACAAGATTTGAACGGAAGATGGAAGGTGAAGCAGGTGGCTGTAAAAGAACAAGAGTAATGAGAAAAAGAAAAAATTTTAATACATTAAGACCATGGTAAAAGAAGAGGTTGTACTAGTCTCTTTTGTACACATAATTCTGGTTTTTCAAAATGTATGGCTATTGCCTCGGCAATGCGAAGAAGATGCAGTCTAATTGTCTTGGGAAGGCTTCTACTTTCCTTGTAGATGACTTTGAACGCAGAGTCTGTCTTGATTGAGTGACCTGTGTGCACAAGGTGTTCGATTATAGAACTTCTTATTGAGCCGCTTCCTCTTCTTCTTAGTCACGCCGGACAACGTTCTTGAATTCTTTTGGATAAAGTACGCATCGAACGACCTATATACCTAGCTCCACAAGAGCAGGTAAATTGGTAAATGCACATTGAGTTGGTCAGATGCGATAATTTATCTTTCAGATTATTGGTGAACAGTGATAGGCTGGAGAATAAGATTTTTGTCACATGTCGACAGTATGAAGATCAAGTCAGTCTTTTTTATACTAACTGTAATCTTCTTAATGTTGAAAAATTTATAATATTTTTCTTGAAGACTCAGTATGAAGTAATATTACTTTTGAACCATCGTAACGGAATACAGTGAGTTGTAAAGTAGTGTCTGTTACAAATGTGTATCAAGACGAGTTACTATACGTCACAATAACTTATATCACCACTTTAAATAGATGAATTCATAGTAATATCATATATTTATATATATTCTGAGAACAATTATAAAACGTAAACTAATTTACAAACATGATCAAATTCTATTTGTTTTTCCTAGGATCGGTGATCATTGAATTATATAGTTCACTTTGCAGACTTATATTAAGTGAACAATTATTAAAAAGCAATAATACACTGAGACATCTAACTTTAGTATGGGACTTTTTAAAAGAGTCTGTGCACCATTCTCCTACCGAAAATGGGCTCTTAAAATTAAGATTTCTGTGTCCAAATACGATGCTTTACATTTCTTTCTTCAAATCTCATTAATCCTTTCTCGTGAAATTTGTGCATAACTGTCTCATATTCAACGTGATCAGACCCTATTGGTTATATCTTTTCTTTGAAATTGGGAGTTACCCCTGGAAATTAGTCACTAGTAGGCACATGATTTATTATGCATTTAACACTAGTTAGTTATTATAGTGAATTGTAGAATATTAGTGTTACTAATGGTTGTATAATGAGTTGTTTTCTTATTATACTTTCTTCTTTCTGCTTTCTTTTTTCTCAAATTAGCAATTTAAAGATATTCCTTCAACACTTTTCTTTTCTACTGATCGTGTCTATTTATTGGAATTTCTTGGACGTGGCGCTTTTGGTTCCATATTTAAAGGTTCTGTAAATAATTCAAATTCATCCAAACAACAACAAATAGGACGATTATCAAATAGAATTCCACTCGAAACAATCAATCAAGTAAACGGATGATTATGTGTTTGTGTATTTCTTTTTAACTTATAAAGCTGATTGTAACTCATGAAAGAAAAAAAAAGGAATTTATCATGGACAATTTGACAGTGAACATTTACTTCCTTACTTACTTACGTCTGTTACTCCTAATGGAGCATAGGCCGCCGATCAGCATTCTCCAACCCACTCCGTCCTGGGCTTTCCTTTCTAGTTCTATCCAATTTTCGTTCATTTTCCTCATGTCTGTCTCCATTTCTTTGGTCTTCCTCTTCTTTTTTGGTCTTGAGGATTCAATATGTGGGCTTTTCTTGTGACGTAGTTGGGTGCTTTCCTCAATGTGTGTCCCATCCACTTCCATCGCTGCTTCCTGATTTCTTCTTCCGCTGGGACCTGGTTTGTTTTCTCCTACAGTACGTTGTTGCTGATGTCTGGTCAGCGGATGCGAAGTATTTTGCGTAGACACCTCTATCTTCTGGATGCTAGCTTTCGTAGTTCTCAATGTTTCCGCTCCATACAGTAGAACTGTCTTGACATTTGTATTGAAAATTCTGACCTTGGTGTTGATGTCCACTGAGAATCTAGTGTTTAAACAATAGACACTAGATTCTCAATAATTAGATCACTAGAAATAAATATGAAACTGGATATTCAATTAATACTTTATTGAATTACGGATATTGGATTAAATGATTTATTCGATTCAGTTATCTGATCAACGAATATATTAGCCAAAATAAGAGTATATTAACAAACATAGTATATCAACAAACTGAGTCAAAGTAGAACCAGTTTTATATATTTATCTCTTCACTTCTCTACTTATCATTTTCATCAGAAATATCAAAAAAAGAAATTCTGGCTGTACATCTCTAAGATATCTCATTACAGGACAAACAGCTATTCTTTAACCTCAGGTTTTCAATAGTTCTCTTCATTTTATTCAATACTCTTATCTTTGTGACATATTTTATTGATTGGTAATAATCGTATGACATGGATAAATTATTTTTATATCATTATGCAATTGTTTCAATCTATATGAATTGTAACTTGTTGTGTATTATACGATTCATGAAGTTAACAAAGCTTATTTTAAGTGCACAACAACTAATCTTCAATACGTCTTTAAATCACTTTAATCATTTGATAATTATGAAGAGAAAAAAAGAAACAAAACAACAAAGCTTCATCATTCTTAATATATAAATTTTCTTTTGTTTTACTGAATATCACCGAATGTTATAAGCATAAGTCCTGGGTTCGAATCTCTTGGGTCGGGACCCTAGATGCACATTGCTGAGGAGTCCCACAATAGGACGAAACGGCCGTCTAGTGCTTTCAAGTTTTCAATGGTGGTATAGCTTCAATTGGCTCATGATCTCAACTTTTAAAATTAATAAACATACTGTTGATTGAATATTATTATTTATTTAATCAGGTTTGTGTTATTTGACTGAAATTTACATTATAAGCAGAGATGGATAGTGACTATGAGTGGAATCCAGTACGCGTGTTTCGTCCTATTTAGAACTCTCCAGCGGGATGTACCTTCATTCCAGAGTTGATTTTCACTCCAGGACTGTAACCTAATACTGTTCGCTTCAAACTCCATCACGTTATCCGCTTAGCTACTGATCATGAACTCTGGATTACAGGTACATTCAGATGACGAGTTCCAAATAGGACGACATGTGCTTCCTGGATTTCACTGATAGTCACCATCCATCTATGCTTATAATGCTTGTGGTTTAAGGCAATGTCGAGGTAATACGAACAGGATGCACATATGCTGATAAGAGATTGACCAATCGCAGTCCTAAACGTCAATGTGAAATTTCAAACTTCCAATTATTATTTAATGCAAAATTACAGTGGTTTAGTAAAGTATGAAAAGCATACGTTAAATACAACATCATTTGAACATTTTCCATGTATCGTCCTTTGCATATTTCATCATTCGTCATATTCTGTTGTTTTTTTTCGATTGCTCTCCTATTTAATTTTTATTCTCTTCATTTCAATAGTTTGCTAGTAGTCCTTCCACTTTCGATTAATATTACGTATTACTTATATCTGTCAACATAAGTGGTATACACCATAATACCGAAATTGGGCAAATCGAAGTGGATGAAGTTGCTTCTTATTTATTAAATATATGTCTGTTTTCTTTTTTTTTTTCTATTTATTTTAGTTTAATAACAATCGTACCACAGATTTCATTCATGAGGTAGCTGTAAAACTATGTTCACCTATTTATCCTAATTTAAATAGTAATAGAAGTAATTGTAATCCTATGTTTAATTCTATCAACTCTGAGAGTATCAATTTATCATCATCACAGCACAAGTGTTCTACTTCGAATCTTTCCGATGCTTTGTTTTTATATCGTCAAGAACAACGTAGATGGTTACATAACCCAATCGAAGCCTGTTTAACTGCTTATCAGGTTGGTTGATTAGTTAAATTAATTAGTTGTTTGATTAATTTTGTCACTTAAAAAAGTACAGATGTTTTCATCAGTATAAGACCATCCTGGAGACCAAACCTAGAACATTTAGGTCTTACTCCGCAAGTAATCAACCTTTTTTGATTATTGAGTCCGCATCCAATAAATTTGAAAGACGGGTGTACCATATCACGAAGTAGCTGATAAGAAATTTTGTAAACCATTGGATGCCGAGTCGGTGGTCCAAAAATTAAATAGTCTCTACAAAATTTGAAACTCTCTTCGTCTTATATCTTTGATGAAGTCGTGTGTGCTGATTGATGTGTACAATCGAAACCTATTTTCTTTAGCTAGCGTTTGTCCAAGTATAGATTTTGTGAATGCGATTCGTGAAATGGATTGAAATCTGAGCAAAGATGGATAGCGGCCATCAGTGAAATCTAGGACGCGCGTTTCGTCTTATTTGGGACTCGTCAGCTGAATGTGCCTACCTCCCAGGGTAAAACAACACCAAGTGAATTTGGATTGAAATCTGTTTAGATCGTATACCAAATATTTATCTCAGGAGTACAAATACATTTACCCAGTTATCTGATTTCTATTCATTTCTACTCGATATAGTCGGTTATTTTCCACTTAATGTACTGTTGAGAAATAAAAACGCTTATTAAGAAATATTCTTTAATGATTTATCTTTCTGTCGTATCGAAAGATATGAATAAAATGACGGCAATTTATAACACTATATAGTTATATAAACTTGGCATGGAGTTTTGGATGAAATACATGTAACTGTTAATGATTCTATTATCAAGAAGCATAGCTCACGGGTGCTTTCTATGATTTACCTATGAAAACGATGAATATATCAATCTAAGAAATTGTTCCTCTGGTCTTCAGATACTTTTCGGTTGTATTACTATATTGTTAACAGTCTGATTGAAATATTGACATCAGATTTTTAGCCAATATGAAGCATGATAAACTTATGGGCCATAATAAAAGTTAAGTTCAATATTCTTTAGTATCCTATAGACCAGATTTAAAACTATGAGTCTGAATTAAATACAAACTTTTCTTATCACTGTAGTCGTACGTGGAGTAGCTTTTGACTCTTTATTCCAGTTTGTGATATGAATCAATGAAGACAATGTTTGGTATAATCATAAAGGAATCAAGACGTTATAGAATTGATTGTCGTATGGTAAATTCTCTAAAACAACAACTAATGTAAAAGAAAATATCGTACTATCCTCTCTGGTCATAGTTGTACATTTAAGAATTTTACTCATTTTCTATTATTGATATTAACTAAATGTATTTGTTTGGTTTTATGGCATTTGACCTTTTTTTAGTTGAAAAAACGAACTTTTCTGTCCTTTGAACATTCACAAAACAATAACATTGAACGACAGGCTAATTACTTACGTTATTACATCACTTTTAATGTTTATAAAATTTATTTTATTCATAGTAAAAACAAGAATGGCCTATATGGTTCTAAATGAACGTTTGCTCTCATACTCATCAATTTCAATATTATGTGACTATTAGATGAACTTGGACAGTGAATTAATGGGATCTAAAAATGTAAACCATTTAATACAGGCTGACTGATTTAAATGATAAGGGCTCATTTGAGGATTTCAAAGATCTCATATAGATCGTCAGGGCACTTGTGAGTTCACACTATTGAGATGTCTCTCATTCTGGAGTACCTGCTTAGACTCCGACCATGCCCTAATACGGGCACGCATCTGCTTGCGCCTCACTGGACGCAAAAAAGCTAAACTAAAAAGACCCACTAAAATTGAATTGAGTTACGAGAAAACCAAAAGTAGGTTCCAGGAACAACTGAGGTCACACTTAGGTAGTTCTGAAAACGAGGCTGATCCAGATGTTGCATGGGAAGATATACAAGCAGCTGTGGAAACATCAGTGACACCTATCAGTGATTTAAACCGCAGGGTTACAAAGAACCAGTGGATTTCTTCAGGGTACATTGCACTAATGGATTCTCGTAAACCCATCCCATCAGGTTCTGAACACAATGAAGAGCGTAAACAAATCAGACATAGGTTAAGCAAAAGTATAAGGAACGACCGTGAGCAGTTGTGGGCAACGAAAGCAAAAGAGATGGAAAAGGCGGCGGCTATAGGGAACACAAAGCAGCTCTACAGCCTAATAAAAGAAACAAATTAATAAGTCAAGTGTAAGTCAGACTATTTTGGAAAAAGAAGACATTCTCATCTGCTCCCAGTCCAGACGTTTATAATGATTGTTGGAACGCTGTTGGTGACAATGTCAAATACTTGTACCTTCTCGATGATGGTTATGAAAGTTCTCCATGTTTCAGTTTCATACAATAGAACTATCATAACATATATATTAAAGAGCCTAACTTGGATATCGACATGCAGACAGTTTATATAAGAAGGTGTCAAAATCTTCCTGTGACATTCATAGGGGGATTAGTTTAACTAACTTAGCATCTAAAATACTAGCTTCCATAATTATCAAACGCCTAACTAAGACTCATGAACTGCAACCACGAGAGAATCAAGCTGGCTTCAGACCTGATTGTGGCTGTATCGATCACATATTCACCATTCGTCAGGTTCTAGAACACAGTCATACTTATCGGCGTCCGACAATGGTGGTCTTTCTTGACTTAAAAGCAGCATTTGACTCGGTAGACCGCGAGATTCTGTGGCAGTGTCTGTCATTGAAAGGCGTACCTCAGAAGTATATAAACCTTGTGAGGGCTCTACTCGAACACTACCAGTCGAGTCAGAGCTTATGGCGAACTTTCATCTGCTTTTGCAACCTCAAGTGGTGTCCGTCAAGGCTGTCCACTTTCTCCATTTTTGTTTAACTTCATCATAGACATACTAATGGAAATAACATTCTCGTCGACTGAGTTCTCGGGTATTGATCTCTTTCCAGGAGGTCCACTTATCGACTTAGAATACGCAGATGACATAGTCCTGTTTGGTGAAGACGTTGATAAAATGCAGTCTTTTGATAGCACTGAGCAATAATGCCAGGATGTTTGGAATGCGCTTCTCCCCCTCTAAATGCAAGTTGTTGCTTCAGGACTGGTCTGCGTTAACACCTGCACTAAGGATAGGGAGTGAAGTAGTCGAACGCGTTGACAACTTCACTTATCTTGGAAGTCTGATCAGCCCTAATGGGTTGGTATCGGACGAAATCTCAGCACGGATTCGAAAAGCTCGTTTGGCTTTTGCCAACTTACGTCACCTGTGGCGAAGGCGAGATATCCATCTATCAATAAGAGGACGAGTATACTGCGCGACAGTCCGTTCTGTTTTACTTTACGGCAGCGAAACATGGCCACTAAGAGTAGAAGACACTCGTAAGCTTCTAGTATTTGACCACAGATGCCTTAGAAATATTGCTAGCGTCTGCTGGGATAACCGGGTAAGTAATAGTGAGGTTAGACGCAGGGTATTAGGGAATGATGATAAATCAGTTGATGAGGTTGTGAATCTTCATCGACTGAGATGGTTGGGCCACGTGTTACGTATGCCTGAACACCGATTACCGTGACATGCAATGCTAACCGGTGTTCGGGATGGTTGGGATAAAGTTGGGGGTGGCCAAACCAAAACGTGGCATCAGTGCTTGAAGTCACTAACTTCTAGTCTGACCCATGTTGGTAGATGCGGACTGCTTGGTTGGGGTCCGTTTGTTATCATAACCAATGGTCGGAGAATCATGGTGACATGACTCAGAATCGATCACAATGGCGTCGGTGTATACACTCTTTGTCTTCCCTTAAACTAAGAGATTAAAATCGCTTCATATCTTTCTTTCTGTGAACTAATTCTTTCTTCCTGTACTATATCCTCATATGCAAGCTTTTTTTATATATTACCACCTCTGAATTAACTACTTTTATGAATCCGGTGTTCACCTTGCTGTGTTAATGAGTTATGGCAACTTGGACCGATGTATATATATGCCTGGTCCTACGTTGTAGCTGATTGATTGAGTGCAGATTGGATGCTATCGACCGAGTTGCAATGTGGCCACCAGTCTAGGTGACTCGACATTGTACATTATGTTGAGATTAGATGGTGGTTAGAGGTAGTCAACAGGAAACCGTGGACCTGGGTTTCGTGCTACATGGCACTCGTCGGCAAGGTGTACCTGTAATCCTGAGGGAACTGATGCTCCCTGACGGATTTGATCCCGTGTCACCCAGCTTCACAGTCAGAGACGTTACCACTGAGCTATTCGGGCCGCGATCGACCTCATGTAGGACTGAGATGTAATCAGAATTGATTGATCACTGGGGTTTTTGTAAATATTATGATAATTTCAATTATTGAAACCATAATTCAATTAAGGCTAGACCACTATAGAAAACCCGGAAGTACTGAACGGCCATTTCGTCCTATTGTTGAACTCCTCAGCAGTTCACATCCAAGATCCCGCCTTATGATATTCGAACCTAAGATCTATCGGTCTGGAAACGACCATCCAGTACTTCCAGGTTTTACATAGTCCTCTAACTTTAATTGACTCCTGTGATCTCAACTATTAAAATAAATTTATAATTTATTTATTTTTAATTACTTAAAATGCTCAATTAAAAAACATTGTTTTGACGTATTCTAATTTTCAAAGTATACGCTTCTTCTTTTTCTTTTATTTCAATCTTCATATAGGAAATTCGAGCTGAATTAAATATTCTATTATCAATTACAAGAAATTCATTGTATTCTAATCAATATTCTTTTCCATCATCATCATCATCATCATCATCATCATCATGGTCACCATCATCATCATCATCATCTTTATCATCATTATTATATCATAAAAGTAGACATACTAACAGATTATGTAATAGGTATAGTTTACAAGAGAAACGATCTAATCAAAGTTGTTTTAATAAATGTTTACAAAAGAATAAATTAAAAGATTTTAATAATATTGATAATAATAATAATTTACTTATTTTTTATGGAATTATTTATCCTAATCCTATTGGATTTATAATGCCATTATTACCATTAGGTAATTTATCGGATTATTTCAATTCATTATTTCTATTATATCAAGATATATTAAAGGCAACAATGAATACATCATTTATAACAATAAATTATAATGAATTATTTATTAATCATCCATTACATCCAATCACTATGATGTTAATCATTAATCAGGTAAGATTTTCTTTTTTTTTCGTTTGTTTTTTGGAGTTGATTTCTTGTTATTTATGTTTATTTTATTATTGTGATCATAATGGTATACAGTTTCAAACTGTTGACTAGATAGATACAGGGTCAATCAATATGAGACTAAAAACTGCATTGACAAAATCATATCCTGCAGCTAAATTGATTGTCCTGTCCAAAACAACATGTTTTTTGACACAAACAAAGATCGACAGGTATCCCTTTCATGTTACCACCAACTATGTATACAGATTTACATGTATCTACCAAAGCAGTTACATTGGTAGAACAGAAAGAAGAGCCTACGTTCGATTCAAATAACATATTCCGAAGGGTTTGAGATCAAATGAAGTAAAAGCATTCAGCAGCGCTATCGCAAAACATCTCCTTGACATAGGACACGAAGTCGATTTACTGAAGTCCTTCAAGGTGATCAACAAACAATCACATTCAAACCTTTTGAAATTTGCCGAAGCGATAGCAATCAAACGTTTAAAACCAGATCTTTGTATACAAAAAAACGGTAATAAATCTTTCTTTGCCCTGGTAACATTACCCCTTCCCCTTATTTATTACGTCATTCCAACTCTTTCTGAATTTTATAATTACATCATTCATAACTGACCAATTTCAATTCATATCTTTCTTTATTATCATTAATCTATCTTCAGTTACTTCATTACATAATCGTCTAATGTGTTTTAATCCCATGATTTCTAATCACTATTTCAATGTTCTGGAACCTTCCCTCCCAAACTCTATATATTCGAAAGAAAACATTTTATGACCTCATTAACTCTAACGAAATCTTTGCTACATCATGTTACATTTATTCATCCTTAATCACCCTCTTATGTCAATATGTGTCAATATCTGTAAGAATGTTGAATTTTAAATATTTTAGGTTGTAAGCAGCTGATGAGAACCTAACGAAATAAAATGAATTCATAGATTATTCTGCAACAATCTTTGTTCTTGATCTCATTTTTTTAATGTTTAATATGCAAATCATCAGTCTATTTTTGTGCATTCAGTAATATAATTGGATAGATTGTAAGAAAAATATATCTAAAGGAAGTTAAATCAAAATATGATATCAGTCCATGAGGTTCTTGACTAGTTAACTGAATTGTGTCATTACGTTCAAACTAATGGGTTGATATTAATAGGATTGTTATGAATAACAGTTAAGATTTTTCTTTATACCGTAGATCTATTCACTTTTTGTTTTCGGATATGTGGGTGAGAATGATAATAATTGGTTGTTTGCATAGTTCAACTTGTAGATAGTTTGAAAGTCGTTAAGATGAGTTCTATATTCTCCTATCCTTATTGTTATTGTATCGAATTGTTGAACAACCATAGTGCAATTAATGTCAATCTAATACTAATAACTGATTGTGGTTTAAAATTAAAAAATACGAATTCTAAGAAAAATAAAACCAAAATATACTACTGTTATAACTTGTGGCCTGGGTGCCCTGTTAATGTATAACGTAATGATACCGCCAATTAGAGCTCAGTGAATCATCGATCGGATCAATGACTCATAAAACCCATACGAGCAGTCTAGAGTCCTTATCGATCGTACTCCCTGCGTAGCCCTGCCTGTTAAGTCCAGAACATTAATCTCAGCCTCTGCAATATGAATCATTTATTTCAAACATATTGGGTTTATATACCAGACCACATCGTACCATAAAATAGGAAACAACATTTATACAAGATTGAGCCAAATGTGGCTGTGAATGGGGGAGATAGTAATTGATAGACAGGGTATAATTCAAGAATGGTAAATCGTATAATAATAAATTATAGGTCAAAATAAAACTCATAATAAGACGGACATGAATATGAACAGTTTACTTATTTAACAGTTATACAATGAAAATATACACATAGTATTGGTCCATAAATGGATCCCAAAAGTTATCATTCTTTATGCCTATCGGGACCTAACAACTACAGAAGGGAACCAAGGTAGAAAAAGTAATGAGAAGTTGGACGTATTGTGTTTGCACGCTGAGTTCGGGCATGAAATGGTGGATGGCCAACGCCTCAGCAGTGTACTTTTTGGTTAGATCCCCTTTTGATCCAGTTTTCTTTATTGTGTAGATTATTTCAAAGGAAGATTTCTTCGAAGAGATGTGTCCAGAGTGCATCAGATGTTGCCGTATTGAACTGGTAACTGCTTTGCATTCTCTTTTTAAAAGCCACGCTGGGTAATGTTCTGAGATGCGTTTGGAAAGTGTTCGCTTTGTGCGGCGGATATAATCTGCCCCATAGCAACAAGTAAATTTATAGATGCACATCGATATGGTTCAAACTGGAAGTTTATCCTTAACACATCCGTGAATGGTAAGCTGGGTTGATAAAACAATACGGAGCTTAGCTCAATAGGTTTTATTCATCGATTTTGAAATCCGTTAATTCAAGAGTTCGACGGCATTACTTTTAAATCTGATATTCATAAGACGTTTTCTTCCGAATTGTTGGTGCTTTTTTAGTATGTTGTCTTGGTGTTAAGTTCCAATCGAAAAATCCAGGTAGATAATCATTTCTGACGAATATTTGCCAAAGTTATAGTAGTTCGTCATCTATTGCGTTATTCCAACATATTCGCCTAATACTTTAGGATAAAGAGTGAATTAAGTTTCTCTTTCTATTCAATGGGACCCAGCTATGGAAATACGTATACTGACCGTCCCAGGTTGGTTTTCTACATATAGATCTCTGTAAAGAACCATCTGACCTTCTTTTCAACCGTATATCAAGAAAGTAAAATGCCTACTTCTAATGTGAATTGAATGATGACAATTATTGAATCGATTCAAAAACTTTTTGAGGTCCATGTAATTTGTTTTGACTAATTTATCTCAATGTAATGATATAACGTAGCAACTTGAACTGTTGTGCATATATATGTATATGAAATTCTATGTTGTTCTTATCTGACTGATTATATGAACTACTGGTGTAGTGAAGGAGAACACAAGCGGGGACAATAGAATGTATTTGAATACAAAATTACAGAACATATTAGTAAAATCTAAGAACCATACAATAAATACTTTATTTGCAAAATGTCAATCAATTGTCTCAAACTTGACTGTTCCTTTATTTCCACAGCAATCATTCTCTATTCTTTTTCTCCTTTCTTCGATCTTCTTAACCTTCTGCTTCCAGGTATATCACTTTCTATTGATGATGTGTACAAGTTTATGTTTTCATTTATTTCATCTCATTCACTTATAATGAAGTCACCAAAGTTAATATTCGATCAATCAAGTGTTTCAGTTAAGCATAAATGATCAACGATCATGTATACAGTCAATCAGTCAACATCGTACGTACGTACATCAGTTCGAGTTGCCATATCACATTAGCACAGAGATACAATTGTCGATTCAAATCCCATATTGGTAGAGGTAGTAAAAGTATAAGCAGTAATCGGAAAGATTAGGCTTTGGAGATTTATTCATGGAGTATAGTCTAGTGAAATAAATTTGGAAAGAGAAAAGAAAAAGGACATGAAGAATTCAGAAGATTAGAATTTGGGCGAACACAAAGAGTGGATGCACCTGCGCCGTTGTATACACATATACATGGTATAATCTGTTCATACTCATCATTTTTATTGTCTATAGTCTCACATTTGTATGCTAATTTGAAACTAACATTTGTTTAGTTAAATATCTTGCTTGGTTTATAATTGGTTATGGTTGAGATAAATGAATCAAGACTTTTGTTTTCATTTCTAGACTTTCATAATTGAAGTCAACTCCTTTTCTCTTTCATAAATAAAAGTTTTTAAAAGAAAATCTACTTCTCATTCTTCTATTGTGAAATGGAATGTTTCAAATTCTCATTACTTTTTGTGCGGATATATTTTCGTGGATTAGTTGAAGTTAGACATTAACACCGTCGGATGCCGGCTCAGTGATCTAGTGGTTAAGTGCTCGCGCGCGAGATCATTAGGTCCTAGGTTCAAATCTCGCAGGAGGCGAGGTCGTGGATGCGCACTGCTGAGGAGTCCCACGATAGGACGTAACGGCCGTCCAGTGCTTTCAGATTTTTCATGGTGGTCTAGCTTCAACTGACTCATGGTCTTGACCTTTGAGGATACATTTTAATTTTATTTTTAATGGATTTTTTTACTTTCCCATTGTTAATGTTATTTACTAAAATAGATCAGTCTCTTTTGGGTTATATATACACTGTAATCAGTTTTAATTTCATTATGAAGATAAGTAAAATAGTCCAAGTACTTTCAAATAAACACTTTTAAATAGAATGACATATGATTCTTAGATTTCACTGTTAGATACTATGGAAATTTTAAAAAATATTTTTCTTTTATTTGGTAATGTTTTACTTGAATCTTCCCATTGTTATTTAGGACTGAAATTGATCAGCCTCTTATTGGCATTTGTGCATACTGTGCGTATTGCCTTGATAATGCTTTAATTTACAAGCATTATAAGCAAAGATGGATAGTGCCTAGCAATGGAATCCACCGCGATGGTGTTTGAAGCGAACGGTACTGGTTCCGACTCCCAGAGCGAACATCAACTTTGAGATGCAGGTACATCCAGCTTACGAGTCCCAAATAAAACGAAACGCGCGTCTTGGATTCCACTCATAGTCACTATCCATCTTTGTTTATAATATCTTTCTTTTTTCTTCTTTTTTTTCCTTCACAATAAAGAAATCTTATTACTTTTAACTTTATTGAAAAATTGAATAAAATTTGATCAGAAATTTGTATTTACATTCTGAAAGTATATTATACACAATAAATACATAACGTAAAGAACAATTAATGAAAATAATACATTATTATTATACAAAATTAAACATGGTAACTGTTTTATTTGTTTTTCCAATTTATATTTATCACATTCGTTTATTAGGCTACACAGATTAAAACAGTTGGAATTTTTTTGGGAAACTTTCATTATTTTATAGTTCAATACTTGAATGATTGAGTCAAATTACATTAGTTAGTAATTCTTTACTTTTTTTGAATTATGAATATTTTAGATAGCTCAAGGACTTGCATATCTTCACTCTTTATCTATTGTTCATCGTGATGTAAAATCAGAAAATATATTAATTTGGTCAATACCATCACCTTCTACAATGATGATGATGATGACGACATCATCAATATCGGAATCAAATGATCAGAATCCATCTGAAGTACATATTGTACTAACTGATTATGGTGTAAGTCGATTCATGAGTGTACGTGACGATGATGAAGATGGTAATGGATGTAGAGGATATGTTGGTACACCTGGTTATATGGCCCCTGAAATTTTAGACTATATTGGTGAACAAACATATACTTCAAAGGTTTGTTTAAAGAAAAAAAACGCGAAAATTTTCTTAATGATATATATTTATACATTTCCTTTCATTATACTTCATTCATACTTATTATAACATGAGTTTTCGTCAAAACATTAGTTACACCTTTCCAACCTAGTAATTCAAATAGACATATAAAAGGTAAGGGCCTCCCTATAACATGTTAGAAGTGGGAAGTGAAGTTCAAAATACAGTACAAAAGAATCTAAAATTCATCTCAAAAAATTAGTTACTCTTCAGATTATACATATTTCCTTCTGAAGATTTGTCGCAGCTCGAAAACAGCACAGTGATAACATCTCAAACTGTCCAGCTGGATGACAAGGGTTTTAATCTCACAGAGAGCCTTTTTCCCCTCAGGATTACGGATATGCTTTTGGAACCATTACCTTTTAACTTTTCGTACCAATTATCTCTATTCCTTTTCTACGTATACCCAACCACCACCTTGCTGGATGGGCGATGTTATCTGTTGTAGGAATAGACTAAAAGAAAGCTAGGGGCGGCCAAACTAAATGATTGTGTCAGCCCATGAATTTATTTACAGTTTGACTGTGCCATGATCATAGGTGTTGACTGCATGGTTGGGGTCCATGTAACTATTGTGTATCGCGAGGTGACTACTCTAATTTCTACCGATTGACTAGCTTCAGATATCCCAGTTTGACCCCAATACTATTCCCAATCTCCAATATATCAGAACACGAACCGTAGATGAAAAATTGTTTATGGGGTCAGAAGCCGAATCATGATTTACAAACAAATGCATATTTATACAGTTAGGATTACTATAAATATTGACCAACAGAAAGATAACACGTGAAATAATATTGACCAATGGGGAAATGACACGCGAAATAAATATTGATTAGTAGGGAAACGTCCAATAGGAAAATGACACCATTTAACGTTCAAGGGTAGCATTAGACTTAACCGGATAATTGTTTTTGGGATATTTTTCTGAATATCCCAACACCTCCCCTTGGAAAAGTTAATAGCGACGTAATCGAGGATTTACTTGAAGTTTCTTTGGGTGTCTTCTTTTGCGATCCGACCTCCGAGGCAACCACACAGAACCAGAAGGATGTTCTACTTGAGTAGATGACTTAGTCGTCTCTGTTGGAGGTATTGGCGGAAGTTGAAACGTGTCCAACAGCAAGTCGAGTGGAACGCTTTTTGTAATTGTTTCTTTCTCCTTCGCTTCCCTTGGCCTGACTTGATTGTGGTGCCTGGTCCAGATTTCTTGGTTCACTTTGACATCATACATGACGTCCCCATGTTTCTTTGTGATTTCACCCTCTACCCATCTATCACATCCGTGTCTATAGTCTCGCGCGTACACTTTTGTACCAACTTCGTAGGGAATTCGAGTATTCTTCATCTGGGGTTTTTGTTGCGCCACTTGCTTAGGTTTCATCGCACAATGAACTGTCCGTAGCTTTCGCCCCATAAGCATCTCAGCAGGGGATTTGGAGTTTGGCAATAAGTCATGCGGGGTCGTCCGGTACGCAACTAGGAATCGTTCTATGCTATCTTCTGTGGTCCCCTCCCCTCGTGATTTAAGCATAGCTCGTTTAAATGTATCAACGAACCTTTCAGCTTGTCCATTAGATTGCGGGTGATATGGCGGAGAACGGACATGGTTGATCGAATTTTGCAGGCAAAATTCTCGGAATTGGCTAGATGTGAATTGTGAACCATTGTCTGTTACTATTGTTTCTGGAAGACCATGCTGAGCGAAGATCCGATTAAGGAGTTTGATGGTTCGAGTTGTAGAGGGTGGCGCAATTGGCAATATCTCCGGCCATTTGGAGTAGGAGTCAACCAGTGTCAGATATGTGGTACCATCTAGGGGTCCGATGAAGTCAATATGCACTCGCGACCAGGGTTTTTCCGACTTTGGCCAGGGTACTGGAGGCAACTTAGGAGGATTTTTCGCAGCTCTTTGACAATGCGAGCATCTTTTGACGAAGTCGACAATCTGCTTGTCCATATTCGGCCAATATGCATAACTGCGAGCGATGGATTTCATACGGTTTATCCCTGGGTGTCCAGAGTGGAATTGGTGTAGGATCTTGGAACGTAGGGTTGTTGGAATTACTACGCGATCACCGAACATCAGACAATCGTTAACAATACAGAGAGCACTGCGACGATTCGCTAGCTGTTGCATATCACCACTCAGCTGCTTAACTGGCCATCTACTCTGAACATAGGTGATCGCTTTTTGGATAATCGGGTCCTCTCTGGTAGCTTCCCGAACATCTTCAGCGGTAACAGGCATTGCTCGAATGGCATTCGCTAATACTGTAGCACCGGAATCCTCTTCGGTTGATACTATGGCTATGAGTGTGTCCTCATCAGTAGTAGAATGGTTACTGATAAGTCTGGACAGTGCATCCGCTTGACCAAAATCTTCGGAATGTCGATACTGGATGTCGAAGTCGTACCCCAATAACGCCAACGCCCAACGTTGAAGACGATTAGCAGAATGGGCAGGAATGCCTTTCTTTGATCCAAAGATTGATAACAAGGGCTTGTGGTCTGTGAGCAAGGTGAAACGGCGTCCGTAAATGAATTTGTGGAATCGCCGGACAGCAAAAATTAGGGCTAACGCTTCCTTCTCTATCTGGCCGTAGCGTTTCTCAGCAGGTGTTAGTGTTCTCGAAGCATGCATCACCGCTTTCTCTGACCCATCGGGAAAGACATGTGAGAGTACGGCACCCAGTCCATGTGTTGAAGCGTCAGCAGCAACCACAATGGGTAGTTTCGGATTGTAGTGGGTTAGCAGAAGATTGGAACTTAACATGGCTTTAAGTTTTGAAAAGGCTGACTCACATTGCGGTGACCAATTCCAAGTAGCATTCTTTTCTAGCAGACGATTCAGTGGATATCGTACGTCATGCAGTGATGGAAGAAATGCTGAATAGTAGCTAATCATTCCCAAAAATGATCGCAGTGAGGAGACATCAGTGGGAGCAGGCATTTGTTGGATTGCGTAAGTATTTTGAGGATCAGGATGTCGTCCGGATGCATCAAAAATAAACCCCAGGTACTTAACGAAACGTAAGAAGAAATGGCATTTTTCTGGGCGAAGGCGGAAACCATTATCCTGGAGGCGTTTCAGAACTAAGTGAGTTCTGGTATTCAATTCATCAGCAGTTGCGCCGACAATGAGGACATCGTCAAGGTACGTAGCAACACCAGGAACATCTGCTAGAATAGTGTCCATGATCTGCTGGAAGATCGCTGGAGCAGTTTTGATACCAAAGGGTAACCGGGTATACTGAAAAAGTCCTCGGTGAGTGTTGATTGTCAACAACTCTCTGGATTCTAGAGCGACTGGAATTTGAAGGTAAGCATCTGCCAGATCCAGCTTAGCAAAATAGGTACCACCATTTAAAATAGTAAATAAGTCATCTGGGATCGGCAGCGGGTAGTGATGCTGTTGTAGAGCCGCGTTGAGTCCTGTGGAAAAGTCTGCACAGATGCGTATGGAACCATTAGATTTTTTTACAACCACAATTGGTGCAGCCCAAGATGAATAAGAAACAGGTACCAGAACACCCTCAGTTTCTAAACGTTGAAGTTCAGCGTCAACCAGGGGTAAAGATGCGTATGGGACTGGACGCTTTGGACGAAAAACTGGCGTAGCTTCTGGCTGCAGTCTTAAAACAGCTTCAGTTGTAGTACAAAGTCCAAGACCAGGCTGAAATAGTTCAATAAATCTTTTTCGAAGGTCTTCAGCATGCTGTTGTGTCGATACAGTAGTTTGGACTTGATTGCAGATAGCGTTAATAGGAAGATCAGCGAGACCAAGTTCTTCGAACCAATCTAAACCTAAAAGATTGAGCGGGGAATTGGTGATGTAGCATGTCCCATTGAAGGTTGTACCTCTGAATGAAATGCAGCAACAAAGTTCACCATGAAGGCGGAGATGACCCCCACAGGCACTGACGGCTGTCTGAGAGGATGGTTTGATGGGAGGTTGACCCAAGGTTCGCCAAGTCTTTTTCGACAGAATGGTGATATCTGATGCAGTGTCCAACTGCAAACGAACTGGCTGACCATTGATTGAGAGGGTCAGAAATTTGCGTCGAGTCGCGGCATGAGTATGGAAGACTGCTGCTAAACTCCTTGATGAGGTGATCGGCTTTTTGTGAAAACGACGCTGCGTCTGTGCATTTCGACGGTTATTGGATCGGTTGGATTTGCAAAAGCCGCTTTTGTGACCAACTTTCTGACAGCGATCGCACACATGCTGTTTGAATGGACAAAACTGCACATAATGCCAGGCTCCACAATGCCAACATGGAGAGGGGGGCTTCTTCTGAGCCGGTTTAGAGTGATTAGGGACAGAAACAGCACTGGCGTTCGAAAGACTCGAGGTCGTCGATCTCGAAGATTTTTTTTGGTGCTGAACAGCATGAACTTCGGAACCACCCTGGCCACCAGATTGAACCAAAGTGGTGTCACGCTGCAGATTGATGATGCGCTGGTACTCGTCTATGATCGCATTGAGTGTCAGTGTTGGATCTTGTTCAAGGCGGTTAAGCAAACGAGTTCTGATGTCGGAGAATTTGGGTGACTGAAGACTGCATATGAGTATTAGGGACTTGAATTGGTCTTCAGTGAGGGATCTGAGCTTGAATCGTTCGCACTCACGGTTAACAACGCCGACGTGGGTCAGGAAGTCATCGGACTCATTCATGATCAGTTTTAAGCAGCGATATCGAGTACTGAAGAGTGAGTGATGATCACCAAAAAGTTGGCTAAGGGACTGAATAGTGGCGTCGAATGAACGGTCACGTGGGTTCTGCGGTAGAATAAAGTTGCAATACTTATCCAGCTCGGATGGACCAAGTTTACGAAGCAGGAGACGCACCTTCCACGCATCATCTCTGTCAGCAAAGTCAACTTTGAAAAGGTCTTCATAGCGTCTGAACCAGGTATCAAATGTAATGTTGGCATCAGGATCATAAAGGAATTCTGAAATACCACTGGTAATACCATCAACTGATTCAGGAATTGTCGGTGTAGTTGGAACTCGAGAAGATATGTGCGTGTGAGCAATCATCTCCATCAGCTTCAACTGCTGTTCGAACAATTTTTCTAGTTTGGCTGGATCCATGGTTAATCACCAAATTCTTTGCTGAATCTCCGTCGCCAAATTATTGTGTATCGCGAGGTGACTACTCTAATTTCTACCGATTGACTAGCTTCAGATATCCCAGTTTGACCCCAATACTATTCCCAATCTCCAATATATCAGAACACGAACCGTAGATGAAAAATTGTTTATGGGGTCAGAAGCCGAATCATGATTTACAAACAAATGCATATTTATACAGTTAGGATTACTATAAATATTGACCAACAGAAAGATAACACGTGAAATAATATTGACCAATGGGGAAATGACACGCGAAATAAATATTGATTAGTAGGGAAACGTCCAATAGGAAAATGACACCATTTAACGTTCAAGGGTAGCATTAGACTTAACCGGATAATTGTTTTTGGGATATTTTTCTGAATATCCCAACAGTAACCATCGTAACCAATGTTTAAATACTTCCAATGACATGACTGAAAATCGTTTGCACTGGCGCAGATGTACTCATTGTTTGTTTTCCTCCGAATTCTGAGCTTTCTGAATTCTGTATAAACTCTGAGATTTGACCTGACAATCTCGTCTCTTTATGCTAATATAGTATGACAACTTGAACCGATGTACATACGTACAACGTTATACGCTGCAACTGGCTAACTGAATGCATTGTGATAGTGTGTACTCCACCTGGAGTCCCTCCAGGGGCTACTGCCGGTCACAAGCCCGGATAAAGGAGGAGGGTTGGGCATGGGGTTATCGATCACATCCCGTAGAAAACTAACTCGCTAAAAAAAACGCTAACCAGTGTGTATACTAGCGACATATAAATCCGTTATTCGAATGTGCATTAAATATATTCATAAATTTATAACTGTTTTTACAGTCTCTCATTGCCTTCACATTCACATCAGTCAGAAACCTAAGACACTGTTGCATATTGTTGCAAATTGCCTTCAAAATATATCCCTACCGTCAGATTTTTTCTTTTAATAATTACTCTCTTGTTTTTGTTCCCCTTTATTTTACTCTATATAGATTGATATTTATGCTATGGGAATTTTATTATGTGAAATGATCCAATTAGAACAACCGTACAAAAAGTCATCATCGTCATTTTATCGTTTAGCTCAACAAGTTATTTCAGGTGTACGTCCTGATATTCCACAACATGTATGTTTTTTTTATATTGAATTAAATTTTTCTTTTGATTTCGTGAATGATCCGAATCAGTCCATCAGTAATATCTTTCAGTCTGACACTGAATAATATAAGTTCGAATTTCGATTAGTTTTCTTCAAGAGTAGCGCCTAATTCAAGATGTGGTATCAGTTCATAAAGTCACAGACCGTTGAACCATCTGATTTGTCTTCATAAGTGTAGACTATGTGATGCAAGGTTGATGCGATTATGGTAACCGTTGGTTAAATATGTTAGGTAACATTCATAAAAATCGGTTGAAGTGAATCACTTGCATTATTTATGTATCTTCCCTTAGATCTTCAATCTTACAAGGATCTTCTACTTTCTCTTTCTCTAAATCCATTCTTCCTAGAATACTATTTTCTATACCGAATGATTTGTAATATCAATTATATTGTTACTGCTTCTACTATTCTGACATATATCTCGATGAAAACCTTTTAATATTCTGGTATTTTTAGAAACTAGAATATCAATTCATATTAAGCCTAAGTTAAGCACAGTTTTGTAATGATTTGATTCAACCATTTAACATAGACCTTTACCGTTAGCATTGTATTTAGTCATTTATATTAATGACCTCATTGAAAAACGTGGTCTGTTGGATTTAATCAACAGTAACAATGAACTAGATAAATTTGATATTTGTTATTTCTTAGTGATCCATCAATCTAAACAGTTACTATCTTCATTAAAGACGAAAGAAGGCGAATCAGATATTGGCCAAATAATAAGCACATAGGACTGACCAAATTGTTGATTTTTATTTTAAGGGATGAGAATGTGAAAAACATCCTTCTCACTCAAATATTCAGTATGACTCGGAGGTAAAATGTTTGCTTATCAGCAACAGGATCGACCACTGCACAATACAGTAAAATTTCACCTAGTATTTATCCATAATCATAAAACTCGATGATAGTAAGGTTCGTTTTCATCTTCTATCCTTGTTTTCTTTTTAATACACTTCCTTCTGTATGTTAATCTATGTTACTTAACAATATTCAATAACCCGTTACACTTCTGATAACTGAGCATCTAGTGTGATGTATATCGATTGTTATTTATTATTCTTGAGTATTCACATAAGTTGACAGTGGTTTTCAATGTCATTTAATTTCATTAATTTAATAGTTTACAATCATTAAAAGCACTGAACATCTATTTCATTTTAGTATGAGACTCTTTAGTAATGCACTCTCAAAACCCCACTAAAGATCAAATTAAGCGCTCACTACGAAACTTGTAGGTTTGGTGCTTGTTAGCTTTCAATAATTGTCTAAGATGGATAGTTGATGTAAACTACGAAGTTTAACAAACTCAGTTAATCACTTATAGCAACATTATTTGATAAGTTGAACATCAAATCATTGAGTTCCTTGTAACATCATATTGGTTAATGTTCAAAAATCGGTTAGTGCAGTTCTTTTAAATGGGATGTGATCTGAATGATCAAATTGTGTATACGTTATATACAACATTGGATTTGTTATATTGGATTCATTATTTCTGTGCTGCTTTACAAGCATGAAGCTTCAGTTCATTCCTACATTTCGGTTATTTTAAACTAATCAGCATATATTTTAACTAAAAATACGTTATCTATGTACGTCCTGGACTCGTGATATCAATAGAATATCTGATATTAATCAACATATGCTCACTCGTGACTGGCTTCACAAGCTATGTCCTGGAGTTCTAGTGAGAAGTAGTGACCAGTGGAGTTCAGCCAGGTCTGTTGTGAGATATCAGCTCACTGAAGATAATGGTGGATGTGTCGCTCAATTTCGTGGATTAGTTGAAGTTAGACATTAACACCATTGGATGCCGGCTCAGTGGTCTAGTGGTTAAGTGCTCGCGCGCGAAACCAGTAGGTTCTGGGTTTGAATCTCGCTGGTGGCGGGATCATGAATGCGCACTACTGAGTAGTCCCACAGTAAGACTAAACGGCCGACTTGTTTTTCCAGGTTTTCCATGGTTGTCTAGCTTCAACTATAATATCAACAAAACCCATCTGATATCAATAGAATATTTTGTAATTTTCAATGTAATCCAATATTGTCAATAAATTTGCTCGATTATTCGTCAATACTTAATTACATGTAATGGACATACCCTCGTTAGACAACCATTGACACCCAAAAATCACTAAACAGTCTTTTTTGTCTTACTACAGAAATCTTCAGGAGTATGGGTCTCAATCTCCTTGGGAATCCGACACAAAGCATTTAGGTCTCATACTGATTGCTTAACCTTGAGATTAGGGAACTTTATTCGTATTCAAAAGACTCTACATTGAGGACTGTGTTTTATTATTTCAAGTTCTGACCTTGCACAAAATAACATGACATTGACATGTTCAAACCTGTTGTGATTTTGATTTTGCTAAAAATATTTTGCTTTATTTCTTTTGTACTATTTAAGCTTATGTTCATTTTATCTCGGTTATTTGTTTAATTTAAAGTAGTGATTTACATTGAGTCATGAAACATCTGAAATACAATTTTCTACTGATTGAGATATCACAAAATATTATTTATTATTTAAGTTCTCAATGTTTACTTCAGTGGATTGCAAGTTCGAATTCTGACTTTACTCACGTCTATTTAAGTTGGTGTTATAATGTAACTGCTAATTACACTAATGTAGACTATTTCATAAACAGGTTACAATTAATAATCGATCTCATCTAGTATCTCGAGTATCATGTAAGTATTGTGGAACTTCTCAGTGGTGCACATCCATGATCCCGCTCGCGGGATTCGAACCCAAGGCCTTCTGTCTCGCACGCGAACGCTTAACCTCTAGATCACTGAGTCGGTATCCAACAGTGTTAATGTCTAACCTCAACCAATCCACAAAGTTGCGTGACCAACTTTCATTGTACTGAAGTAGATGCCTGTCTCTACCCGATACGAATTAGCTTCATTGGTCACGACTTTCATGTTTTCAGTGATGGTCTAACATCAATCAATTCATGATCTCAATCAAAAATCTAATAATCTCCACAACCCTATACTGATATTATGTAAGTAATTAAAATATTTGGTCATGAATTTAAACGATGATTGGGGTGTTTACTTTGTCAAAATTTTCTCTTTTTTCTTTTTCTTTTTTATCACAACTTCAAATAACAGTTTATTAAATGTTGTCCTATTGCATTAATTAATTTAATGACATATTGTTGGTCATCCAATTCAAATAGACGACCATCAGCTGAACAAATTGTACATTTAACTAATTCATATCAATTATCTACTTCATTATTATCATTATCCAATGAAATTATTACTAATCATTGTAATAATAATAATAAGAGGAAGAAGAAGGAGAATAGATCAAATTCCTTACCAATTTATCAAAATAATTGTTTTAGTCATATACAATCGGTTTATTCAATTGATTTTTTAAAAGTTGTAACTTGTGCTGTAATTGGTAAGTGATAAATGGTTATTTCAAAAATTTTGATTGATTTATTTCAATGGTTGAGTTCATGAGTCAGTTGAAGCTGAGGAGTTCCACAATACGACGAAATAGTCGTTCAGTGCTTTCAGGTTTTCAATGGTGGTCTAGCTTCAACTGACTCATGATTTCAACTATTCAAATTACTATAATATTCACAAAACCCCTTCTGATATTTATTTGTTTGTTTGTTTCCATGATAATTGTTTAATGAGACGAGAAAAAAGAAAATGGAGGAACTCCTGTTCTCTATAGTGTGGTCCATTTATTATTATTATTTTACAGTTCCTACGTTTGACTATTATTATTATTATTATTAATGGCTTTATTCAATATTATATTTTTGGTACAATATAGAATTCTCAGCACAGGGTATTTCAACAAGTTACTTACTGAAAAAAAAACGAACAAATAGGCAGTAGAAAATACAAAAAGAAATTTTTTTAAAAAAAAAAGTTTTTTTTTTAAAATAAATTTTAAAAAAAAGACCAAAAAAACTGTGCAAACTTTTTAAAATTAAAGACATGTTAAGAATGTAAGTTATTACCTATGTTATTTCTAACAACCTGTTCGTCACATAGTATATTTGCTAGGTAAGGAATTATAGAACTTTTATACTTTTCCTTACGTGCATGGATTTTAATGTAATTACGTCTCGTTCTACCAGAAGATATACAAGGAGAAAGATAAGAGTGAAGGGGATGGCTAGTATCTGATAAAATAACACCTGCCAGGAGTTTGCATGATTTTAAATGTCTATCCACAACCATATTAATTATGGCCTCGAAAGATTCACCACACATCTTGCTAACTGCCTTCAGCACTCTTCGCAATACAGTAAAGTCTTTTCTCAAAAGCCCGGGAAAGAATAATGGAGAACAGTAAAGAATAATAGGTAAAATGCAAGAATTGACAAATTGTAAGAGTAATTGACGAGTAATCCCAAGAGCATGCAATCTCTTTATGTAGTAGGTCAGACGGAAAACCTTCTTCGATAACGATAAAACGTGGGAAGACCAAGACAGATCAGAGGAAAAGGTGACACCAAGATAATTGACCTTCGACACTGAGTTTATGAAAGAGTCTCCGATGGCACAAGCATTATGGGATCTCAAAATGGTGTTTATATTCCGTTCATGTCTCATGCTAAAGTTAACAGCTTGACATTTAGACGGATTAAGTATGAGACCATTACCAACTGACCAACAATCAATATGAGACAAAAACTCATTCATTTCTACGGGATGTAAAGAGGAAGATATAGGCATACATACAGTGAGATCATCCGCATACTTCACAAAAGTGTTTTCTGTAGAAGATGGCAGGTCATGCAGAAAAAAAGAGAATAGAAGAGGTGAAAGAACAGCTCCTTGTGGTACACCTTCCTGAGACAGTAGAGACTCCGAACACTTTCCTCCAAACACAGTGTACTGTTCCCTTCCAGAGAGGTAGGAACATAGCCAGTTGGTTATCCAGCTGTCAGTGTTGACGCTGATTAACTTGTTAAGTAAACGTTGTCTTGGTATAGAGTCAAAAGCTGAAGTATAGTCCAGAAAAGCACAACGAACATACTTCTTACCCTTTTCTAAGTTGAACACTATGTTGTGGTGCAGAACTGCAACAGCATCTAAAGTGCTTCTTTTGCGCCTGTATGCAAACTGGTATGGGTCAGTATGCTCTTTTATCGCAAGCTGAAGTGGAAGTATTAATAATTTTTCCATGGTTTTGAGGAAGGGTGAAGTTATTGCAATAGGTCTAAATTTTACATTCTTATCACCAGATGCTTTCTTGGGTACAGGAATTATCTTCATCTTTCTCCACATTTTCGGTATGAGATTAGATGAGAAGGATCTGTTAAATATAGTTGTGAACGGATGACACAGAACGTCAGCACATTTTTTAAAAAGGATGTTTGGGATACCATCAGGTCCCAAACATCGAGATGAATTAAGCGATCGGAGACATCCTCGTACATCAGTTTCAGTGAAAGTAGGAACACAGCTACTTTTTAAACCCGTGGATAGAGGGAGCATCACATCAGATGACTGACGAACAAAAGACTTATTTAAGTCACTAACATTCAGCTGGTTATCGCTTCTAAACTGTCTGTCGCCTGTAAGTTCTTTAAAGAGTTTCCACATACTTGGAGTGTTTCTGCAAGATAAGAGCTTTTGAGTAAACATGCAGTTGAGACGTCTGATCTCTAGCTTTATCAGACCATTTAGCTTACGAACTTCATTAGAGTTCTTCTCCTTGTACATTCTTTCTTTCATCCTTCGTAGTCGTTTTAGTTGTGTAGATGTAAATCGATCAAAACTTACAAAAATGGTTTCAGTGGGACAGCAAATATCAAAACAGAATTTAAGGTAACAAGTGATAACATCAGTAGTTATTTCCAGTGAGTCACCTGTAAATATTTCTCAGTTAGTCGTATGAAACATATTTTTCAAATTTCGGATATTTTCTTCTGAGTAATTCCTATATTTGACTTTCTTGGTTTGACGTAAGAGTGTACTCTTCTCATGCTTTCCATATACTTTAGGTAGAACACGAATTATACAGTGATCTGAGCTAGACAATGGAGCACGTTTACGAGTCGCATATATACCCACATCATTAATGAAGACGAAGTCTAGATAGGCATCCAAACGGGTAGGAAAATCCACTACATTTTGGTGACCCAGTGACGTAAGGAAGCTACAGTCACATGAATTGAAGTCACCACATACGACTGAAAGTGAATCACTGAAGGCAGTAAGAGCGAACTCAGTGAATTCATCAGAAAAATCAGATAGTGCAGATGATGTGCAATCTGGAGTAACGTAGATATTGGTAACATAAACATATTTGTATTTATTTAGATGTTTTGGACGACATCTTAGAGTTAGACAGTCGATAAAGTCATTTGAAAACTTAAAACACACAAACGAAGATCGACACCAGTTTATGTTTACAAACGTAGCTACACCGCCACCACACCTCTTTTTATTGTTCGATCGATCCTGACGATAAATTTTAAAATCACGTAGTGATACAAGGCAGTCATCCTGTAAACCATTCAACCAAGATTCTTGAATTGTGATGACACCACAATTACGATACGTATTTTGACTAAGTAGGAATTGCAGATAGTCCACTTTGTTGATTAGTGACCGGCAGTTAGAATTAAGAAGCTCGGGAATCGACATACTATTAATGTTCATTCTTTTTAACGCATATTGCCAACCACCACGATGTCTTTTATAGTACTTTTTCGTAACTTGTGCAGCGAAAGGTCGTAAGCTTTTCATAAAAGCGCCAGAATAGGTTATGCGATTAATGGACATGATTATAAATTAAAACAAATAAAAAAAACAGATAACTTGTTGAAATAATCAGATGGCAGAAACAGGTAGCCCAGATATTCAAGCAGGCCGCCGTAACTAATCCCATAATGTAAATAAGAAGAGTTAAATGAGCAAAAAGGTTTAAATACGAAATCGAGCATAGGTGTATATACCATTGTACTACTGACTCAGATAATCACTTGTAACCGAACATTGAGTTGATACATAAACAATGTCCTCTAAAAACATGTCTCATTAGTACATTTTTACCTGTCCTTTGACCCTAAATGGGTATATGAACTATTTAACGTTTGGAAGTTAACCATTGTTTGTCTAGACTCGCTCAACCTATCAGGAATATCAATAGTTGAAATCATGAGTCAGTTGAAGCTAGACCACCATGGAAAACCTGGAAGCACTGGACTGCGGTTTCGTCCTAGTATGAGACTCCTCAGAAGTGCGCATCCATGATTCCGCCCCCCTCAACATTCGAACTTAGGACCTACCAGTTTCGCGCGCATGGGCTTAACCATTAGACCACTGAGCCAGCCGGCATCCAACGGTGTTAATGTCTAACTTCAACCAATCCACGAAATTGCGCTACCGTACACCATTGTCTTCGGTGAGCTGATATCTCACAACAGACCTGATTGAACTCCACTGGCAACGGCATCTCACTAGTGCTTCCAAGTTTTTCATGGTGGTTTAGCTTCAATTGACACATGATTTCAACTATTGAGATTTCTAAAATCTCCACAAAACCCCTTCTGATAACTATCAGGTATATGTTAATTCTTTTCTTCTAAATCTGTTATCATTCTTTTACTTTTGTCAGTTGGTTTGAATGAATAACGAAGGAAAGATTATTGACAAATTGTCACGCTTAGAAATACTAGTAATATTAACTTTAAAAAAGAAAAAATAATCAACCTCAGTGGAAAGTACAGTCATTTCACGTTTAAATGATTTTGTGTACACTTCAGTGTTATATAAATGAAATGACATGTTTGCTGAGACTTTTCACGTTTTCTTTAATGATTTTTCAACTATTTTTTTTTTGAAATACTTCTCTTCAATTGTGAATGTAGTTACCTATACGTACATTTAGTCTTTTATGGACAGCATACTACTACTTAATGTAAATGTATATTAGTCTAACTTCATATCAGTTGAGTGATTAAAAAAATAGAGTATCAGAACCATTAACTTTAATTGTAATGAAAAGCTAAACATAAGGGCCCCTAAATGCCTTGGTACAGCCGAAGGTTGAGAGATTCCGCTCTCCTTCATCAAATGCTCTCACATGGTCACGAGTATACAGCCACTTCCAGGGAAGTCCTACTCACTGCCTTCTCATAGGGAGGTGTTGTTTACGAAACTGAGAGAGAAAAGCTAATGTCCGGTGCTTTAACCAGGTTGGTGGGTACAGAAGAGCCATCTATGGAGATTGGAAAACCACAATTCCGAACCAAGGGTGCACATGGGCTCCATGATCCTGAGGGCACAAATTGAGTATGAACCTATTGTTCGTCACTGGCTACCATGGAACTGCATCTCCTGACGTCGATCCACTGCTTTGTGGATTAAACCTCTAGATCAAAGGTTCGAGGAGTGGTTCCCTAAGAAAAGCATCTTCTTCGGTCTGAGTGCACGGATAGTATCTCATCCCTCACATAAATATAACGAAGTATGGCACATATACATTTGTTGTCTTCTTGTACTAATGTTTGTGTGTTTAAATAAATAAATAAACATAAGAAGTATATTAATAAATGTTTATATTTTCTTGTTATTGATATTCACGGAGGCAATTGATGCTCTCTGTTGTCTTATGTACATTGTGAGCGGATCGCGTTAATCTAATGTTGTGTTACACGTTTTAATGTATTTGATATGTTGTTAGCAAAGGAATCCCTGGACATATCATCTGAATTTATCTGTAACCCAATGTTAGCATTCGCCCGGTCCTTTTCGCTTTAGATGTTGAACGCGTTACTAAAGAATTTATTGAGTCTAGATGGCTACTAGCTTGTGTAGTGTGTAGGAATTTTTATTTGTAAGGATTTATATTCCCCGTACTACAAACTGGTGACTATCCGGACTGAGTAGTTCAGTGAATAACCCATTGGATATTTAAAGAGAAATGTATTGGTTTTAAATCCTTGTGTAAACATTAACATTAGCTTACAGGATAAACGTAGTTTTTTTTTGCAAAAATGTCAGGTCAACTGATGTGACTATGATTTATCATCAACTGAATTGTCTGAGACATGTATTATGTAGGCCTAACTTCTACCTATCTTTATTCATGATATTTATTGGTGTAGGAGTAGGTCGGGATAACGCTAGAGGTGGTCAAATTAATGCTCTCTATCAGTCCATAGAATCATTGATTGTTGAACTAAGCAATGTTATTGGCTATAGATTAATTAACTGACTAACTTACTGACCGTTCTACCCAAATTTTCTTTTTCAGACAATAATTACAATTTATGGCTTGGCGGTTATAATCATATTCATGAATCATTCACATTGAAGAATAATGATGCACATTCTATTAAATTAGGTTTATTAATCATTATTCCTCTGGACAATTTCTCCACAAATTCATCATTGTTATTAGCTTCTTGGCCAAAAATTCATATATTAAAACAATATTTTAAAAGGTTTAGAAACGAATGTGACTTATGCATTAAACTATCCGATTGGCCAATTCATTTATGTATATTGAATATTAATGTTGATGAAAAGATGAAAATAGGACGCAAAGATTCTGATATTTCACCTCTGTTAATAACTTGTTTAACATATTTTGGTGAATTAAGAATATATAGGTAAGTACAAATGTTACTAATTAAAATATGTTTAACTGAGATCACAAACCGATTTAAATTAGACAATCGTTGTAAGCTCTGATCAGCTATCCTGTACTATTATGGGACTCCTCAGCAATGCGCAACCACAACTCTATAACAGATCTAACTCAGGACTCTCGGTCCTGCACACGAACACTTAACGTTTAGGCTACTGAGCTTGAATCCAATAGTGTATATGACTAACGTCAATCAACTCGAGATACTGCTCAACTGTATTTCAATGCCATCGGTGGGTACTTGTTTACACTCGATGCGGTTGAATTCCACTGGTCAGAACTTTTCACTAGAACTTCAGGAATGTCCTATGAGAGTTAGTCACTAGTTTTCCTTTAATATTGTCAGTTTTCGTTGCTTAACAGTTATTAGATGTTTTTTAATAATATTTTTCTTAAGTAATTAGTCATGTAAGATATTTGATGCCGATTCAGTAATTCTAAAGACTAAGCATTTATCGCAATGCCTGAATGTCTTAAGGTTGATCCTTGACGGGGCTATTCATATGTTCTATTAAGGAAGCTTATATTAGAAAGAAACAGCTTTCTAATATTACACGATTTTCAGTCATTGTTTGTTTAAGTTCAGTTTGTAGTCTAAACTAAAATTCAACGATTTCTACAACTCCCCTTAATCAATATCTCATTTTACTTTTTGAGTTTTCTTTATTCATCGTAGCATAGAATTAATTTCTATGTAAATAATTGTGGGCGCGTGTCTGTTATTAGATGACAATATCGTTCGTTAAATCTCTTGGACAATCCATACGGATTGTACAAGTTGGACGCATCTTATACAATTTCTTAATGTGTCTATTTAAACACACAAATCATTTGTAAGATTGAAGTAGATTTTTTTAATGGTTTTTTTAAGTAGAAATTCCTTGACATTTCCATCACCATTCAAAATATAAGTAACATTAGTAAATAAGACTTAATATTAGTTAATCAACTCATAGATTACCATAATGAGTATGAACAATACATACTTCTCAAAACTTTTCATCTAGTCCTAAACAATTAAGAAGACCAAAAGAAGATAAGCTTGACCCCTTGGAATTGCAAAGAATGTATATGTATTGTTTTTTAATAAAGATATTACTTTTTATACCTAGTTTTTCTTTACAATAATAAATCATCACCCTTAAAATAGGTATAACTTAAAAATGAATTTTATATTGAATACGTTACAGAGGCTTTAATGAATAGAAATTAGCAGAATAAAATCGAAATAACATATTGAAATGAATACTGACTTAAATTGTCAACAATATAAACGAATGTTAAACTGAATAATTAGCAAAGATGGATAGTGGCTAGCAGTGGAATCGAACACTCACGTTTCGTCCTATTTTAAACTCGTCAGTTCCGGGTGTACCTGCATTCTAGAGATGATGTTCAATTCGGAACTCGAACTCAGTACCGTTCGTTTTAAACGTTATCAGGTTATCCATTTAGCTACTGAGTCTTGATTGTCACCTGCTTGTGTAATGGGGTGAAGTTTGAATTCACTTTGTATTGTTTGACGGTATCTACCGATTGCTGTTTAGGACTGTGAATGATCAGTCTCTTGTTGGCATATAGGCATCCTATGCGGACTGCCTCGATATTGCCTTGGACTGACGAGTCTCAAATGGGACGAAACGTATGTCCTGAATTCCACTGCTAGCCACCATCCATCATTGTTTATAAGGCTTGTGACTTTAAAGAAATATCGACGCAGTCCGCACTGTATAAACATATGCCAAGAACAGACTGACCAATTGCAGTCCTAGATAACAATGGGAAGATACAAGCAAATAATACCAAGTGAATATAACCGGTTTCATTTCTTCTGTTATGAAATGCTTTCGATTTTGTACATTCGCTTCTTAATAGCTGAAAAGTAAGTGACTTTAAAATCGGTCGATCAGTTTAAGAATCACCCTTACCAAATAAAGTATAGTACAGAGGCGAGGTAATCGAGGTGCAGAACATGACTTTTGAATTTTTAACCGAAATTTAAATATCATGTATAATAAGCATTTGAAACACATTTATACACTGATTAAAATGTCAGCAAAAAAAGCTTTTTTGCAGCGGTATAGTAAATATGATTCTGTCTCTGTAGATTGCCTATGACTGGTAAATCTACACTGTTCCTAAATCTTAACTTTGAATCCCTAGTTCTGAAACAAATCTTAATACGGTAGTACTATATTTTGCCGACGAGCTAATCGGACAACACTTTTAGCATATTTTTTGACAAATTCATCGATATGTTTGGTTAAAGAGCATTGTAGTTCTATAGCTGATGTCAGTTTGTAATGAAAACCCTAACTTTAACGTTAATTACCCAAACCTAACAAAGAAAAATGTGAAGATTGCATGGATTGAGTATTATTGTCTTACAGGTTAGCAACCCGCACTTAATCAGTTGGTAATTAGTGTCCGTAGGTATGGTATGTGCTTCTCACCTTCTAAGTGCAAAGTACTTTTACAAGACTGGCAGGACCCTGATCCTGTACTCACCCTGGGTGGTGAGCAAACAGAAGTGGTCGAGAAGTTCGTGTATCTGGATAGTTGCTTAAGTGCTAGTGGTGGCATGAGTGACAAGATCAAGTCAAATCAAGTACAAGTGAACCATCTTTGGCGCCTTCGTGATGTTAGTCTGACTGCAAAAAGTTGAATCTGGAAAGCTCCGGTGGGAGCAGTCTTACTCTATGCTTGTGAAACCTGGCCTCTCCGAGTTGAAGATGTTAGATGACTCTCTATGTTTCATCATCATTGTCTCCAAAGGATTGCTGACATTCGGTGGCAATACCATGTTAGTAATACAAAGAGATGTTTGGCATTCTGTGTTCGATCGCAGAGACGATAATTCAATTGATGTCACTATCTAGAAACATCAACTTTGGTGGCTTGGACATGTTCTACGAATGTCATCCCAGAGATTTCCACGTCGTATATTATTTGCCGACACTGGGACTGGTTGAAATAAGCGGAGAGATGGTTACTGTATGACATGCTGTCTTAGTATGAAAGACAGATGTACAGGACTGGCTTGTGTTGTGTGCTCAAGCAAGCCGCCCTATATTTACATTCTCGATCTTTTCATAACTTCATTGTTATTGTGCGGTGCATATGTATTTTATGCCCGCTTGCATCAATGTTTGTATATTCAAATAATAATAATAATAATAATAATAATAATAATAATAATAATAATAATAATAATGATAATAATACAGTGTAGGAACTCTTAAGAATTTATTTAGGTTATTATTAAGTTGTAAGAATACAGATAATCTATGTCCAAAGAACAAATATATATTGCGTTATCTTTTTTGTGATTTACGAGCAAACTAAATTATAAAATACATCAAATCTGTTTACACTTTGTATCATGATTATTTCCTTTGTCACAAACTATCCATTCACAAAAGTTAATTTGCTGTTATTGTCTAAGAAATGGGGTGAAAAATTGTCACGATTATTTTAAGCTTATCTTAGTATATCATCCATAAGTTCTATCCGTTAATCTTGTAAAACCGCAATTCTAATTAACAAACATATTAAAATTTCGAATTTCGTACAAGAACAAAAATCATATTCTCATTGATGATCAGCTTCAAGATGGTTTTCCTGGAGTTCTATTGAGAATCTGTGACCAGTGGAGTTCAATCTGTGTCGAGTGTAAGACAATTTTCCACATCAGACAATAGATGAAAAGTTGCGTATGATCACTGATCGATTGCAGTTAGTCATGAGGAGAGTTGGATGGCGGCTCAGTGGTCTAGAGGTTTGGCGCTCACGTTTAAGACCGAAGGTCCTGGGTTCTAGTCCCACGTGTGGGATCGTGTATGCGTACTGCTGAGGAGTTCGACATTAGGACAAGACGGCCTTTCAATAATGGTCTAGCTTAGATTGTCTCATGAATTTAACTGTTAAAAAATTCGTTTTTTTGTTGTTGTTAAATTCTGGTTATACATTATATCATACCAATCAGCTGATGAAGTAAAAGACTACTTCTCTAAAACCAACCAATCATTTTAGAACCATTATAGGTCACTTTCATTTGAAAATTCTTACTATTGTCGTTTATTTTTTCTCTTTTTTAGATCAAATAATCAAAATTCTTTAAAGTATATTTGTCTTTTAAAAGTGCAACTGTCACAATGTTGTTCTACATTGAATCAAAATTTCACATCGACTAGTAATGATAATCACAATAGATGTGAAAATCTTTTTCAAGAAATTAATATGATGTTTAGTTGTATAATGTATGATTATAATCAACATAAAATGAATGATCAAGATTACAATTCATCTTTGTCACCAACAGTATCATCATCATTATCATCAGCGGCAGCAGCATTATCTAACAGATGTATTCACTTCATATTATGCTTATCATTTCCACAAATTTGTATTATAAAAATTAATATTCATTCTAGTTTAACGTTGAAATTTGATCGACTTATTTTTATCGATATAGATCAACCCGTTCATTCAGGGATTATTCTTCCAGAAATTTGGTAAGTTTTAAGCATGCGTATATTTATCAGAAGGGGTTTTGTGGATAGTATAGTAATTCTTAATAGTTGAGATAATGAGTCAATTGAAGCTAGACCACCATAGAATACCTGGAAGCACTGGACAGTCGTTTCGTCTTACTGTGGTACTCCCGAGGAGTCCCTCGGCCATCCAGTGTTTCCAGGTTTTCCATGGTTGTCTAGCTTCAATTGACTTATGATCTCAACCATTGAATATATATATATATATATATATATATATATATATATATATATATATATATAATTCTATTCTCTCCTTTTTTTCAATAATATTTAGTGGTTCTAATATTTGGCTTAGTCAAACTGGCGGTAAATTAGTATGTTATACATGGAATGATTCAAAATGTGAAATCCACTCCTCCTCTTCACCATTATCATCAAGTTATCTAAAATTTTATTCATCCTGGTTTGTCCCTTCATTGTTCGATTCTGAATCATCTCTAGTAACTCACTTTTTGATTGAAAATTCAAAACTAACTAGTAATCGTCCAGAACCTTTGGTGGAAGATGTTGATGCAAGTAAACACGTTTGTGTTTGGACATATTTGGAACCAGGTGAATGTTGATAAACTTATATTTATTTATTTTGAACATATTTTCATTCCCTTCTATCATCATTGCCATTTAATGTGAAAAACGTTTACGCCAATCAGTCACTGAAGTGTAATGAATATCTCGTCCTAGTCCTTAGAATTATTTGATTTAGTGATATTGGTATTATGTTAAATGATTCAACACCCCACTGTACTTTATCGACGTTATTTAATGGGAAGGGGATAGTAGAAAGTTTTTAACTAAGGTTTTTATGTTAGTTAATTCTAATTAGTAATGGTTATCTGTAATCAACGTGAAACCTTACTTCATCTAGGTTTCGGGCTAGTTGTCACTTGTCAATAAATCTAATGCTCCTTCTATAAAAGACTAATGTTTGAACAAAGAATATTCTTTTCGATAAATTGTTTTCAGGTTCTACAATTATATAATCCAAATTAACAATACGGAAAATGATCAGGTCAAGGGCAAAGTGCATTGTTTAAAGTTTAAGTATGTGAATATAGGCTTGTCAAACAAAACAGAACAAAATAGTTAATAAGCAAAGGTGGATAGTGGCCACGCGCGTTTCGTCCTATTTTGAACTTGTCAGTTCCGGATGTACCTGCATTCCAGAGTTGATGTTCACTTCGTGAATCGAACTCAGTACCGTTCGCTTTAAACGCTATCAGGTTATCCACTTGGCTACTGAATCCTGATAGCTACTTACTTTTGCAATGGGGTGAAGTTTGAATTCACTTAGTGTTGTTTTACTTGTAACTTCCCAAACAGGACAAAACGCGCGTCCAGGATTCCACTGCTAGCCATTATCCATCATTGTTTAAAAAGCTTGTGACTTAAGGCTATATCGACGCAGTCCGCACTGTATACACATATGCCAAGAATAGACTGATCAATTGCAGTCCTAAATAACAATGGGAAGATACAAGTAAAACAACACCATGTCAATTTAAAATAGTTAATGTTGATATGACTCATATAGAATGTTAATTTGAATCAACTTATATGTTAGGTAAAAATGTTTAGATCCATGATCCGAATGAAATATGGATCAGATGGGGTAAAAGAAATAATAGTACAATTACAGTTCGATCAAATGTTTATAATCTTCCGACTATATTGTGTAAAAAAAAATGATTAGTAAGACATAATAAGGTGGGATGAATGTGAAGTAAACGAATCATGTATTGGAAAGAATAATAATGATGCTAAAGCAATATTAATAACAGTAATAACCCCTTCAGATATTAAACAATAATTATAATATAAATATTTGTAAATAAAGATAACAGAGACAATTACATTTGACTACGAAAGGTCTTAAGTGAAATAGTCAAATTACGTCATTCAATAGCTTTCATAATTAAATTTATTGTTCTTATACTGGTAACAATAATCTAATAGAGTTGATTTAAAATGTTCTACTTCTTGATCAGATTTTGCAATTATACTACAAACAAAGTTACAAAAACTGACCAGATCTTTGAAAAAGCTTAGGGATCAACTGATTATTTTTTTCGTTTTTATAACAAATGATTAAACTGGTCGAAACCTATTTGCCAAGATTGTATCGATTGCCAAAGGTACACACACCACGGATCCCATTTAGACCAATTTTAAATATGTATAACTCTCCTTATTATACTATAGCTATATGGTTGGTAATTATATTGAAACCTCTCTACGAAAAGCTTGTAAAACTTAGTGTTAAGGATGTATTCCAACATGTTGACAAGATCAGAAAATGCAAATACTTTAGGACTAAAGATGATGACTTTGGATATATATATAAGTGAACAATTGAGTGAAAATGAAATCGAAACTACAATTCCTATCAATGTCGTTAAAGAGTTATTACTGAAATGGACCATGAATGTAAATTTAAAATTCAAAGGAGAAATCTATAGGCAAACAGATGGATTTGCAATGAGTTCACCATTGTGCCCTATACTAGTTGACATTTTCCTAGCCAAACTAGAAAATGGTCCACTCAAAAAGATCATTCAAAAATTCACATTTTACTGTCGATATATGGATGATACGTTCATCCTCTTTAAAGATAATGCATCACGGCAGGAGGTTCTTAAGCAGTTTACTGAAGTACATCCAGCAATTTAGTTTACATCTGAAGAAGAGAGTGATGATCGAATAGCTTTTGGGACATTCTCTTTACTAGGAGCGCTGATGGATCACTAAAAAGGAATTTAAACAGAAAAAATGAACACCTGGATAAGGCAGTACACATATTTCTTTAGCATTGTACCTCTACAGCACAACAAGAAGCTGATCAAAACTCTCTTAATCATTCAATTAATAAATTATTTGGTGTATTTTATATCATAATCCCACGTGTAAGTGTTATACATCAATTAGTTATCATGTCCACAATTGAAAACATAATTTATTTCCGCCTCGTTTTAAAAAAAGAGATAAACTAACCAGATTTTCTCTTTAATGATTAGATGGAAAACTTGACTGTTGGTCAGCTTTTTCACAAACTCTATTGAGAAGTATCAGTTTACTACATCAATTGGATAATGATCTGTTCACAGAGAACCTTTCAACATTCGGTAAGATCAATCATAATAATAATAATAATAATAATAATAATAATAATAATAATAATAATAATAATAATGTTATGGCTTGAGACCTATCGTCGTTATCACATGTTAAAGTTACTAATCCAAATTCTAATTAAGTTCTCTTCCATTCCCTATCTACTGTCCTGGACTTAACAATTACACATCTGACCTGCACTGTTGTCTTTGAGTCGACACAAGCCCCAAAATGCTCTGGTACAGCCGAGGGTGGGGGAGAATCCGCTCTTTCTCTCAAAATGCCCTCACATGGCCACGTGCATACAGTCCTACTCACTGTCTTCTCGCGGCGGGGGTTTTGTTTACGAAATTGAGAAGACGAAAATCGAATGTCCAGGGCTTTAACCGGGTCGGTGGACACGGAGAGTTCACCTAGGGGAGTTGGAAAACTCTGCTTCCAAACCAATGGTACATTCGGGCTCCAGGATCCTAAGGAAACAAATGGCGTATCAATCTATTGTTGGTCACTGGCTACCATGGTACTGCATCTCCTTACGTTGCGCCACTGCCTTGTGGATCAGACCTTTAGGTCGAAGACTCTGGGTGTGACTTCCTAAGAAAACCACCTGTCTCGGTTTGGGCACCCGGGCAGTATCACAGCCCACACACAAATCGAGTAACTTGTATCACGCATATGTATTCTGTGCCCCTTTATACCAATAATCATGTGTTCAAATAATTTAATAGATAAATAAACTCAAACCTACGTCTATCGATTGCAGCCAAAGGAAAGTCAACAGGCTTACTTCAATAAATCCACGATGGATACCGGCTCAGTGGTCCAGAGTGTTGAGTCGACTTTCCGAGAACTGCAACGGAGCCTCAAGAGGCCCTAAAGGAGCCGAAGAGTTCTAGTCAATCACAGCATGATGGAGCTTTCTAGAGTGTCAACGTGGAGTGCTACTATTGGTCAGTAGCATAATTTGGCCAAAATATGATGTTGATTTAACAAATGTTAACATCTATAGATACCCGTGTTTTTCTGTACAAAAATGAACCTTTGGAGTAATGTTTTTCGCTTATTTTGCGCCTTTTTTCTCGAGTTCAGGTCGCTGCATAGTTCTAGCTTGCGGGTAACCAGGCTAGCTTAGGAACCGAATGAAGCATTCAAATTAATATGACTTATCATAGAGTCTAAGCGTTCTTATGAAAGCGAATCTCGTGGATTCGATTTCCACGTGCTGGGTCGTGGATGCACACTGCTGAAGAGCCTCATATTGGGGCGAAACGGTCGTCTAGTGCTTTCAGGTTTTAAATGGTAATCTGACATTGATCAGTTCATGATCTCAATAAGAATTCAACAATCTCCACAACCCTATACCGATAACTATAATTATACTTAGGTGATATTCTGTCTAAATAAATATCTAATAGAGAGCCTTTGAATAAACTAATCAGGGATTGGTAGTAGTAGTATCATTTTAGTTAGAATATGAATAAATAAAAGAATGAGATAATACAGGTTTGCCGCTCATGTGAATGCTTTTGTTGATACTGAATTATCTTTACTGAATAGTTTAATTGTAGCCCCCGAACGCCCTGGTACGGCCGAGAGTGGGGAGAGTCCGCTCTCTCTCTCGAAATACTCTCACACGGCCGCGCGTATACAGCCTCTGCCAGGGAAGTCCTACTCATTGCCTTCTCGTGGCGGGGGTGTTGTTTACGAAAATGAGAGGACGAAAAGCGAACGTCCGGCGCTTTAACCGGATCACAAACCAATGGTGCACATGGGCTCCAGTATCCTGCGGGAACAAATGGCGTATGAACCAATCGTTGGTCACCGGATACCATGGGATTGCATCTCCTTACGATGCTCCACTGCCTTGTGGGTTAGACCATTAGGTCAAAGGCTCGGGGTGTGGCCCCCTAAGATAACCACCTGCTTCGGTTTGGGCACCCGGGCAGTATCACAGCCCACACACAAACCATGAACTCTATGACTATGTCAACTAATTTCCTCGCTCCGATATATAATCAATCGATCCCAATAATTATTACTATTATTGTCATTATTAATACCATTATTGTCATTATTATTATTATTATTTTCCACATTGTTCACCCTCTTTTATACTTATACAGCGGCTCGTCTTTGGTGGAAATTCGACTGTATCTAAACGTTCTCGAGTCACTGTCCGGTTGAAAATTGTATGTTACCACCGATTACGAGAACTGAAGCAGTTTTTCTGAAACCACGTGCACCATTCAAACTGGCTGCCTTCAACGTTCGCACACTAGTGCAGGTCGGACAACAGATAGGGCTGGTTATGTCTTTGGGAAGTCTTAATATTGATGTTTGTTGTCTATCCGAGACCCGTATTCAAGACTCTGGCGAAGTACTACAAATTCGATCTCCATCTGTCGCTTCGAAAAGCTTGTTTTACGTGCGCTTATCCGGGGACCCTGTGGCATCTTCGTCTGGTCTTGCTGGCGTTGGTGTCGCACTAAGCGCTAGAGCTGAGGCAGCACTAGTCGATTGGATCCCCATTAACAGTCGGTTATTTGCTGGTAGATTAGAAAGTTCCATCAAAGTGAGAAGAAATCGGCGTGAGAAACGATGTCTTTTCGTCATCTCTGCCTATGCCCCGACAGATTGCAGCCCGGATGCAATCAAGGATGAGTTTTACCACCAATTATCTGTTCTTCTCCAGAAAGTGCGCTCGACAGATATTGTAGTACTAGCCGGAGATTTGAATGCTCAGGTCGGGCGTCTAGGCACAGAAGAGAGTCGTTTAGGTGGCCGATGGGGACTCGTTGGTCGCAGGTCAGATAACGGGACCGTCTACTGCAACTTTGCACAGACCACAACCTGTTTCTGGCTAGCACTAACTTTCGGCACAGTCATCGCCGATGTGCCACCTGGCGTCCTCCTTCTGCATCCCAAGCCTGGACTCAGATTGATCACATCGCGATCAGCTACCGCTGGCGTGGTTGTGTAAAAGACTGCCGCTCCTTTTGGAGTACCTATCTGGACTCTGACCATGCCTTGGTCTGCGCCAATCTTGCCTTACTTTTCAGTGGACAACGAAGTGACCACCACCAAAGGATTGATGTCAGCAAGTTGGTTGCAACTTCTGTTGCAAGTAAGTATCGAACCGAGCTAGCCTCTAGGCTAGCTACCACCCCACCGAAAAGTATAGATGAGCATTGGTTGCAATTGCTTGACGCCATGAAAATGGCGGGAACAGTCAGTTGTGGGTTTGCGAAACGTCTCGCTTTTAAGCACTGGGTTTCTTCTGGTTCCTTACAACTCATTGAAGCCCGTCGGTCTACTCCGGGTGACCGTGAGTTTGACCATAAACGAAGGATGTTACGTAGGGAAATTGGGCGAAGCTTGCGTAAGGACCGAGAAGCCTGGTGGTCGGAGCGTGCTAATGAGCTGGAAGCAGCAGCTGCATCTGGTAACTACCGGAAGCTCTTCCAGCTCATCCGAGCCACTGGCAGCAAGAAGTCTGGTGTGAGTGAAACAATCTGCGAGGATGATGGGATGCCAATCACTAACATCCATCGACGTCTTGGACGATGGGCAGAATTTTTCGAAGGGCAGTTCAACTGGCCTGCTGCTCCGGCAACACCGGTCAGACTGTCCTGCCCTCCGTGGCCGGTGACGACTGATCCACCAAACGAGGAGGAAGTCCGCAAGGAACTCCAACTCTTGAAGCGTTACAAATCACCTGGCCCAGATGACTTACCTCTGGCTCTTTTTAAAGTTGGTGGTGACTTTTTGACTAAGGAATTGACGACGTTGTTTACAAAGGTTTGGGAATTAGAAAGTGTACCAACGTCATGGAATGAGTCGATAGTTGTCCCTATCTTTAAAAAGGGTTCACGTCGTTCCTGTAACAACTATCGGGGGATAAGTCTACTTCCGATTGCGTCCAAGCTATTGGCTTCCGTCATACTTCGTAGGTTGTTCAAAACCCGAGAAAGATTGACTCGCGAGGAGCAGGCTGGGTTTCGTTCTGGTCGAGGATGTATTGATCATATCTTCACCCTCCGCCAAATGTTAGAACATCGCCATACTTATCAAAGGCCAACAATCGTAGTATTTCTTGACATCAGGGCTGCCTTCGATTCGTTGGACAGGACTGTTCTCTGGGATTGTCTATTGAAGAAGGGTGTGCCTGAGAAGTTTATTAACATCCTAAAAGCCCTATATACAAACACCTCAGGCAGAGTGAGGGCATACAACCACCTCTCTCCATTGTTCCATTCGAGTAGTGGGGTTAGGTAGGGTTGCCCAATCTCACCATTCCTCTTCAACTTTGCCATCGATGACATTCTGGAAACAGCTCTGATGAATGTAAGTAATGGTGGTGTGGATCTGTTGCCTGGAGAAAGACTTCTCGACCTTGAGTATGCGGACGATATTGTCTTACTGTGCGATAATGCCCAAGGCATGCAATCCGCACTTAATCAGTTGGCAATCAGTGTCCGTAGGTATGGTATGTGCTTTGCACCTTCGAAGTGCAAAGTACTTCTACAAGACTGGCAGGATTCCAATCCTGTACTCACCCTAGATGGTGAGCAGATAGAAGTAGTCGAGAAGTTCGTGTATCTGGGTAGCTGCATAAGTGCTGGTGGGGGTGTGAGTGATGAGATCAATGCACGTATAGTGAAAGCCAGAGCGGCTTATGCCAATCTGGATCACCTTTGGCGCCTTCGTGATGTTAGTCTGGCTGTAAAAGGTCGGATCTACAACGCGTCGGTGAGAGCAGTTTTGCTCTATGCTTGTGAAACCTGGCCTCTCCGATTTGAGGACGTTAGACGACTCTCTGTGTTCGATCATCGCTGTCTCCGAAGGATTGCTGATATTCAGTGGCAACACCATGTCAGTAATGCAGAGGTTCGGCATCATGTGTTTGGGCACAGAGATGATAATTCAATTGGTGTCACCATCTTGAAACACCGACTTCGGTGGCTTGGACATGTTCTACGAATGTCGTCCCAGAAATTTCCACGTCGTGCATTATTTGCCGACTCTGGGACTGGTTGGAAAAAGCGGAGAGGTGGTCAGTGCATGACATGGTGTCGTGGTATGAAAGAAAGCTGCAAAGGACTGGCTTGTGTTGGTCCTTCACGACTCCCTGGTTGGGGTCTGAGAGATGGTGCTACACAGTGGCTAGAGACGTTATCAGATATTGCTGAGAATAGAAGCCAGTGGCGATCCTGCTGTAACCTTCTTTTACTTTCTTCATAATAGTGGTTGTGTCTCCCTTACTTGAAAGATTTCTTCTGATTGTACCTTTCTGTTCCATCGTTACGACCACACTACCTTTTGTGGTCCTTAGTTTTTTTTTTCTATCTCTCTTCGAATTTTCATTGTTTTGTGTGGCGCATATATATTGGCGCTCTATTGTACCAATATTTATGTGTTCAAATAATAATAATAATAATAATAATAATAATAATAATAATAATTGTAGAGCTTTTATTGTCCATAATAAGTTCATCAACCTCTACTCCCCATAGAAGTTGTAAATGATATCAGTTGAAGTAGTAACATTTATGGTTAAAAATTATCACTAGACATCTGTTTTATTATAGGATTCTCCTAAATAATGTTCAACTATAACTCTGTGATGGCCTTCTGATCTCAAAATGAACTCTTAACCATTGAACTTCATCGAATTAAAATCTATTGGTTTAGATCATTAACCTTTTTCTATTCAAATTAATTTGTTCATTCAAATCATACTAATATATCAATGCTGCTAGGGTTGAAGCTATCACGAGTTCACTTAATCTGCGAATGAGAAACAAGACTCGGTGACCAAAGACCAGTAAGCTAGCTATTGATGCGTCCCAGCCCCACTAACATAGGGAAAAGTCCAAGCTTGGAATGGGGAAGTATATTCTTCAAACAGCCAGAAACGATCGATAACAACAAACACAATTCAAAACGTATATATACAGTACAAAACCGTCCTTGGGGAGAGTTACCAAATAACATAGTGAAAGACTCAACGGGCCAATAGCATTTAAGATATTTCCCAGTGGGAAATACGACATGAAGGTGACAAAAGCACCTTTGGCGCGAAAACAAAGAAATTCAAATTTTCTAAATAAAATTACAAAATTAGTTCCTTTTCCAAGTGAGTTCTGGGGATCTAACGTCCCCAACAAATGCAATGTATTATTACCTTGTATTAGTCCCCGTTAATTACATTCCTTTATTCATTTTGTCTTTTATTTTTTAATCATTAAGAAATTATTGGATCAGTTAATACAATGGAATGGCTTAATTTATCATCAAGTATTCTTTTATTAACAACCCATGGTTATTTGATTCATATTAACGTAATGAATACTAACAGTGTTACTAATGTTAATGGTAATTCAATGACAACTACCAATGATACTAAGATGTTGAGAGCAACAACAGCACAAACATTTTCCTCTTCTACATCTCCATCATCACGATCATTTTGTCAGTTATTTCATTATCATGGATTATTTTCAAAGAAAGATTTCTCTTTAATTACTCCATTAACATCATCCATATCATTATATCAGACAAATGTGAAACATTTTTCAAAACGTATTATCACTATAAGTAAAGGTTATTTAGATCCTTTAAATTGGATCAATCATCATGTTTCATCATCATCATCATCAACTTCTTGTTCTCCTACTGATTCTACATCTTTTAATAGGAATTTCATTGAATTAACCATGTCCAATAACAATAATAATATTGATAATTATAGTAATAATCATATAATTGAATGTTTAAATCAAGAGAAATTTTATCTAGTTAAATTATTCTCTGATCAATTTTTATTTCCATCATAAATTTCTAATGAGAAATTTTACTCATTTAATCTTGTTTGTACCTTTTTTCTTGTTTCCCTTTTTCTCTTTCTTTTAATTTTCTTTCTTGCACAGTAACTATTTCCTGTTTAATTATGGATAACATCTTCATATTTCTCTCTTTTCTCTTTATTGATTTATTTATTCAATAGGATCAAACTTTGTCTATTATATATGTGTTCACATTCATTATCTAAGGAGTTGAATTCACAATCTATGCATTACATCATTGTATATTATATATACAATACACATATGTATACATCTATCACATATATATGTATATTATATTAACATTCATTGAAACTTATTTCTATAATTTATTTCATTATGATCAAAGTTAATGTAAAATCATTTGATTTTCATAGATTTTCTTTTACAATTTCATTGTCGTTGTTTTTGTTGTTGTAGTACTTTCTTGTCTTATTTTCTATGGTATTCTTTTTTTCCTTTTTATATTTACTCAAACATACTGTGATATGTGTATAAATAGATTATTTCAATAATGTAAAACAATTAATCCTTTTGATAAATTTCCATAATGCAAGACAAAGAAAATGAAGTTTAAACAATTGAGATCATGAGTTAATTTAAGCTAGATCATTATGGAAAACCTGAAAGCACTGAACGGCCGTTTTTTCCTATTGTTAGACTACTCAGCAGTGCGCATCCACGACCCCGCCTCGTGAAATTCGAACCCAGGATCTATAAGTCTCGCGCCAGGCGTGACACATCCACCATTGTCATCAGTGAGTTACTCCTTCACAAATGACCCAGATGAACTCCACTGGTCACTGCTTTTCACTAGAACTCCAGGATATATATCTTGAAGCCAGTCACTAGTTGAAGTTAGACATTAACACCGTTGGATGCCGGTCGGCTCAGTGGTCTAGTTGGTTAAGCGCCTGGCGCGAGAGTGAAGGGTCCTGGGTTCGAATCTCGCGAGGCGGTGTCGTGGATGCACACTGCTGAGGAGTCCCACAATAGGATGAAATGGCCGTCCAATGATTCCAGGTTTTCCATGGTGGTCTAGCTTCAATCGACTCATGATCTCAACTGTTAAAATTACTACAATTTCCAAGTTTATCAGAATTATGTGATGAAATATTTACGTAATCCATTTCCAAATCAATCTGATCACACATAATCTACTTGTTAAGAACATTTATATATGAAAATTAAAAGGTCAGCTAGATAGATTAAAGATAAACCGTAACAAAAACAATGTGATTACCATTCTAGATAATAAATTAGTATTAACAGGGTATGTTAAATGTAAGGGCAAATTATTTTTGAACACATACAGGGGGTTTCAATTTCTGTATAGCTAAGGCTTCAATAAACCTTAGTATACGTCCTTGAAGGCTCTTATATTGTAGCGGTAAATAAATCCCGAAAATAAATAGCTCTGTAATTTATACGAATATTCGTCAAGATTAGAACGAATAGTTTGACAGTAATTGAGCGCCGAATATAGAGAAGTCATTAAATGTGAAAAATTATATTTGAAATATTCTCAGTTATTGAAATTTAACTAATTCCGACGTTTCGTACAGCTAACTTGTCTGGACGTCTTCAGGGTAATAATCAAAATTATCAAAGAAATATATAGCTTTTTAACAAGCAGGATTATACTGTGTTAAACCAATCATATTTGGATGTTTATTTTTTTAAAAATAGGATCAAATGAGTCAGTTAACTAGAAATCATGTGAAGAAATCAACTACATGGAAATACTTAACTGAGTAACAAATCGTATGTGCGTGAGTGTGTAGGTATGTATGTATGTGTGAGAGATTGATATGAAGGAATAAATAAAGTTCAATGATGGAAAACTCCGCCTATAGCTCTTTTAAAGTTACTGCCGGACCCAAGCCCGGGTAAACGAGGAGGGTTGGGCATGGGGTTGGCTTCCCGATCCCGTAGAAAACTAACTCGCTAATAAACGCCAACCGGAAAAAATAATTCAAACCATTTAAACTCTGCCTTGGGAGTTAGAAGGTCTTCATTTAGAAGAATTATGACGCTTCATGGTGAAAGCCGAGTTCCTTCAGAAGCCACGAGGCCGATGCGCCTTCTGACAACCAGGGCAAACATTTTCATAGGTACATGGAAAGTCCGAATAATGTGGGAAACCGGGAAGACCAGTCAAATAGCAACGGAAATGAGGAGATACAACTTGGCAGTACTGGGAATCAGCGAAACCCACTGGATCCAAGCTGGACAGAAAAGGCTAGCTACGGAAGAGATGCTGCTATACTCCGGTCACAAAGAGGAAAATGCTCCACACACTCAGGGAGTCGCTCTAATGCTGTCAAAAGTAGCACAAAATGCACTTGTAGGATGGGAATCTCACGGATCCAGAATCATCAAAGCATCATTCAAAACAAAGAAGGAGGGGATTTTAATGAATATTATCCAATGTTATGCACCCACCAATGATAGGAACGACGACATTAAAGATCAATTCTACGAGAGGCTGCAGTCAATCATAGAGAAATGCCCAAGAAAGGACCTCACCATTCTAATGGGTGATCTAAATGCCAAAGTTGGAATAGACAACACCGGATTTGAAGATATTATGGGACGACATGGACTGGGACAGAAAAACAAAAGTGGAGAAAGATTTGCAAATCTATATGCATTCAACAAATTGGTCATAGGGGGCAGAATATTTCCACACAAGCGTATACACAAGGCTGCATGGATCTCACCGGACCACACTACAGAGAACCAGATAGATCATATTTGCATCAACAAAAAATGCCGAAGGACAATGGAAGATGTGAGAACCAGGAGAGGAGCTGACATAGCTTCAGATCACCATCTAGTTGTAGCCAATTTAAAACCGAAGCTAAAAAAGGATTGGAAAACTGAACAAACAGCAATACAAAGGTTCAATACAGCCTTCCTTCGAGATACTGACAGACTCAATGAATTCAAGATAGCTCTCAACAACAGGTTCCAAGACTTACAAGATCTACTGAAAGAAGAAGAAACTAGTATGGAGGACAACTGGAAAGGCATCAAGGAAGCATTAACTTTAACGTGTCAAGAGGTTCTGGGTCTAAAGAAGTACCATCATAAGGAATGGATCTCTACAGACACACTGGACAAGATCAAAGAAAGGAAGAACAAGAAGGCAGCAATAAACAACAGCCGAACACGAGCAGAGAAAGTCCAAGCACAAGCTGAGTACATAGAAGCAAACAAACAAGTGAATAGGAGCATTAGAGCCGACAAGAAGAAGTACGTGAAAGAACTAGCAACGACGGCAGAAAAAGCTGCTAGAGAAGGAAATATGAAACAGCTTTACGATACAACGAAGAAACTATCAGGGAAATACAGTAAACCAGAGAGACCGGTCAAAGACAAAGAAGGCAAGCCAATCACCGAAATTCAACAACAGCGGAACAGATGGGTAGAATACTTTGAGGAACTCCTGAATAGGCCGGCTCCAATGAATCCACCGGACATCGAAGCGGCACACACAGATCTTCCCATAGACGTCAACCCAACAACGAAGGAAGAAATCAGAATGGCCATCAGACAAATCAAGAACGGGAAAGCAGCAGGACCCGACAACATACTAGCTGAAGCACTGAAGTCAGACATCGAAGTAACTACAAACATGCTTTACCTTCTATTCAAAAAGATTTGGGAGGAGGAACAAGTGCCGATGGACTGGAAAGAAGGATACCTCATCAAGATTCTAAAGAAAGTAGACCTGAGCAAATGTGAAAACTACAGAGGCATCACACTACTGTCAATACCAGGGAAGGTCTTCAACAGAGTGTTGATGAACCGGATGAAAGATGCAGTTGACGTCCAACTTCGAGATCAACAAGCTGGATTCCGTAAGGATCGATCGTGCACAGACCAAATTGCAACACTATGGATCGTCGTTGAACAATCAGTTGAGTGGAACTCGTCACTATATATCAACTTCATTGATTATGAAAAGGCTTTTGACAGTGTTGATAGGAGGACGTTATGGAAACTTTGTAACAGCATAGGTTGGTTGGTTAAGAGTTGACCCCAAACAACCAAGCATATGTCAAAACAGTATTGTTCAAGTATTCATTCACTTCCTTATTTTGTATAAGCGTTATATTCCTTATTATCTTATATTGAATGTGGAAAGCTTTTGTTTGTCTGAACAGATAATCCCACGCTCCACTGTGACTGCGCTAAGATCGAAATAAATACGTACTCACTACTTTGGTTTCTTCTATCAATAGTACGAGGGTTACCTATAGGCACGAAATTGGTGAGCCCGACGTGATAATCCGTAAACTAAGTTGGGTATATAAATAGTTTATTCTCTTTATTATCTTAAGTTATTCGTGCCATAGAAACCATTTTTTTTTCGTGCTAATTTTATTGCTATATTTGTCACATACCTCATGTCAGACTTAAAAGAAACCCATAATCTGGAGGATTTGTCACCAGTGGAGATAGACACTGTTATGACTACGAAATCTCGACTTCCAGAATTTGATCGTAGTGATCCTGAGTTGTGGTTTGCTCAACTCGAGCATTATTTCACGAGACACAATATCAAATCTGAAGGGATTCGCTATAGAGATTTGTGTTCTATCCTTCCTCCTTCAGTCGCCAAAGAAGTCCGTGACTTGATTTTAGATCCACCATCACCACAACCGCACACCGTCTTAAGAAGAGAGATAATGAACCGTTTATCATTATCAGATAGTCAAAGAATCCAAAGACTTTTTCAAGGTGAAACACTAGGTGATCGGTCGCCGTCACAGTTTCTACGTCACCTCCAAGTCTTAGTGGGTGATAACACAGTGGGTGAAGCAGTCCTAAAACAAGGATGGATACAAGCTCTCCCATGCTACGTCCAACACTGTTTGGATGCACAAGATCCTGAAACCTCATTATCTCATTTAGCGCGTATAGCTGATAGAATAATGGAAAGAGGTCCTCCAACTGGATCAGGCACAATAAATCACACACAGAAAGTAGAATCAGCAAAAGACCCCGTCATAGAAGGACTCATTGCGAGTGTTAAGAGTCTCACTGAGGCTGTCACCAGAATGCAAATGGGTCATACAAACAGGAGCAGGTCACCACAACGATCACGATCCAAGTCACAAAATAGGTCACAAGTGTCCAGACAATCTGGGCAGTT